GTTACACAGACTAGACACCGCAGCACACCCACATATAGATTGTTTTATAGGATCACTTCAATGTATGTAGTTTAGGGTGAGTTGGATGCTCAGTCCGCCCAGAGGCCTTTGGGGCGGGTCTGAAGTAAGGGCTGAGTGGAAGACCACCACATTTTTCATAATGTCACATGGGGTGGTTTAGGAGTTCACAGATCGTCGTGAAGACTGGGATTAGACTGAGTATAGGATGTAATGCTGGATCAACTGATGAAGATGGGCCATCTGAGACGAGAGTGATGGATGTCCGAAGAGTTCCTCTCCGGCCAACAGGGGGACTGTTGGAATATTAACTCTTGCACCAGTTAAAACTAAAAACAGTTTAGTATTGTTTCTATTGCCAAATTAGCACTTGTTTGTGTAAATCTCAAAGAGCAGTGAGTTCAAGGTTAGTCTGTGTGAGAATGGGAGGGGGACAAGAGAAAAACAACTGTGGTTATCAGAGCAGGTGCAGGCTTTGGCAGCTGGCCAGAAGAAGTCATAGAGTCCACGAATCTGTGATGTCAGTGACCTTGGGTGTACAGTATAAAAGATGTACAGGAGGAGGCACGGGAACTTTTTGCTTTTTCGTCTGACAAGGAGCAGTGAGACGTCCCCGGGGGCCACTCCTTATCTGAACGCGAAGCGAGATCTGTTCGCGGACCGTTATCTTGTAATATTGCTTGCAAAATCTTCAATATAACCTTTTTGAAATCAGGTTTGGTATCTGTCATTTCTATCACTGTTTTAACATTGGTTTTTGTCTCTTGTTGAACTAAAAGGACCTGCAGAACGAAGGGCTGTGTTTGCGGCCTCTCTGCAGCTTCTGGGGCGGGGGAATTCTGACAAATTACTGCAAAAGGCACAAGGTATTGTTATCTGTGGTGGGGATTTCAATGTAAGACTGAACCCTTTAGAGGACTCTTCCGCACAGACCTCGCACAATAATACTGGGAAAAAATTGAAAAAGTTAATGAAGGAATTGAGAATTGGAGATGTGTGGCGTGAATTACACCCCCACCAGAGGGATTATACATTTTACTCTGCAACACATCGTTCCTATTCAAGACTGGACTATTTTTTCATGTATAATAAAGACCTAGGTCGGGTGAGTGAGTGCTGCTTTGGATCAATGGACCTCTCTGATCACTGTCCTGTGTACATGAAGCTAGACATAGACAAGATTAAAACACCTTTTTTATGGAGACTTAACTCGAGCATACTTAAAGGAGATATCAGAGAAGAAATTAAAAATGACATAAAATTGTATATTCGAGACAATGATAATGATGAAGTTTCTCCCGAAATATTATGGGATGCGTGTAAAGCGGTCCTGAGGGGTAAATTGATTGCAAAGAGCACTCTTCTTAAAAAAAGACGAGAACAGAGAATCAAGACATTGGAGCAAAAACTTATCATCTTGGAAGAAAAACACAAAAATAGTGGAGACGATGATACCCTGCAAAAAATAAAAGAAATTAAACGCGAAATCAATCAAGAATTACAGAATAAAATAAAGACTCAACTACTTTATCTAAAACAGAGCTATTATGAAGCAGGAAGTAAATCTACAAAGGTCCTGGCCTACAGACTTAAAAAACAACAAGCAGAAAGATCTGTATACAAAATAAGAGATCCCTCTACTAATGAAGTCACATATAAAGAGTTTGAAGTTAGAGATATTTTTGCTGGATATTATCGGAAACTTTATAGTTTAAAGGAGCCAGATAAGGAAGATATGACCTCACCAATGTTAAACCAATTGGAATTGCCTATGCTCTCTAGTGAACAAAATACAACTTTAACAAGGAATATAGATGCTCAGGAACTGGCAAAAGCAGTTAAAAGGCTCAAATTGAATAAATCTCCAGGTTCTGACGGCTACAATGCTGACTGGTACAAGATATACCTGGAAGAACTTTCACCTCTACTCCTTAAGACATTTAACTGGGTTTTGAACGGGGGTCAAATACCACCAACTTGGAAAGAGACCATTATCACAGTTATCCCAAAGGATGGTAAGGACAAATTAGATTGCTCAAATTTCAGACCCATTAGTTTACTGAATCAGGATTATAAGATCTTCACCTCCATCTTGGCCAAAAGACTGGAAAATATTCTCCCGGACATAATAAATTTGGACCAGACAGGCTTTATCAAGGAGAGGAAAACTAGAGATAATATAAGACGCACACTACATGTGATTCATCAAATACAGAAAGATAAAAAACCAGCTGTTGTTTTGGGCCTGGACGCACAAAAAGCATTTGATACTGTAGATTGGGCTTTTCTTTATAAAGTACTTTCCAAATTTAACTTTACCGAAAAGTTTATAAAAATAATACAAGGATTATATAACAAACCTATAGGGAAAATTAGAATAAATGGAGGTCTATCAAATCCTCTAAATATTGAACAAGGTTGTAGACAGGGCTGTCATTTATCTCCGATTTTATTTGCCATTTTTATTTAGCCCCTGGCACAATATATCAGACAAAATAGAAAGATAAAAGGCATTAAAGTAAACGAGAAGGAACAGAAGATTGCCCTGTTTGCTGATGATGTCCTAGTTTACTTGGCTAAACCCACTGAATCTCTTCCTCAACTGCATAAAGTGTTAATGGAATTCAGCAACATCTCAGGCTATAGATTAAATTCTCATAAATCACAAGTATTGACATTCAACTACAACCCAGAAGATCCCATAAAGAAAATATTTAAAATCAATTGGTGCATGGACTCAATAACATACTTGGGAGTACATATTCCAAAGGACATACAAACTTTAAAGTCAATAAACTACGATCCACTTATTGCTAAAATTAAAACTGATTTGGATAGATGGAGCCTGATCCCCTATCTAGGACTTTTACATAGAGTAGAAGCAATTAAGATGGTAATCTTGCCTAAACTATTATACCTATTTCAAACAATACCTGTTGACTCTTCAACAACAATGTTCCAGGAACTGGATAAATTATTTTCAAGGTTTATCTGGGAAGGGAAAAAACCTAGAATAAGATACAAAACTCTACAAATGGCAAGAAACAAGGGTGGACTCTCTCTTCCAAATCTGAAGAATTATTACAGAGCGGCTCAACTAAGCCCACTGTTTGATATTTGCAGCTCATCATATACAGCCAAATGGAAAGAAATTGAATATAGATCTGAAGTAATCCCCGTACCGGCAATGATTGGCAACACAAATTTAATGAGTAATGTAAGGGATCTTAACCCATGGACCAAGGCAGCTCTTGATATCTGGTCAAAAATAATAAAGGACAATCCAAAATGCACCCTTATGATCAAATGGATTGCGTATGACAAGGATTTTACCCCAAATGTAGGAGATAAAACATTTAAAAATTGGTCTGACAAAGGTTTAATGACTTACAATCAGTTTTATCATAAAGATCAAATGAGGAGCTATCAAGATTTGAAAAGGACCTACAATCTTGACAACAAAGACTTTTTCCGATACCTCCAGATCCGCCACTACTTGAACCACAATTATAGTGACCATACAAAGCATCTGTCGGGATTAATAACAATATTTATAAAAGCATATCAGCAAGGACCAAACAATAAGTTGATTTCTAAACTATATGATGAGCTGCAAAACTTGCAGAATGAAAATATACAGTACAGTAGCTCAGTTGGTAGAGCATTGGCCTTCAGGCCTGAAGGTCGTGGGTTCAATTCCCACCTCTACACCTTCTCCACCGACTCCCACTGATGTCTGCTGTCGTTGTGTCCTTGGGCAAGACACTTAACCCCACTTTGCCCAAAGACCCCACTGAAAGATCAAGGCTATGCTCACAGTCAGAGAGCAGCCGTCCTCCTGTGGACTCACCACCTGCAGAGGGTCAGTGAGGGGCTGGTGCTATGGGACTTGGGTGGCATCTCTGACTGCCACCCCCCTGACCCAGAAATGGATTAAAGGGTAGAAAATGGATGGATGGATGTATGGTACGTTTTTTTAAAACTCCAGTCCAGAGAGGCCCAAGTGCTGATACTTCATGTTGGAGGTTATGTGGAACCAAACGGGCTGGCCATCACCACATATTCTGGAGTTGTTCAAAAATAACCAATTACTGGATGGCTATTAAACAGGGCATTGACACAGTTTTTGGCATTAATGTTCCTTTGAATTTTGAAACTATGTTTTTGGGGATACAACCAGACTGTATAAAAGGGGCGAGTAAAAAATATATGTGGAATGTTTTACTGACAGCAAGCAAAAAAGCTATCACAAAGAAATGGATGACAGACAGAACACCTGTGTTGGGGGACTGGATATCACTTGTTAAAGACATTTTTCATATGGAGAGAATGACTTTTGCACTAAGACTGGATCACGACAGATTTGAGGACTATTGGAAATGTTGGACACATTATACCAACACTTAAGGACACGTGTGATATCCCTTTGCTACTCAATTGTTCTTTTGTTTTTGTTCTATTATGTAAAAAAAAAAAAAAAAAAAGTGTTAACAAATGTACTAATTCTAATGTACCATGTATGTAACATCGTGTAGATTGTTAATGTAAGAACTGCTGATCGAGTCAATAAAAATTTTAATTATAAAAAAAAAAAGTTACAAGTTGTTACAAGTTGATCCGAGATTCCTAACCCTAACCATAGCCCTGTGTGAACCTTAACCCTGACCTCTTACCCCTTACCCCACACTAATCCTAACCCAGTGAAACATTGATCCTGGGCAAACAGCTTTGACAATGATCCTGGACAGTTGGTTACTTTGTGAAATCAGATCATCCATAATAACATATTCCCTCTTTTCATACAAAACAGTATGCAGTATGTTATATTCATAGTACTAGTATTGGTAAATATCATTATAATCCTTATAATCTCTTGTTTAAGACGCCTACACACTGTACTGTAGCACGGCCATAATGAAACAGAGACTACTTATAAGTGCATGTGTGTGTATTCTTCTTATTACACAGATGTCTTTACAAACCTGCAGCACCGGAGCGAGGAAGACGGACACTCCGGTCAGGACAAACACCAAGATCCCTGTGAGTCTCTGCTCCCTGGATGTTATAACGACAACATTACGACAAACATCACACAAACAAAACAGCGTCAGAAGTTATTTGTGGAATGAACTGAAGTTAAAATATGTACAAAAGTATATATAAAATAAGAAGAAGAAAATTCAAAAATCATAGCCAGAAAAAAGGCTGGAGGTGTTTGTATAAGTATATTTATAAGTGTATATAATTTCATTCTTTGTTTTAACTGTGTGGTCACCTGTGTGTGTTTTGGGTCGTCATTTATTATCGCTTCTGTCAGTGTGCCCCAAGGCAGCTATGGCTACAGTAGTAGTTTATCACCACCGTGTATGGCGTGAAAGAATAATAACTTTGAGTGTCCTGAAAGGCACTATATAAAACCAATTAATTTTTATTATTATTATCATTATTTAATTTTGTGTTTGTTTGTGTTTTATGGTGTCATGTCCCCTTTGTTGTTCATCAAAAATAAAAATTGGGGTCAAATTCCTTATATTAATGATCTCAATTCCAAATTTGATTTGATTACATTTTTTGTGTTTTTGTTTTTCAAAACCTAAAAAGGAGAGGAAATGTAATTGTACAAATACTGTACAATAGAAGGATTACCCTTTGACTTGGTGTTAAATTAAATAAACTATGTAAAAAAAAAAAAGAGAACCCAGCCTCAGACGTCCCACCTGACACCGAGGAACTGCGGCTGCTCTCCCGGTGCGCTGCTCTCACTCTCCATCTTCAGAGAGTCAATATGAGCGATGGAGATCACCGTAGCCGCCACATACCACGGCAAACCCATGAAGGAGCACACCGCCATCAGAACCCCCACCCAGAAGAGGTCCAGGTGATACCCACAACCTTTCTGCAGATCACAAAGACAAAGACATGTTGTTTCACAGACATTCATTCGATATTAAAACCTGTTATAAAGTCGGACCTTGAGTTTGTTCTCCTTGCGGTTGACAATGACAGCGCTGATCTGCTGGTCCATAAATATCAGAATGGTCACGAGAAGAGCAGGGACGGCGCTGGCTACGTACCACCACCAGGGATTTTTGCCAAATGGTATTATTAACCAGCCACGGTCTGGACGTGTGGGCTGCGGAGCGGAAAATCAGAAAAACATACATTTACATATAGAATCAAAGCCATTACAAGCTACTGTGATTTTGAGGATAGCGGGTACCTTGACTTCTGTTGGTACGATCAGTTTGGGTGTGTCTAAACCCACCAACATGTCCAGACCCACAAAGGTCATGATAGACATAAAGATGGCAAAATCACTGATAAGCTTCCTCAGCTACCACAGGCGCAGGTCCCAGCAGAAGGCGGGTTAGAACAGTGCAGAAAATTAGGATGAAGAAAGAAACAAGGAAAGGTTTGTGAAAAGAACTATGCTCGATCGGAACGAGTAAACAATCATATGATTAAAATGAAAAAAAAACGTAAGGACAAGGGAAGGCAGTAGAGGGACGAGCGGTGGACCTTGATCTGGGTGGGTACGTGGAGTTTAGGGGTGTCCAACTCGAGCAGACAGTCCAAACCACAGAAGACCAGGATAGAAATGATGATGGAAAAATCACTGATCAGACATCGCAGCTGAAAGACACATTTTGGGGGAGTGGACATGGACTAAAACACGTCTGCATGCATGGGATAAAATTGAGGTAAGTTAAGTAATGTCACTTTCCCTGGGTCTGTTGTCATTAGGACTGTAAATTTGCACGTCAATAGTCACTTTTAATTCAAATGTACTTACTATATATATAAAAAAAGAAACTATCTTTTCACTTTTTCAGAAGTTTGCACATTTCCTGTCTTTTCCACAACCCGAGTGATAATATTTGTGACGATAATGTGTGTGATAATAATGTGACATGTACATTTATCCATTGTGAGATCAATAAAGTATATCTGATCTTATCTTTCACACACAACAATATAAAAGGTAGCATAGACACAGACTTAATGGAGGTTTGTTTAGGAATGAAAAGTGCAATACATTCGTTCAAAGAGGATTCGCATTGTGACATCTGTTCTTACCTTTGTTGGGAAATAGCGGCTGAACTTAAACTTCTTGAGAGAGATCGTCATGGAATAGGTTCCAAAGAAGAGGATGAAGGACATGAGCGCCAGGTCCGGGACATATTTACAAGCCTTTCCCATCAGAGAACCACCGTACTTCACACAGTCTTTCTTGCTGAGCTGGCTGTAGCCCATATCAGTCAGATTAAACTGTAGATGTACAAAAGAACCATTAAAAGACAGATACAAAGTGGATGTGTTCAATTTTCTGAAGTGGTTTACCAGTAAAGTCATGTTGTCGTCTGCCAAAGGCGCTGAAGCATTGAAGTACAGGGTAGATGCTGTGAAAAAGATTTACAATTTACATGTGATAAAAATCTAATAAAGAACTTTACAAAACATGCACAAGCCTTAGACTTACGTTCCAGTGAGTGTCCACGGAACAAGTCAGACAAACACAGAATATACTTTCATTATTCCATGGGGTAAATGTGGAAGTGAATTCATGTTTTTACACATTTCAAAATGAATTTTAAATCAGTGAATTTAAAAGAGGAAGATGTCATGGGTTTGGACTCACCCTGATCTGGAGCGAGACAATCACACCTGTAGGATGTGACGTAGTCGGGCTTAAATCCGCGGTTGATTGGATAATACTTGAAGGAACCTACCTAAAGAACACACAGTCAGTTTAGTCACATGTCTGGGTTCAACCTCTAGAAACAGGGGTGTCAAACCGGTTCTCAAAGGGCCCGTGTGGCTGCAGGTTTTAGCTCCAACCTGAGCAGGAGCACACCAGACTCCCAACCCATTTCCTCAGGTGAGTCCAGTTTTAACCTGAAGACTTGAAGAAATAGGTGGAGTCTGATGTGCTCCTGCTCAAGTTGGAACCAAAACCCAAAGCCACACTGGCTCTTTCTGGAACCGTTTTGACATCTGTGCTTTAGAAGAACATACCATCTTCTTGATAGCATCAGAGATGAATATAAAGGAGATGAGACTAGAGAAACCTTCCTCGGTGAAGCGGGTCATGTATTTGATGATGTAGCTTGCATCTGACAGAACCAGCACGAAACACTGGATACAGGAGTGAATGCCGATCCACAGACGCAGCTCCATGTAGTCGATGCCATTGTTCCTGCAAGAAAAACAGGAATTATATTGTTTTATTATGTTTTTATAGGGCAAGAAACGTTTTACTCACTTGCTGAACTCGTATAGTAGCTTTTCAAAAATGAGAATTGGACCTGTAGAACTGAGGATGATGAGAGGCTGTCCCCCAAACAAACAGAAGACAATCCCAGCCAGAGCAGTGCCGAGGAAACTCTCCATCACACCCTGAGCAAAACACACCGCATTACAATGAACGTGCATCAACCGTGTCTGATTATTGTGCTGAATGTTGGCAGTAACCTGGTAATTGTCTGTGGCGTCTCCCAACAATCCTCCAAAGGTGATAGCGTTAGTGATGCAACCAAGGTAAATGAAGAGCACTGCAGAGATGGACTGGATGTGAATGCCGTCGTAGATATCGCTACAATACCAAGGGGCCTTCCTCTTAATATCCAGCCACAAGCCACCGCCAAATCTATACAGAAAAACCATTTTAATATCAAATACAGCCAGAAACAACACAATTTAAAGCCCCATCACTACAACACCTTCCGGTAAATTTCAGTTCCTCTGCGAGCTCGTGTTGAGGCGGCATCTCGTCGTCTGCTACAGGTCCTCCACCGGCCGAGCCATTCATTTTGCCGAGCTCATTCAAGTTCAGCACAGACTTCCTTTGGTAAAAACGATTCAAGATTCAAGAATTTATTTGCAGTAAAAACACATTGGAAAAACTGTGCAAGACTACCCCAGTGTGCACCAGACGGCACACACCAGAGTTCTTGCCATGGCGCCATTTTTCCGGTGCCATGTTAAAGTTTACTTGTATTAGATATAGTGAGAATGTGCAACAAACCTCATTTCTGCAGATGGGACTTTCTTGGGAGGTTCGATTCGAATTTTAGGGTCCCACTCCCCCGGTGGAAGAACGATTACTTCATCCAGAAACTCATCCACTCCAGCAATCAGGTCTTCTCTGTCGCGAGCTTTGTATGCAACATCGCTGAACAGCTAAGGCAAAAAAGTAAGTGATCTTTATTCATATTGCGCATTTTTACAGACCAAGGTCACCCAAAGCGCTTTGCAATGTTCAGAGTTCAGATATTGTTTCATTCTCTCCACACACGGTGATGAGGGAAGTGAGACGCCAAACACACTGGAGCATCAAAGCCTCTGACCAAACACCATCCATTCACTCACTCATTACATTCAGACCTATTGTGCATGTTTTTAGTGGTAGGAGAAACCGAAGCACCTGGAGAAAACTTACGCAGACACAGGGAAAACCAAAAATTCCACTCAGCTCACCACTCAGCAATCTCAAAAACACAATAATTCAATATAATAGATTACATTTTGTTAAATGAGCAGTATGTAAAAAATCTGGCCAAAAGTGGTACTGCAAGCCACTCTCCCTGACTAGGTTGCCAGATATGCAGACGTATCCAGCTGGGATCTTAATAACTGAAGAGACAAGAGTTTTGTCAACAACAAACACCTTTTACACAAAGGCCCCGATAGAAATCCTTATTTATTCCTTGTTTGGTCATTAATGATTTGAGAATCACAATTTAGGGCTTGTAAAACTAATTTTGAAATTAAAATATCTCGACTGAACTACTGTTAACAGTTAAACAAGTTTTCGAAAAGAGCATGGTTTATTAATGCCTTTTGACAGATTAGGACCATTTAATGATGACTTGACATGAAAATCTTACATATTGCTACTTTAAACTTACATCATCCACCATAAGTGTAGCAATAGCTCTGCCAATCTCATGGTACGATTTGTTTTTTCCATGAGGACCCAGAAGAATGAAGAGAAACCTGGAAGGAGAAGATCACATAATACATCCACAAATGACTAGAGTAATAGATAATATAGATCCACATATGACTAGAGGTAGTTCCCACCTGGTCGGGACAGGGACCTCAGTGAGGCCTCCCAGAGTTGCAGCTTGGGACAGGCGCACGAAGGAAACAAAGGGTTTGTCCAAAAAGTCCACCTCACCGATGAGTACGTTCGACGCTTCAGCATCGCGTGGGATTTTCTTCATGAACTTGTTCTTTAACTACACAAACCAATGAAAAACTATTGTAATTATGGCAGGGCTGTGTCAGTGACTGCCCACCTGCACTATGGAAAAACAGGTTAATACGAACAGCATTTAGTAAAAACCAGGATTTACTGTAAGAGACACTGGATTCTACGATTTCAGAAACTTTAAAGGGTGGAGTTCTAACAATCACTAATCTGGAGACACTTTGCGTTCTTGTCTCACAAACATTAAATTTGAAGTAACTTTTAAACCATATCTATTCTTTGTGCTACTGTGTCATGCACAAGATTACCACAAACCAGATTACCACAGCACAATACATTTCCAACTTAAGCACAATACATTTCCAACTTTGGCACAAGTTAATGTGGATTAGCAGGATTATGACATTCTTCTAACACCTAGGAAAAGAACCACAAAAAGCATGTACCTGGTCATTGCTTGGAGTGTCTGAAATATCATTCATACTTCGGCTCTGATTGTAATCTGTGAATGAATAAAAACCCCTGTTATCGCTGCTTCAGTCCCAAAAGACGGAATTCTGAAAGACTCAAACCCAACGGGACAGGCCTAAAACAACACCGTACATAAGTAACGAGATTACATAGAGGCGAAGACATGCAGAATGTTAGTTAAGTGCAGTTTAAATGAAAGAAGGATTCAATCTCGTGGTGCATTCAACTCACGCAGGCGGCCGAGGCTGCTCGACTGGCGAGAGCGAAGGTCTTCTGTGGAGTGGTGGATCCCAGAAGCTGTGCTAGTGCTACGACTCAGATTAACAGGACTACGATCTGACAGAGGCACACATCCAGAGGGTACAGAAGGAAAGCGCCACAAAGCAATAGGACGGTGTTACTCGCAGGCTTTGTTAGTGAGAGAAATGAAAAGTCAATGATGCAGAGGGACTTACTTGCGGCGGCAGCGGAGGGCTTTCCGATGTCGGCCAGAGAGCGGTGGATCGGCTTCTTTGTCTGGTGACGATGCTTTCGAAGAAGTACAAAACTAATCTTCTCCTTCAAGTCTGGAGCAATGAGGCCGTCGGCAATTTGTCGCTCCAGGATGTCATCTGGAAGACAACACCCATTGTGTGAGATGTGCCGATTCACTCGCTCCAATGCTTTCTATTAGAGATTTTGTTTATATGATGATAAATAATAAGAATACCTCTTTACAGGAAACCCACCCAGAAATATAGAAACTCCACAGACATAGGATCCTGATTGGATGCAAAATAACTTTCTCCAACTAAACACCGACAAGACTGAAATAATTGTTTTCGGACCCCAGAAACAAAGAGAGAGCGTTATTTGTCACCTCCAGGCTCTCTCTCTACAACCCTCAAATCAGGTCAGAAATCTAGGAGTGATAATGGACTCAGACTTAAATTTCAAAAGCCACATAAAATCTGTAACATCAGCAGCTTATTACCACCTAAAAAACATTGCTAAAATTAAAAACATAGTGTCTAAGGCAGACTTGGAGACTCTTATACACGCTTTTGTCTCCAGTCGGTTAGACTATTGCAATGGCTTGTTCACAGGTCTCTCCAAACAGGCTGTAAAACAGCTGCAGTACATTCAACATGCAGCAGCTCGAGTCCTGACCAGAACTAGGAAGTGCGACCACATTAGTCCAGTTCTCAGGTCTCTGCACTGGCTTCCTGATCCTCAGAGAATAGACTTGAAAGCAGCTTTACTTGTGTACAAGTCTCTCCATGGTCTCGCGCCAAGGTACATCCACGACATGTTTGTGCCATATGAACCGACCCGGACTCTGAGGAGCACAGGGACTGGACTCCTGTTAGTGCCCAGAGTCGGTACTAGACATGGGCAAACTGCATTTCAGATTCATGCGGCTAGAGTCTGGAACCGTCTTCCTGAGAATGTGAGACAGGCGTCTACTCTGGCATCTTTTAAATCTAGGCTCAAAACAATTCTGTTTAGCTGCGCATATACAACTGAATGATTTTATCTTTTCATCTTTGTTTTTATCTTTAATCTTTTTAATGCACTGTGACTATTTATGATTTTAGTCCCATCTGTGATTTTAATGTTTAAAGGTTTTTAATTTTTGTGATTTTATTTTTAATGTTTTTAATATATCTTGTGCTCTTAATGTGTTTGATTTGTGCATGCTGTGATAGGGGATGTGAAGCGCTTTGCGTTGCCTTGTGTAGGAAAGGCGCTCTACAAATAAACGTTGATTGATTGATTGATAGAGCATGGATCAACATGGGATAAACCTACTTTTCTTGCTTAAGGTATGCCCTCTCAGTTTATTTGATTTTGCTGGTTTCTTATGGTTTTGAGCTGTATGTAATTGTTAAATATTCTATTTTTTGGTCACTAAATATACCCATCATGCTCAGGGACATTTCCAGTAAAATCTAATATTCAGAGGAATCAGGACCAAACTCACAATTAAAGGAATATCAAAAATGTTGCAAAAATAATGATATAAATGTTAGATCTATTCAAAAACGTATCTGTTTCCTCTGTACTGAAACGTGATCTTCCTGTGACGTGTCTTGTCATTTATTTTACACAGTTCTTTGATGCTGCCTTCCCACCATAGGGCAGCACCACAGCGCCAGGTATTTTGACTTCTTCGGGACAGAATCCCAGGTGTGTGACAGTAACAAAGCCCCCTCGTCCCGGTTTATAGACCTGGGGGCAAGTTTTGTGTATTTCTTGGCCCTGGTTCAATCCAGACCGAGCTGGTGCTAAAGTGTTCTAACTGACAATGATTGATGAGAGCTGCTGGAAGCCATGAAACTGGTTTGTTGTGGTTTGGTTGTGAGGATACAGAATCAGATACTAAAGCGCAGTGGAAACACAGCCGAGTAGAGTAGAGTAGAGCCAAATCGGGCAGGTGGGAACGGGGCTAACGTGTATTAGTAAGTAAGTAAGTAAGTAAGTTTTTATTTATATACCGCCTTTTCACTGCAGATCTGAGTCTCAAAGCGGTTTACAATTGTTAATTTTTGGGCATTTGTCTCTCACTCCACACAGAGATGGGAGCGGGGCCAGTACAGGAAGCGCATGCCAGACCTATTGGACATATTTTTAGTGGTATAGGGGAAACCGGAGTACCCGGAGGAAACCTACGCAGACACGGGGAGAACATGCAAACTCCACTCAGAAAGGCCCTGGTCCGACCGGGATTCGAACCCAGGACCTTCTTGCTGAGAGGCGAGAGTGCTATCCACTCAGCCACCGTGCCGCCCGTGGTATTGGATGTTTAGTTTCCTTGCTTACCCACAATCTGCGGTAGAGAATTTCCTTCAATATCCAGAAGAATGCTGCCGGTCTGGAGACACGTGCGCAGTTCAAACAAGCTGTGGAGGGTCAGGGTGGACACATGGGGTTTGCTCCAGCGCTCTCCTCCTTCCTCCACTTTCTCCTCGAACTTCACCCATCTGAGAAAGACCTGTTTTTGTTTCTGAAGACAATGCTTTTTAAATGTGTTAAATAAATGTCATACCTGGCTGACTCTTTCCACTGCAGCTCATCGCCATCTTGCTGGAGAGTGTCCATCTCAGTGAAGATCGTGGGGTTGGGCGTGCCATCATCGTCCCCTAAAATGTGCCGTAATCTCTCCGCTGCCGGTGAAACTATAACAGAAATTAGTGTTGATTTAAAGCTGGGGTAAGTTATGTAAAAGTAAAATATTAAAAAAAAAAATTAATCAACCAAGCATGTCTTTGGTCTACTCATAGACTGTAAAAAATAATGGACGTAGTCACGCCTATCTCCGCCGTTCTAACTAATCGGCCAAAAAATGTGCTCTACTGGAGCTATCCAAAATGGCTTCGAGTGGTCCCGCCCACAAGAAAATTTTGAAAAAACGCATCTGCGCATGCGTCAGCCGGCGCAGCTCCATTCATTTGAACAAGAGACTTCAAAAATTCACAGCAAGTAAACTAGAGTGGTCCAAAAAAATTCACTCCCCTCAGCATTGACACACATGTGGAACAGAGCTTTGGGCAAGAACCAACTTTTGGACCATCCTGTAAAGAGGATGCAGCCCGGGGTGGTATTGCAAGCATGTCAGCGCACGTCATTTTGGCCACTTTTGAGCCGGGACCCGCCCCCACTGGGTCTACTATAGCCTTAGACTGGAGCAAAAAGGCATGTCCAAAATGTAAAAGTAATACTGCCGCCTTTACGATGCGGAATAATATTAGAAAACATGTCATCTTTTGCATACTTGTAAGAAACATCCCTGTGAGTCACTATTTGACGCTTTGGGCTGAGAGTTTATTGGCTCTTTGTTGTGACAGAGGCCAAAAATATGTGCATGTGAAAACTGTTTTAAAGCCAGAAAAAAGTGAGATGGAACTGATTGTGGTTCCATTGTTGTAGTTTGAAAGTTAGGTACCTCAGCTTTAACAGTCCAATTTTATTCATACTAACATTGTAGAGTTTAACAGGATATCATTTGAGAAGCAGGGTTCAAACATTGAAAAATAGACGGCTCAGGAGACAAGATTAGAATAAAAAATAATGTATTCAAGGTAGCTACTGGTTAAAAAACACGGCCTTCATCAGTTTTGTATTTCTTAGATTTCACCAGCAACAAACTCCAACAAAATAAACATAGAATTGAAGCTGTTGTATTTGAGACACTGTTACCTAATTGAATAATGAAGTGTTCACAGGGCGAGAGACAGTCAGTTCCTTTATTGATGAGAACTGATCTATTAGTCACCACATTTTCTAATTTTACTTTGAGTAAATCAATCTCCATTAAGATTCAGCCCTGCAGCCATCTCTGTGTGTGCTCCGCTTCCCCTTTTTGAACTGCAATCTGAAAAAGTCAATGACCTCATACAAGTGGTCTGACTTTTAAGTGAATTTTAAGTGACACAACTTAAATTCATCATGTGATACTTCAGTTCTGTACAATACGGCAATCAAAACAAAACAAAAACAAATCAGACTGCTGTCCAACCATTCAAGTCCAAATTGGGTCACGAGGTCTGAAATCAAGAGGCTTACTCGTGTTTCTCTGTATTAACGGATAAAGTGGGAAAAAACGCACAAAGGAGATCTGTTTGTGTAGTTAAAAGTCAGCTAACGGCGCTAACGCAGCCTTGAAGCTAAATCAAGGGGATTAAATAGAAAGACAAGACTTGACATTATTAACAATATTGACAAACAAATAGAATAAATGAACTGCAAATAAACCCATACAACTCTTCAATCAGTTCATTATTGAAATAAATAAAAATCAAGCTAAATTGGGTTCCATATCATTTTGGTTTGATTTCTAGTTCCAATAACAATACAGCCTTTACCTGTCTCAGTGCTAGCCAACGTCCAGCATGACGGAGAATACACACTTGAGTCCTGCATGCTTCCTAAATCCTGAGAAAAATTCAACTTTTGTCGCCGCGTATTTCACTCCTGAAACATGTTTTTCTTTGTCCTCTGACTCGGCCCATGTATGTGGTCTGAACGTTAAAATGTCGGGAAAGCTTTGAGTACTGTCAAAATTACACTAAAAACAGGTAGAATCCGCCTGGACACACACCACAAGGCCCTGAAGTACTCTTCTGTGCAAACATTCAAGCTCTCTCCAGTAGCAGTTAGGTTTTCTCTCTTACTAATTCTCCAAAAACATCCCACTTTCCCACTTTCTTGCTGAAACTGGTTAAATGCACACACACTCACAAACTCAGACCTAAGCAGCTTACAGACTTCAGACTTTGCGGCCCCTTGGGAACAGGGACCAGGCTGGAAAATAATCATCACTGTAGTTCACATTCTTACCACCCACTGACCTGTTACAAGAGAGAGGATGAAACGTGTCTATGGCTCAATGCGAGAATAAAAACATCACAATTGACAAAGTAAATTAAATAATGGTATAATCATCAAACTCTCATAACTAAAGACTTGAAGCTACGAGTGCCGTAGAGCACAGACCTCCACCAATAAGCTTCATTCCTTAGATCAAAACACTTGTCCTTTGTCCCATATCTGAGCTTTCCTTCGTCAATCTGAGCCCAACGAACAGACAGAAAAACAAATTACATTACATACCGCCAATGCATTATGGGTTGTTGCAGATTTGCAACATTGGCCCACTGTGGTAAACAGAGATGTCTCAGGGAAAATACCTAGAGGAGATACAATCCACTAATTGGCATGTACAGTATCTATTTATATTATATCTGTTTCGGTGAAACCAAAGAAACCTATATTTTGGAAGTGAGACAGCTCCTCTAATGCTTGCTAATCCTCAACTGAGTCCAGCAGTGGTACTTCTGAGTAAAAAAGGGTAAAAAATTCACAGTAGTTAGGTAATAAGAAATGAAGCTGTTGCAAATCTGCAACACCTGCCGGGAGAGGGTTAAAACATTAGCTTATGATTACTTAGCTTGACATAAGTAATCATTCACTCCATACATGATGCTTTAAGCTACAACACACACTGAGAGAAGCTGCCGATCTGCTCCAATCAACCATATTTTATTGATCTTATTGATCTTATTGACATAGAAAGGCCCAGTCTGGAGGTGGAATCGAAAAACAGAACCTTCTTGCTGCTCCACAACGCCACCAAATAATTTACACACAATTACGTGCACACACATGTTCTTACACACATACACATGTTCTTACACACATACACATGTTCTTACACACATGTGTGTAATGAAGAAAGATTTGAAGTGTGGTAAATAAAAAGATAAGATAAAACAAACCAAAGAGGTCTTGGTCGTGGCTCTCGCTGCTGGCCTGGTCCTCCTCGTACCTCCCCTCTCTCTCGTGGTAGTAGTCTTGCTGCGGGGGCTCGCGGTGGCCGTGGTGGCCGTGGTTGTCGCTGTAGGAGTGTCGCGTCTCCGGCTCCGAGTTGGCGTACGCGTGTCTCCGGCGCCTCTTCCTTCGGTGGGACACTGGGACTCCAATGTACAGAGGCTGGACGTCTGAGGTCCCAACAAACACACAACCAGCATTTAGAGACGATAAAGGTTTAGATTCCCAATTCATGCTTCTTCCTCGTATTAAAGTTGGAGATTTTAGACTTATGTTCTTATTATGCAAAATATACAAGATTTTATGCTGCTTCTTTTTATGCTAGAGTTGGAAGAGTCTTATCATAGATTTTGGATTTTATTGGATATAATTTTATTTTAGTATAGAGCTATTATTAATTTATCTTGTGCTGTGTGCTCTTCATTCCTACTGTCTGTAACTTGTGATGCAACACTGAAATTTCCCCGCTATGGGACAAATAAAGGATCTTTTAATCTTCATGTGATGTCATATCAATTGGATATAAAATGAAAAAAAAGATGCAAAGACGTATAAAACAGTTGGATATAATGGTATAATGAGTATTCCGGTTGAAACTTGTAAAATTCAGATTCAAGTATATTTGCCATTTGGAGTGAAACCACATTAGAATACCTGTGCAAGCGTATCCCAGTGTGCACCAGACAGAGCTGCTAGCATGGCGCAAAATTCATATATTATTAAACTATCTTTTAACTTCTGTAATTCAACTTAAAATGTAAAACTAATATATGTAGAAATCTTTATTTATATAGCCCATTTCATAGACCAGAGTCACTCCACACAGAGACAGGAGTGGGGTCAGAAATGTGAATATTCTGAAAATGAACTGTAGCAATGATCATCAAAATTACCGTATAAACAAATGTCACGGTGTGTAATGAGTCTATGTCAAGTATTTGTTTAAAAATAATGACAGAAATAATAAAAATGTACTCCCACTGATACTACTGTCGTTGAGTCCTTGGGCAAGACACTTAACCCCACTTTGCCTGAAGCCCCCATTGAAAGATCTCAGCTCCTGTGGACTCACCACCTGCAGGAGGATCAGTGAGGGGCTGGTGCTCTGTGGACTGGGTACAGCTCTAACTGCGACGCCCCGACCCAGAAATGGATTAAGGGGAAGAAGATGGAGGGATGGATCAACTGTTTTTATTTCTAAATCCAGTTGAAAATATTATTTTTCTAGCTTATTTATATTTTTATATTATATTGTTTGCAGTTTATTACAATGGTATTTTGCACCTTGCCGAGGGACTACAGTTGGAACCTAGCTGTAAAGCTAACACTGACAAATTTACAGAAATATTGAATAATGTATTTTGTCCCTGTTAAAATAAACTCATAAAAAATAAAAATCTCAAGTTTTGTAGATTGCAAATATTGGCATCTGAATTAAAACCAAAACCATGTGGCAGAATCAGTGCAAGAGGCTGACGAGGAAACTTCTGTATTATGTCATTATTCATTATGTAATCACCATAGTACAGACTTTTATTCTATGGGATTAAATATATATGATAATTACCTCTCTATAAACCTCTTTACCTTTTGGAGAGCACCAAGACACAATACACACACACAAACACCTTCACTCCCCACAAAGGCACACGCAAATGCAAAGTTTGGATCACCTTCAGCTTCATCCTCATATCGCCGGTGGCCTTTGCTCCTTCCTCTCTGCCAGTCGTGTTGATCCATTCTGGAAGAAACACACTTTACTTTTTGAACAGACAAATCAAAGAAAGAGTCCCAATGCCGTAACTCCCCCTCGTCCCACACTGTATCTAATGTGCTATTGCCAGCAGTCAATAGGAGAACTCAATGGAAATCCCAGCACGCATATGACGACTGAGCAGACCATGGAAACGAAAAGTACAGGAATTCCAGGGATGATCACTAATTTGAAATGGTTTGTGTGACAGAAGGTGTTTGTACTCTGTGGCTTTTACCATAAGGGGCGACTGACCAATGTCCATAAATGTTTATAGATGTGCATTTCCTTTCTGATGGGGTTACACCACTTACAACCTACTCGTTGTCATAGAGACGTCTTTGCTTTGCTTGAAATATTGCCATAAATAGTAATATGATTAAGAACAGGTACATTCCTCAGATATGGATAATTTTAGTTAACAAAATACTGAATTTTTACAGTGAGAACACTCGCTTCACCACAGATGCCCCTTGCTTGCTTCTAAAGTAAATGGGAAGATTATGGACAAAAATTCCAAGGAAAATAGCAATATTTAGATAAACCCAAGGTAAAAAGACAGCAGTAAAGTTTTGCGCAATAATACACTCATTTATTTGAGACCTTTAGCTTTACCTGTGAAACAATTGTTATGTATCTTAATGACGTTTTTTACTTTTTAGACCCGCAAAGAATATGACAATAAACACAACATGTAGAAGTTGAATGCAGCTGCTAACTGAAGTACAATAGTTAAAAATGTTTAGTTACGTGCACAATTTAGCAGCAGTAGGTACAGACGGTGAGATGCAGACAAGAACTCTCTCTAACCCCTAAATTAATTCTAATGGTTTACAGACAACATTTAGGAGTTGAAAAAGGGGGTTTGTGGAGCTATGATGGAGGCTGTGATTTGGGTGAGTTTCTGGGCTGATCAATATGTGCCATTCCCATCACCAACAAGTTCCTGAACCCTGGGCACTGACTGTGAAGGACAGTCACGTGAGGGCAGTCATGCAAACACATTTGTGGTCCAAACTACACACTTATAACACACGCGCACACACTAGGATTACACTATTAAGACTTCTGAGAATGTACCAATGGTTGTTGCTGGTCTCCTCCACAAAGTTACTCACACGGTTTCAACACATTCATGATACTAATAATGGTAGGTGAATAAAAACTAAAGCATCTCTCTCTCTGAATGTGTGAACAAGCCACGATATCGTATAAGCTGTATCATTGTCAAGCCGTTCTGGGTGAAAATATGATTCAGAATCATGAGTAAGGTATACATGAAGAAATAAATATATACATTACATTTCTTAAAATCATTGTGAGAAGTAAAGTATTATCAGGTGGAAGTGATGGAAGGAATGCCACAAGGAGTTTTCAAGTTGTAAGATATGAAGCAAGCATTAAAAAGTGAGGATAAAACATTTTCTTAGGAGTGCGTTCAATTTAACTGCACTAATCCTGTTCACTTTGGGGCAAAATGTATTCATTTGTGGATCTAAAACCATTGAACATGCGTCCAAAAAACACATAAGCCAGTTTACACTTTCTGAAACAAGTCTGTGCATCATTTCCCCCCGTGAACCAGACTTGATCCAGTTAAAGTGAACCAGACTTGATCCAGTTAAAGTGAACCAGACTTGATCCAGTTAAAGTGAACCAGACTTGATCCAGTTAAAGTGAACCGGACTTGATCCAGATAAAGTGAACCAGACTTTATCCAGTTAAAGTGAACCAGACTTGATCCAGTTAAAGTGAACCAGACTTGATCCAGTTAAAGTGAACCAGATGTGATCCAGTGAACCAGACTTGATCCAGTTCAAGTGAACCAGACTTGATCCAGTTCAAGTGAACCAGACTTGATCCAGTTCAAGTGAACCAGACTTGATCCAGTTAAAGTGAACCAGACTTGATCCAGTTAAAGTGAACCAGACTTGATCCAGTTCAAGTGAACCAGACTTGATCCAGTTCAAGTGAACCAGACTTGATCCAGTTAAAGTGAACCAGACTTGATCCAGTTAAAGTGAACCAGACTTGATCCAGGTAAAGTGAACCAGATGTGATCCAGTGAACCAGACTTGATCCAGTTAAAGTGAATCAGACTTGATCCAGTTAAAGTGAACCAGACTTGATCCAGTTAAAGTGAACCAGACCAACAAGAGTGAGCATAAACCCTTAACATGTTCAAAACTAAATAAAAATGTCCCAAATACTGTTTTGTATCACATTTTGAATTAACACATAATTTCACATTTTTTGCAAGAGATTAGGATAAGTATCCTTCAAGAAAATGGGTTGAACTTACCTGTTATAGAAGGTTTCAGCAAAAAGCCGTGATTCTGATAATTTCTAGTTTAGTGAACCGAGAGAGAAAATGCCACACGGACAGATGCCTCTGAACTAAAACTAAGTAGACTATTGAGTCCCACTCGAGTGTGAATGAGATCGATTGATTGGTTGGGGACATCCAATCATAGCCTTAACGTCGCTCAATGTTACAATAATGTGACGTAAAGTGTTAAAGCTGTTTCCTGATTGATTTGAAAATTGTCAGTATTGTCAATAAAGTCAATAAATAAGTTGTCAATGCACTGAAAAAAGTACATGTTTTGAATATATAACATAAATAATGCATTTTTTTGCTTGAAATTAGTTTTTCCTTTAAGATGTGACTAGTTTTGAGATAATAATATTTCATCATGTTAATAGAGAAGTCTGAGAAGTGAGTTTTTAATGCCTGAAAAAAAGCACCTGAAATGTATTATTTTCTTATTTTCAGAAATCTTGCAAAAATCATGTTCTCTTGTTCTATTGGCAGATATTTTTTTCTTATTTTTTTCAAGGGATTTTTTTCCCCTGATCTCAAAGAAGTCTACATGGTTTAAGTGTTTACAACTATAGAATATTAGAACAGAATGAATTTCCTTCAAAGAGTCGCTGGGTGCCCACTTTGAGATAGTGAGGAACTTGGAGTAGAGCTGCTGCTCCTCCACGTTGTGAGTGGGGTTTTCTACCATTTTCAGGTGGAGCGTGGGCTGGAGGAGGTGTGTGTGAACAGGTGGTCTGGGCGTCTCCGCTCAGACTAACGATAATGCAACTGCAAGATGGATAGAGAAAAGAAGAGAATGGATGAAGGAATGATGAAGTATTTTTAGAGTAAGCCTATTTGCTGCTCAAAGTTACTTACCAACAACAATAAGGTGTTATTACGATGACGGCCATCTTCTTTTTTTGCTTTTATTACTTTATCGTCCCAGCCTTCAGTGCCACGAGAGCTTCTGTCTTGTGAGTCCACTGGTGGTCACATGTCACCTGTAGAAATGTATTTCTATAGTAAAGATTTCAATTCAATTTTAAGTAATTACTGCATCTCAATGACACCAACATGTTGTCAGGTGAGGGTTGAATGAGTGTGTGTTTCTGACTGTGGAACTAATACAGATGGAAACGAGCAACAAAGCTACAATCTGGTGTTTATTTACAGGTCCTCCATCCATCCATTTTCTTCCTGGTGTTCATTAATACACATTGTACAAATCCAATCATGAATTAAATTAAATGTTTCATCGGGTAAGAGCAAGAGCAGGGTTAGATGTTATGTTATGTTGAGGGGTAAGAATAGGGTAAAGGTTAGAGTGATGAGGATAAACAGAGATCCTGGACTGTTAATTATGTGGTGATGTCACATCATGCAAAAAGCAAAATGATAATCATATCCAACAACATTATGATCAAAAAAGATGATAAGCACCACAGGAACAGTCATCCTTTTGTGAGTTTGTTTGTCTCCAGATCATAAAACTAATGAGTACAAGAATTAAGAGCAAAGAAATGTGTGGTTGAATCATAAGTGAAAAGAATGGACATAATGGAGAGAAGAACACGAGGACAAATGACTAACACGTGCGTTCAAAGCTAAAACTGTTGAAATTTTGTAATATTTCATCAAAGTAAAAGTGTGCACCCATACAAACAGTATTCATATCTACAGTCTAACTCAGTGTCTGGGAGCAGGGATAATGTGAGCTGTGATGGACCGTGACGTAAACATCCAATGATTCGTGACGCGCATGTTCCGACCTCGTGCCTGTCTGACTGTGACGTAGGCCCCTGGGAGAGGAGAGACGTCTGCTGTTGATATCAGAACCATACACTGTACATAGATGGACAGTGCTAACACGTTAGCCACTCAATGAAGCCCATTAGGAAAGTACTTATGGACGAAGTTTAGTTCCAACTCGCTCTGGCTCCATTTGACTTTCATTGAAAAGTTTAGCTCAGTAAGCGGCCTTAAAAAAGAGAAAAAAAGCGTTCTCTTTGGTCCTGTTGTTTATATTCTGATGTTATGTTTAGATATATAAGATTGGGGGGGTCCCAGATCCATGGGTCCCCCACTGATCCTCCTGCATCACCATCGACAGAGCCTTTCAGGGGGGCTTCAGGCAGAGTGGGGTTAAGTGTCTTGCCCAAGGACACAACAACAGACATCAGTGGAAGTTGATAGAGTAGGTCTTGTGGGGGGATCAAACCCCCAACCATTATTTGTTTATATCAAAATAGTTGAAAAGATGTGAGCTGTGCAAAGGGATGTGCGACTGTGGGAGTCACTCTGTGGGAGTCACTCTGTGGGAGTCACTCTGTGGGAGTCACTGTGTGGGAGTCACTCTGTGGGAGTCACTCTGTGGGAGTCACTGTGTGGGAGTCACTCTGTGGAGTCACTGTGTGGGAGTCACTCTGTGGGAGTCACTCTGTGGGAGTCACTGTGTGGGAGTCACTCTGTGGAGTCACTGTGTGGGAGTCACTCTGTGGGAGTCACTGTGTGGGAGTCACTCTGTGGGAGTTAGGGCTGGGCGATTAATCGATTTTAATCATTAATTCGAGTTTTACGTTTAGGGCGATTTCTTTTTTTAAAAATTCGATTTTTATTTTCTCCAGCGCAGAACTACAGCGCTAACGCGCTAACCGCGGGTCTATGGTGTTGAGCAGTGTCCCGTGTCCGTGGCGCGCACACACTCGTGTCCCACTGAGCCGCTGCACTTTGGGGAAAGACGTCTCACACATTGCTCTCATTGCTCTGATACAAACAACGTGTTCCCCGCTGTCTGTTAGCTACAGTAGCTGTTAGCTACAGTAGCTGTTAGCTACAGTGGCTGCTACTGTGCTACAGTAGCTGTTAGCTACAGTAGCTGTTAGCTACAGTAGCCGTTAGCTACAGTGGCTGCTACTGTAGCTGTTAGCTACAGTAGCTGCTACAGTAGCCGTTAGCTACAGTGGCTGCTACTGTAGCTGTTAGCTACAGTAGCTGCTACAGTAGCTGTTAGCTACAGTAGCTGCTACAGTAGCTGTTAGCTACAGCATCAGAATGTAAACAGGAAGCTCGCACAATGCGGGAGTCACTGAAGTTAGTATTAGCGCCACCAGCTGGACCGAGCGTTGTACTACAGCACAGTTACTCAGGCACAGTTGAAAGAACAAGCATGAAAACCCGAGGAGGCTTTTGGAAAAGACTGTCTGTTACAACATTTCTACTTTGAGTAATCAGTGCATGTGTGTGCAATGCATGTGTTTAATAGGATTGATATATTTGCGATGGGCCTTGTTTGTGTGATTTAAGTTATTTTGAAGGTGCATAGTGTCATTGTAAGTGAAGTTATTATAAAACTGTTAAGCTACATTTTCACTGTTTACAATGGCAGAGCCATCTCGTTTACAAGCATGTTTTAAGGCTTAATTCCTGTTACACTTATGCTCCATGGGGATTTAGATTAAACTGCATAAAGGAAAATCTATTTCTTTTGTCAGTTGTAGTTTGTTTTTAAATAGAAAAAAATAAATCGATTAAAATCGAAAATCGGATTTGGTGTGAAAAAATCGGAGATTTTTTTTTTTGCCATATCGCCCAGCCCTAGTGGGAGTCACTCTGTGGGAGTCACTCTGTGGGAGTCACTCTGTGGGAGTCACTCTGTGGGAGTCACTCTGTGGGAGTCACTCTGTGGGAGTCACTCTGTGGGAGTCACTTTGTGGGAGTCACTCTGTGCAGCAGTGAGATCCCTGGAGACTCCTCTGAGAACAAGGAACAACTTTTGGCCAAACTTAAGGTGAGAAATCACCCTTCATTTCATAAATATCATTGTTTAATTTGATGGATGTTTAATCCTTTTGAGACAATAAAAATGGGACTATTTAAACCCACATCTCTGTTCTGTGGCAGGTGGTGAAAAGGATCATCATAGTTTGTTTTGTGCTGACTGCCATATCACATCTTCCTGCTGCACCAATTCTTTCCATAGATTTTGGAGCATGTGTACATTCAGCCAGTCTAATGGCCAATATGAGGCTGGTTATGAGCTCCACTATGTACAAACCATAGACTGTACAAACCCTCATCTACTACTGTCTCAACAGCAGGTATATTGTTAGCATCTGAATTGCAATCATTGAGCTATAATGAATGAATGAATGTTCCTTTGTGTAAGATTTAGAGCTGGCTTCCAAAAGATGTTGTGCCGCTGTGTAGTCAACATGGCAAAGGAATAAATAGAGCTAAACTCCCCTCAGTACAGACCCAGGTGTGTTGGGGAGGATGAAAAGTCCAGGCATGTAGTCTTTATTCATCTGTCAGACTGCGCTCAGCACAGATGTAATATATTTATTTTAACCAATACCTAACAAGGAAGACCTGGACACTGAAGGATGCATGAGGAAGACTCAGCTCTCCTGGCTTTGGGAGGGAAGCTGTTTGTCATGGATAATAATTTGTGCAGAACACTTTTCAGCTCAAGTACAACAATCTCTAGCTGGTAATTACGTTTCAAAAAATAAAAGTTAAAACCCTCAAAATACCTTTCATGTGTTTTTCTGTAGATGGCTTGTTTTTATTGTCAATATCGTAGAGACTGATGCAATTAGAGTAAAGTTAAATACAAACATTTAATTCAATTCACATTTAATTAAATGTTTAACATATTGTTTCCTACGATCATCATGACCTCCACCCAGGAGAGGTAATGTGTTCACCGTGTTTGTCGGTGAGCAAGAGAACTCAAAAGTTACAAGAGGGTCTAGACAGATCTATTAGGAAATGTGTGTCATTGACAAATGGTCAGCTCATCCCATGAATCACCATCTGGATGCAGGATTTCTCCAGTGGATCATATAAATACAAGACATTTACTGCCATCTAGAGGTGAGTAATCGATACTACTAAATGTACAGTCTTTGCTCAGTAGCGGCCAAACGATTCTTGCCAGGATTAGGTTTCTGGAAGAGAAATCATTTACACAACCTTATCTTCAGAAAAGAGAAGCACAAAACTGGAGTACATTTTTTCACTTTGATTCATTAGTCAAATGGTAGAGCACACATTGTCTGGACACTGAATGTACAATACTTAGTTACAAAGTCAGAAAGTTGTTAACTTAAACAATAAGGCACTGTATAGTCAAGTCAAATATTTACAGCTTCACAGAGTCCAATAGTTTACATTTAGAAATGTGTTAATGACACAGGTCAGTCTTTTCCAGCTGAAGTACCTCACCTTTTTGTTTTTACATATATGTCGTTTGTCCTGACAAACTGCAGAGATAGTTGTGTATGTGACATTTTGTGACAAAATCAGACCACAACATGCGGTCTTCATATTATTAGAAAACATCCACATACAGAGAGACGATGACTGAGTGAAGGCTGGTACTTGATTTGTTTTTTTGTGATAAAGATAATACATGCATTTGAAAACTAGTCACCAGTTTGGAGAAGTTATAGATTTTATTACATAGTTTGTAGGGTTTGTTTTTCAAAATAAATTGGGTACACCAGCTTTAAAACACGTACATTAAACATGGTCATGGCAGGAGTTTTCCCCAAGGCACAATGGCAATAAAAAGTTCCCTTGTTCTTAAAAGAGAAACAAAGATATTCCACAAGAGTAAACTACTGTTCAAGTGTTATTTTGTTCCCAGTGATATGCGTCAACACTCACTCATTCCACCTCTTGTTCCCAGGGAACGCGAAGTTCATTTTAACAGCTAACATAGTTAAATACTGCAGTAGTTCACACAAGTGACTTCAGCAAATGTGAACTCTTTGACAATTGATAAAGTCCTGGAGTGAAGTGGCGGTCCTGCAGATCAGTCCATTAGTTTGAAAGCAGATCACAGCACCTGCATTGTGTTTTAGTCATTTTCCTCAAGTAGACACGTTTTCTCATCCGGTGAAATGGTTTGATTTCTGTCAGACGCAGCAGCAGCAGCAGCAGCAGCAGCGGCATTGCACTTACTTCTCTGTATACAAAGTAGAGAAAATAAAATAAAATGACTATCTAATAAAAAGGCAGTCTTGTCACCCTATTTAAACATGATTAACAAAACATACACCTTGTGCAAACATTGACTAGTTTCTGATGTGAATAAAAACTCACTAAATGACAAACTGACATTGTCGCACCCACCTGAGTTTTTAAGTTTATTTTTCTCCACTTCATGAGAGCTCTTCATTGACCCCTGAACAAATGATCACACAGTTCTTCAGCAATTACTACAGGAATGTGCATTTCGATAGTGAAACCAAGAGTGTTATTGGGGTGGTAGGATTCATGCAATGATTTGTGATAGTTAAAAGAACGTGCAATTAAGAGTAGAATGCAATATCCATTCCAATTTCTTCTGCTTTATCCATTTATTCGCGGCAGTAGCAGTATGAACCCAGACTTCAACACACTTCCTCTTGCTCATCCAGAAGAATCCAAGTTGTTCCCAGGCCAACAGAGACACAGCCTTGGCTCATCCAACGCGTCCTGGGTCATGCCTGGGGTCTACTCCTGGTGAAACTGACGCCCGAGCCAACTTCAACTAGCTCCTCATGACGTGGAGAAGCAGCCGCTCTACTCCAATCTCCTCTTGTGACAGCTCCTCACACTGGGCCTCATGTATGAAACTTGCGTACAGCCAAATCAGGGTGTAAATGGAGGCGCATGCAAAATATTTTACACTTTTCCGCATTTATCAATCTGGACGTGAGCGTACGGTTCGCACAGAATTCAGGAGGTGGTGTAAATGTATACGCTCATGTCACCCTTCATCACAACACGCCAAAACACGCATGAAATTCAAGATTTGGACAATAATGAACATGTTTCCACTCTGGCAAAATTATAAGCTGTGTTTTCATTGAGCATCATGTTTCGGAATTAGAATTTGCGCATCAGAAAAAGTCTAACTCTCTGGAAACACGCAAACTTTGAATAAATTACAGATCATGGTGAGAAGCCTCTTCTGTTTCTATGATTTTAAATCTGACTTCTGTGTGTATTATTTGGATCTGTATGTTTTTAAAATGTGAAGGTCTTTGTGATCCTGGACAGTGAAAGGCTCAATACAAATACACTTTACGCCACAGGGATGTGTGACCCATATATTTCTGTGGCAGGCGCTGCGTAAGTACGCACGGCTATTTGTATTCCTCATTCACATCTGGTAAAGCAGTGTATGTCTTCATTAGATTTGTGTAAGCCTCACACAGACACACAACCCATTAATGCATGGACCAATGGACTATGGTATTGCTCACTCCAAATGTCTCGCTGCCCTGTCCACCCGCTGCACACTCTTGGGAGTGCATGCAGAGCAGGTGACAAGAGAGGTCGCGCCACATAACTCCTCAAATGCTGTCATTCAGAAGTTTTGGCTCTAGAGTTTCACTTGAGAGCAAACGCTCTCAAGTGAACAGCGCTTCATTGCATTCACAAGACGATGAGAGCCACCGCTGCACAATATATATGACCTGACCTGCTGCAAAAACAGGGCGTGAAACAGGCGATTGCTGCATAATTCTAGGCGTGACTTTCATAAATACGATTGTTTTCAGCCGCGGGATTTATGAACACCTGCAGGTGCGTACGCACAGATCTGGGCGCATCTCACGCGTTCATAAATCTGTCGTTGGATCTTGAGTAAATGGAACATACACCCAAAATATACACCCTTTTCTGCGCAACTTTCATACATGAGGGCCACTATCTCTAAGGGAGCACCGGCCATTTCGCAGGTACTGTAAGAAGCTCATTTCTTGAATTCGCGATCTGGTCCTTTCGGCCATTACCCAAAGCTTGTGACCAGAGGTGCGGGTGAGAACGTAGATTGAAGTCAAAGCTATAGATTTACTGGTCAGACACTGCTCTAATAACGACAGAATCACTGCACACGCTGCACCCATCCATCTATCAATCTCACGATTCATCCTTTCATCACATGAGAACAAGACCACGAGATACTTCAACATGCATTATTACTTTTTATAATCCGTTATAATAACTTGTCATCAGACATGCAGGTACAGTGTAATTTTGTACCAATAAATTATTGGCCAATTACTGAAGAATCAGATTTATTTTTTTTTGAAGGATTTCTGTAATGTGGTACTTGTACAAACCCTGTAGGCACGTTTTTTTATTCCCCTCCAGACTTCTGCAAAAAGACATGAAGCCACTGACTATTGCATTTTATAATGATCCACTTTTTATATGAATGGGTAGCAGAACTAGAAATGCGTTTATAAACATAATCGGCACAGATGTCCTTTCAAAGTCATTGAACTCATTGGTCTCTAATGAATATTTAAATATAGTCCTGATCCCTAAACAGAAGTTTATGGCTTCAGGACCTTAATGTTACAATATTATGAAAAGATGGAAGACATGCAATGGGGAAAGCAAAGTAGTATTTCAAAGGGTTAACAAGTTAAAATATGGAGAACCCATTTGTTTTGGTTCATAAATACATTTTGTTTGTCCCAACAGGAATTTTGTTCTTGACCCGCCACTGTGATTAACAGCAGGAATGAGGAGCACACAGCACAAGATAAGTGAACAATAGCTATACTAATTAAAATGTAAAAAGATTAGTGATTAAATTAATATGTCCATTTCGGACATAATGTGTATACATTTTCTATTTTCATGTAAAGAATGTTAAAATGTCTGAATAAATCAAATCTGAAAATATTCTTTTTCCCCCTGAGGTGATTTTTGATGATTTTCCTAACTTAACCAGTCCTGGGTCAGTTACTTTAGATCACTGTGGCGGGTCATTTTGACCTAAGGATAGCACTAGGGTTAAATAACATTTTGTGAACAAATCAGCTCAAACATGCTCATCTAACAAGAAAACATGTTCTTGTGCAAACTGAGCTTTATGCTGAGAGCTGATTGGCTGAGTAAGTGGGGTCTCCTCTTTTTCACTTTTCTGTCTGAAGAAGCTAATCTTAAGATGTGATAACAAGTGATAGCTCTCAACGGGTTGGTTCTAGTTAGATTGTAGTTATTTGCGGGGTTTCAAAGTTAGGTACTCTAGCTTTAATAATAAATTCCAAATATTCAAGAGAAAACATTTGCCATATAAAGGTTTCATAGGGTTTCGCAGTTCCTGTTCTACAAGTTTCAAATCGGCAATTTGTTCTGTTTATGCTTAATAAAATAAATAATTATCATGAATATTCTCAAACATAATAGGGACAAATAGGGAAATAAAATGAGACCTTAATAATAGTCACAGGTTGGTGAGGTCTCAGCAGCGTTACCTTTTGTCTCCACAGCACCAGCGCAGACACCAGGATTGATAGAAGACCAAGAGCGATGAAGCCATACTGCATGTACTCCATGACAGCGGGAAGGATCACCAGGTTTGTGTGGAATGTGTCGAGGATGGGGCCATCGATATATCCTCTCTAAAATGTTATGATACAAATTCTCTTGTTAACATTACAAAGGTTCAGGGTTTGAAAATGAGTCACACACCTCTTCAAACCAAAGCATCGGCATCACCACCTCAGATATCTTTCCAGTTTCTCTAAAAAATAGAACGTAATAAAATACAAAATTAAAAAAGTCTTGGTAATGATAATGATTTAAACAAGTAAATTTTCTTACGTAATTCCTGGCACCGTTTTCATGTACAGGTTGAGCTGGAGGCGGATGGACACATTCAGAGGGACTCCCGTTTCCTGTGGAATTAGAAACATGTCAAAGTCACACTGATATATCTGCGGTGAGGAAAGGTCAACACAAATATATCTAAAAAGAGCAGCGTCGTTCCATTTGGGAAATGGAAGCAAGAAATATTCATCTTAATCATGAGCCATTCCCAGACAGCTGAGAAGCAGGGTCTCCTCTGGGGTCTCCTCTGGGGTCTCCTCTGGGGTCTCCTCTGGGGTCTCCTCTGGGGTCTCCTCTGGGGTCTCCTCTGGGGTCTCCTCTGGGGTCTCCTCTGGGTGGAACCCTGGAAAACCTTCAGGGAGGCCTCTGAAACTCAGCTGACTCTTCAATGTAGAGGAGCAGAGGATCTACTCAGAGCTCCAACCATGTGACAGAAAAGCTCATGAGTCATGGGGGAACATAATTTGAAGTAACAGCTGAGCTGATATAGCAGCCATTATAAGTCACTTTTAGGCTACTTTGATGAGTTAAACAGCGCAGAGCTGCATGTTAGCTGCAAAAGAACATTTTAATTATTTAGTTTAATCATATTTGAATTACTCATGACTCTTAACATTTGTCATTTTATTGACATAATAAAAACTGTTATCATTTTATGATCCAATTCCCAATTACCTTATCACACAAGCTACAGTTAAGATAACAAATAACTTATCCCTAGTTAGCCTCAAAAAATAAACTGTCATTATGTGACGTTAGAAAGTGTTTAAACACAGTTTCCACACAGTCGTGAAACAATATGAGGAACGACAGATTTGTGTTATTGCCTTCAATTGTTTGTCTCCAAAGCTTTGACGTGTTGAAGTGACAGTGACATAATACAAAGTTCATGATATACAATCAGTTAAACTTTACCCTCGGACACTCAAGGACACTGACAGCTGTTGTATTATCTAATACATATTTTTCACCTTTTCTACTCTTAATAAGGTTAAATGTTATGCACTCACCGGGTGGATATCAATGAAGAGGCCATGTTGCTCCTCTGTGGGTGCCAGCCCCTGCACAAAGTCCAGCAGCACTGGGTCAGCGTTGAAGAAGTGAGGGTGTGAGATAAACACTGGAGAATCTGTAAGACAGCGCATAACACATGTTCAATAATCATGAAATTAATTGATAATTTTTTGTGGGCGGCAGTAGCTCAGTTGGTAGAGCGTTGGCCTTTGAGCCAGAAGGTCGTGGGTTCAAGCCCCGCTCAATACTTCACCATCGACTCCCACTGACTACTGTCGTTGTGTCCTTGGCAAGACACTTACACCTCTGGGAACACCAGCCACAGTGGGGCGGCTGCGGCTGTAAAGTGCCAAACTGCCATTGTGTCCTTAGGCAAGACACTTCACCCCCATTGCCTAGAATGAGTCTGGTGTGTGTATGAATGGTTGGTGGTGGTCGGAGGTCGGAGGAGGGGCCGATGGTGCATACTGGTTGCCTCGCTTCTGTCAGTGTGCCCCAGGGCAGCTGTGGCTAAAGTAGTAGTTCATCACCACCGTGTATGGAGTGAATGAATAATGACACATGTGAAGTGTCTGAGTGTCCAAAAACTCACTTACTTACTAACTTACTTACTTACTACTTACTACTTACTAAGTATCTATATAGATATATATAGATATATAGATATAGATATATAGGTAATATACCTCCTACTCTCTACAATACCTCCTACTCTCTACAATAGGAGAACATTGGGAAAATAAGTGGTCCAGTGGTGAAAGGATGCGTCCAGGGGATGAGTTTGGGACATGTTCTACCAGGAGGAGACGCCCAATCAGAAGGGAGTACGTCCCTCAGCTGGTCTGCGAACACCTCAGGATTCCCACAAATGAGCCAGAAAGATCAAATAAACCGGTGACAAAAATGTGCAAAAATATACTTACTGTGACGACAGCTGCTGACGTTGAGCAAACCAGATTGTCTGCATGGACAAAAGCCTTCATTGGGGGAATAGTCCGTTCCATTAGCGAAAAGAGTTGTGGGAGCAACATATCTGTAGTAGGGGATCCCCTTCATGTGACCTGGGCGCTGGTAAACAAGCTCCATTGATCTGGAAACAGTTTGTGAAAAATTATTCATACCAGATTTGTGATTTTTGTGAAGGACAAGTGGGAGACAATTGTGAAGTTTCATTCATGAAATTGTTGAAAACGTGTGGTGTGCAAAAGTATTCAGCCCCAGTGAGTCATTACATTGGAGAACTTCCACCGCTCCAATGGCAACAGTCTTTAGGGAAATTATGTAAAAATCTGACGTAGCATTATTTTTTAACAGTTCTGTCAAAGCGTTGTCTAACAGCAGTTTTAGATCTGCTCATGTTAGAGCAGAGGGAATAGTTTAACATGCAGGACGTGCCACGTCAGTGATGATGACTGAACCGTGCACTGAGACGTCTAAAACTTGGCAGACTTCTTTGTATAACAAACTATTAAACTCCTGCATAACCTTTCCGGTGGGCTCCTTAACTTTATGACCAATAGTCTTGTAACAAACCTGTGTCAGAGATTAGCTGTAATCACACTGAGATTAGATAACACTAACACGCTGCACTGCACTTAATAGTTAGATCAACATTTGACCAGCAGAAGTCGAAAGGCATTTGGCAGCATTCAAAGAAAAGGTGGTTGAATACTTGGTGAGGCCACGCTTTTCATATTTGTTTTAGTAAAACGATAAAGTCAGGCATTGATAAAGATATGTTAGTATCATTTACTCTTTTGTTATATTTTGTAAGTGTACCTACTTTGCTTGTGATTGATTTGTACTAATTTTCTCTATGCTCAGTTACTTGCTCTAATAAATAAAAAAATGTATCATTTTGCTTTCAATTCACAATTGTCAGCTACTCTGCCATGTATTTCACAAAAAAAGATTAAATCATTAGGTTTGTGGTAGTAACAAGACAAAATGGGGAAAAGCTCTAGGGATATGAATATTTTATCAAGACACTGTAGAATATGTTATAATTATTCAAAATCAATGAATCACCTGCAGGCGTCAGGACTGTAAAAAGGCAATGTGGTTTCTTTGGTCATGAACGGCGGCCACATCTGTCCAGCGGTTCCATTGATCATGTTGCACTGAGGCGTTCGCCAGTAGTTGAGCTGGAGACGCAGAAGTCACTGAACACCTGAACTTTAACGTTTATTTGCCATGTTTCCACATTATAAACATTTTAAACTCACCTCTGTCAGGCCATTCCAGGAGTCAACTCTGTGGACATTTTTGATGTCATCTTGACCAGTAAAGATGGTGAACAGACCAGTGTTGGAATTGTTAAACTAAAAACAAAATGCAGATTCAATATTAAAATGATTTCCCTTCCTTACTTACAGTGCCTTGCGAAAGTATTCGGCCCCCTTGAACCTTTCAACATTTCAGGCTTCAAACATAAAGATATAAAATTTAAATTTGTTGTCATGAATCAACAACAAGTGGGACACAATCGTGAAGTGGAACAAAATTTATTGGATAATTTAAACTTTTTTAACAAATAAAAAACTGAATAGTGGGGCGTGCAATATTATTCGGCCCCTTTACTTTCAGTGCAGCAAACTCACTCCAGAAGTTCAGTGAGGATCTTTGAATGATCCAATGTTGTCCTAAATGACTGATGATAAATAGAATGCACCGGTGTGTAATCAAGTCTCCGTATAAATGCACCTGCTCTTTGATAGTCTCAGGGTTCTGTTTAAAGCGCAGAGAGAACCATGAAGACAAAGGAACACACCAGGCAGGTCCGAGATACTGTTGGAGAATTTTAAAGCCGGATTTGGATAAAAAAAGATTTCCCAAGCTTTAAACATCTCAAGGAGCACTGTGCAAGCAATTATATTGAAATGGAAGGAGTATCAGACCACTGCAAATCTACCAAGACCCGGCCGTCCCTCCAAACTTTCATCTCAAACAAGGAGAAGACTGATCAGAGATGCAGTCAAGAGGCCCATGATTACTCTGGATGAACTGCAGTTTAAATTATCCAAGAAATTACGTTCCACTTCACGATTGTGTCCCACTTGTTGTTGATTCATGACAAAAAATTAAAATTTTATATCTTTATGTTTGAAGCCTGAAATGTGGCAAAATGTTGAAAGGTTCAAGGGGGCCGAATACTTTCGCAAGGCACTGTATATTTGGGAATAGTCTCGACGTCAGTACCTCTGCAAAGAGACCAAACTTTCCAGTGGAAGGCAACATGCCGGGCAGGTATTTATTGAGGAACTCGACCAGTTTGCTGTCATAGCCCCACATGAGCTCCTCTACCGTCTTCGTTAGAAAAGGGCCTTCTTTGAAAGTCTTAAAGGTTGTACTAATCATTAAACGAACAGCATAAGGCAAATCTTGCAGCATTACAGCAGCTCCCTTAAAAACACAACAAGAACATTAGAGTCACATGTTAAAGAAGGAGATGATGTCCAGCCGTCTTACCAGGACCAGCATGTTGGGGATGGTGACTATGTCGGACTCGTTGCCAACAGACATGCTTGGCTCAAAGAAGTACTGACGGTACTCTCTGTATGACACTGTATGGTTGGGATGAAATGTGATGTTGTCCTTCTGGCAACGTTTTCTGAAGAAAAAAAAAATATATATAAATAAAATAAAAATAAAAAAATATTTAAAAAAAATAATCATGCACATCATCAATATCTATTCAGCAATGATCATTTGAAGAGAAATTTGAAGCAAACGCTTTTTTCAGAAAACATTTCAGTGACTTTTGTTAAAATGTATTTCAATTTGTGAATAAGGGTTCTCAGTGTATGATCATTAACATACAAATGGCGTGGGTGTTTTCTTGATAAATTATCTTAAAAGAATGATGTAATCCATAATGGCCCAGACTCTTAACCGGGGCTGCACTGACATTGATGTCCAACAGGGCCCACAGGCTGCATATGTGTGAAAGCCCTGTAATCCAACACATCCTTTAGTCGTTCCAGTTGCAAATTCATTAAATTGCTTAGGTCCTTTGGACATAGGTTAATATGTTCTCCATTGTTCTCAATTGGTTTTTGATAAATTACCATTTCAAATTCTAATAAATTCCATTCTAAAATCAACAATTATATGAACTCTTTCAAGTGTTCATGTGATTAGGAGCTGTATAAAGTTTAAAGAGCTGCATAAACCTTTTCCTTCTTAGTTATGCAAGAGAGTAGACCAAACACTCGCCCACGCCTACTTTTGGAGGCCTAACTATAAACATTCATTCAATATAGAACAAGATAAAGCTGGACTACTCTCCCATTCTACTCCTTCAGGAGAGCGTTACATAACGCTCTCCTATAGAAGAGCGTTACATAACGGGACCCACATGGCATCCCACTATGCCTCAGAAAAGAGGTTAAACTAAAAGCACAGAATGTTCCCAAAAACCTATAGACAATGTACAGTGCCTTGCGAAAGTATTCGGCCCCCTTGAACCTTTCAACATTTCGCCACATTTCAGGCTTCAAACATAAAGATATAAAATTTTAATTTTTTGTCATGAATCAACAACAAGTGGGACACAATCGTGAAGTGGAACGAAATTTATTGGATAATTTAAACTTTTTTAACAAATAAACTGAAAAGTGGGGCGTGCAATATTATTCGGCCCCTTTACTTTCAGTGCAGCAAACTCACTCCAGAAGTTCAGTGAGGATCTTTGAATGATCCAATGTTGTTCTAAATGACTGATGATAAATAGAATCCACCTGTGTGTAATCAAGTCTCCGTATAAATGCACCTGCTCTTTGATAGTCTCAGGGTTCTGTTTAAAGCGCAGAGAAAACCATGAAGACAAAGGAACACACCAGGCAGGTCCGAGATACTGTTGTGGAGAAGTTTAAAGCCGGATTTGGATACAAAAAGATCTCCCAAGCTTTAAACATCTCAAGGAGCATCAGACCACTGCAAATCTACCGAGACCCGGCCGTCCCTCCAAACTTTCATCTCAAACAAGGAGAAGACTGATCAGAGATGCAGCCAAGAGGCCCATGATCGCTCTGGATGAACTACAGCTGAGGTGGGGATGGAGTGTTCAGGGTAATGAGCTGTGTTGCTTTTACGCCAAACGTATCGTTTTGCATTGTGGCCAAAAAGTTCGATTTTGGTTTATCTGACCAGAGCACCTTCTTTGACATGTTTGGTGTGTCTCCCAGGTGGCTTGTGGCAAACTTTAAACGAGACTATTTATGGATATCTTTGAGAAATGGCTTTCTTCTTGCCACTCTTCCATAAAGGCCAGATTTGTGCAGTGCACGACTGATTGTTGTCCTATGGACAGACTCTCCCACCTCAGCTGTAGTTATCTGCAGTTCATCCAGAGTGATGATGGGCCTCTTGTCTGCATCTCTGATCTCTCTTCTCCTTGTTTGAGATTAAAGTTTGGAGGGACGGGCGGGTCTTGATAGATTTGCAGTGGTCTGATACTCCTTCCATTTCAATATAATTGCTTGCACAGTGCTCCTTGAGATGTTTAGAGCTTGGGAAATCTTTTTGTATCCAAATCCGGCTTTAAACTTCTCCACAACAGTATCTCGGCCTTGCCTGGTGTGTTCCTTTGTCTTCATGGTTCTCTCTGCGCTTTAAACAGAACCCTGAGACTATCAAAGAGCAGGTGCATTTATACAGAGACTTGATTACACACAGGTGCATTCTATTTATCATCATCAGTCATTTAGGCCAACATTGGATCATTCAAAGATCCTCACTGAACTTCTGGAGTGAGTTTGCTGCACTGAAAGTAAAGGGGCCGAATAATATTGCACCGCCCACTTTTCAGTTTTTTTATTTGTTAAAGTTTAAATTATCCAATAAATTTCGTTCCACTTCACGATTGTGTCCCACTTGTTGTTGATTCATGACAAAAAATATTTTTTTTATATCTTTATGTTTGAAGCCTGAAATGTGGCGAAATGTTGAAAGGTTGAAGGGGGCCGAATACTTTCGCAAGGCACATTATTAATGTATTTAAGTGTGAAAGAAAAAAAAAAAACTGAGAAAAAAGTTCTACCTGTAAACATAGGGGCCCCGCTGCTCGATCATTGGCTTTTCTCCTTTTAATATTTCCTTGGGATTAAGGACATTGAAAAAGTAGACAGACATGAAGAAGGGAACAGGGATGTCCTTCCACATGGTGTAAGTCATCTCATTGCTTGGGTCAATCACAGTGTTCTGCAAAACAATTCATAAAAACATTCAATTATATTAATCCTGGAGGTACCAATTTTTTAGTGTCATGGTATAAATACGTTTTTCCCAAAGGAAAGATTCTTGTTGAGTGTGTCTCAGGGCAGCTGTGGCTACAGTAGTAGTTTATAACCAGCATGTCTTTGCGTCTCATATCATTTATTTTTTAACAAACTCTTTTTCAGAAAACATTAAATTTTTCTTACAAACTGAGAGCTGATTTACACACTGAGCACTGGTACACTTTTTCACTAAAAATGCTGATCTAGAGAAGTGGCACAGGCCAAACAAGCATGTGACAAATTTTGAAATCGAGAACATGGATTTAATCACATGGTTTCGAAGTTAGGTACACCAGCTTTAACGTGTAGCCTTATGTTAACTTATGTAGCCTTTTCCTTCTTTTTTTACTATGGACCATGTGCAGTAATCATGCAAATTAGTTATCTCACAACTTTCTAATCATATCAGACATTGTAATCCACTGATGTAATTCAGTGTGGAGATATAATTAGTTATTTGTTTCTTTAATACTGATTAGCCTGTTTAGATCTTTTAAAGGGCATTTTTATGACCAGAACAATTACCAAAACACATATATTATACACACAAGAGGTAGAATCCTGGTGTGATGTGTTGATGTGGTCATGTTGTGTCGCCTGCAATGTGCTCGGTCTTACCTTTACTATCTGATCATCAATAATAACAGGTCCCACAAAAGTGAGTACAATTCCGAAAACAACTCCAAGAGCACCTGCCACTATGAATCCCACAGCTACTTTGGATTTATTAATTGCCATGGTCAGTAAGCAGGGAGACAGAAGATCAGCCCGACTCGTCTCGTTGGGTCCCGGGGTCGGTTCCAGTGACTTCCGCGCAAGACCCACTGAAGAACCGTCTCAGCGAAAACAGACGCAAAATCGCATTTTATTATGTACTTCTGCAACAAGCTACATGATGTTGTTTGACCTGCTTTTATTGTCCCCCTTCCACGCGTACGCCCCGCCTTCTTTTTCCCGTACAGAGGATTATGGGTAATGTAGTGCACCAGCGGCAACAGGAGCCGAGATCACTACAACGATTTTTTAGGCCCGAGCCCCGAACGGGGAAAGGGCCTATTGTTTTTGCTCGAGAGATGTCAAATTCTGCACTTTGAGCCTTAATTTCACCCCCTGAACATGCATGAAAAGTTGTAAAATTTTGACCAAACATCAGACCTGGTGAAAAATTTGATATTTTGGTGTTTATTTTTATGGGACTCAAAAAATGCCAGAACAGCGCCACCTACAAAAGCCAATGGGAGTTTCAGAGGTCAAGTTTGTCGTAGAGCCATGAAATTCGGTACACATGTTCCTCAAGTCAAGATACGACCGAAATGTTATCATGGCTCCGCCCTCTGACAAACAGGAGGCCCATAAATTTCACTGCAAAATGGAAAAATGAACAGCAAAAGTTTTCATACATGTCGGTTGGAAAGCGACTCCTCCTCGGCCGTTTCACCGATTCGCCTCAAAATCGCTCCACATCATCTCAACACATGTACCTTCAAAATGACCTCAGGGATTTTTGATCAGTAAAACATTGTTTGAGCAGCGGAGCGGCAAAATGTGACCTTTTTTTGGCTGTTTTTGACAACATTAAATTTGCTCCCGTTTGCACAAACAAAGTCTGATTAGCACAAAACTTTAATACATTGTTCAACTCTAGGGTCTAGGTCATTTGAAAGTGAATTGATTCAAATTGACACATTAGCGCCCCCTACAGACTATTTCAAAGTTTTAGATGGGCATTTTCAAATTATTTTTTTTCAAAACGTTTGAAATTTTGCACATAAATCTGTTTTGCCCTCTTGATTCAAAAAGTCAATTGGGTCCAAGGCTTATTTTTTACCCTGTTGCCGTGGCGACGACAAACGCTCCCCATTCATTGCAAATGTACACCTCACACAAACATCAAACCAGCCTCGGCCGTTTCACCGATTCACCTCAAAATCGCTCCACATCCTCTCAACACATGTACCATCAAAATGACTTCAGGGAATTTTTATCAGTGAAACGTTGTTTGAGCAGCGGAGCGGAAAAATGTGAGGGTTTTTTGGCCGTTTCTGACAACATTAATTTTTTTCCCGTTTGCACAAACAAAGTCTGATTTGCATTAAACTTGAATCCATTGTTCAACTCCAGGGTTTAGATCATTTGAAAGTGAAATATTTAAAATTGGCCCATTAGCGCCCCCTGCAGACTGAGTCAAAGTTTACATAGGGAGCCAAACCAGCTCTACTTATCATATTCATTACAATTTGACTAACAATCTTCTATGGCTATGGGAACAAATCACCACACGGCGGCGCCACCTCCTTTGAGCGGTGCTGCGTGGTACGGTGCTTTGCGGCGTAGTTTGGGGCGTAGTGCGGGGCGGCGCGTTGTGGCTTGGTGCGGGGCGGCGTGATGGGGGACGGCGTGGTGCAGGGCGGCGTGGTGCGGGGTGGCTTGTCACGGGGTGGTGCGCGCGGTGCGGGGGAGTCGCGCGGTGCGGCGAGGGCCGTTCGACGCCGCTTGCGGCTTTAATCTTTCCTTTATATCTGACTTGATGATGGAAACACTGAGCAAATAAAGCAGGACATTGATGATGTTGTTTATTTATTATGTTAAGAGTAGGTAATATTTATTTTGTTTTGTTTATTTTCAATTGTTGTGGGTATTTGGATGGATGGACGGATGTTGTGGGCATTTGTCCTGCACTCCACACAGTGATGGTATTGTATATGTGTTTAGTGGTCGGGGAAACCGGAGCACCCGGAGGAAACCTAAGCAAACATAGGGAGAACATGCCAACTCCACACAAACTCCACAGCCTGGAGTTGGATTCGAACCCAGGACCTTCTTTTCTATGTATTAAAGCTGAGTATCGAGCTTTTCAAATCACCAAAAATTGATGTATAGCTTAATAAAATCCATCAACTATCAATTCAGTTTGGTTCTGTCACTAGTTTTCACATTTATCTTTGGCCAACATCTTTGTATCAGCTTTTTAAGACAGAAAAGTGAAAAAAAATAAAAATAATAACAAAATCAGCTCTCATCCCAAAGCCTAATTTAGTGACTGACAAGGCTTTATACAAAATTCAACTTTTTTTTTCTCAGACAATTAAGAGAGTAGGTTGGGGTCTTGATCACAACAGTTTTCTTTAGCACGACACTTTCTCTTGGAACTTATTATGCACACAGCTTTAATGATTTAAACAGAATATTCATACCTTAATGATTTGGTCGTACATCACCGTTGGACCCACAATTAACAGCACTCCACCAAAGACGACTGTGAGTATCCCAGCCACTAAAAACCCCACTGCTACTTTGGATTTGTTGATAGCCATGATGATGATGGCTCGATGTAAAGTTTCTTTATTGGAAAATGACGTGCGGCAGGGGATGCTGCAGACTTGGACAGAGGATGGACGCATCTGCTGGATTATAAAAAGAAGACCACGCCCAGGGCCCCACGCCCCTCAGAGGAACACAGCGGGGCCAGTGTGAGTACTCTATCGTCCCACATAATCACATCCTCACATCATCCCAAAAACATCAATTCTCTATGAGTCACGCAGTCATAGTCAGATGACCTGGTGCGTAAATTCAGTGACATAACCTTAGGATAATATCTGCGCTCTAATTGGCTCCCGAGCGCTCGTTCTTCAGTCCGTTCTGTGTGTGGAGTTTGCAACCTCCCCTTGTTTCTGTATAGGTTTCCTCCGGGTGTTCCGGTTTTCCACACCACTAAAACATGATCACATGAACAAGGTGCAGTGGTATTTACAACACCTGCTGTTCATGAATGCACCACTCCCATTCAATCAAATAAAGACAATACACATAATGTTTTATTGTCAAATTTCAATATGGGTTTCATTTCATAAAAAAAAAGTTCTCTATGAGCATTCATTTTCACATATACAATCATTTTGATACTACTAAATTACTAGAAATGTTCAGATGGAAAGTGAATAACAGATGACCGCCCTTGCCTTTACCTACAAGTTTGCATAATAAATTATTTCTGAACCTTAAAGTTGACTTTAGCAAATCTATTCGCTATACTGTTTGTATTCTATTCTATTTCTGTAGAACGTCCCAGACATGTAGAATAGGTGACCGTCCCATATTATACTGTACCTTTGAAGACTGTTGGTCAATAGGGGTAACTGATGTTGGCAAAGACATAGACCCAAATGGAAACACAATTTTATTCCATTATGGCTATATACTAAATACAATCTAAACCAAAAAATGCATTAAATGAACCTTAAATGAGTCTGCTGTTGGACCAGGCCTGTCTGCCTTTGGACCAGGCCTGTCTGCTGTTGGACCAGGTCTGTCTGTTGGACCAGGCCTGTCTGTTGGACCAGGCCTGTCTGCTGTTGGACCAGGTCTGTCTGCTGTTGGACCAGGCCTGTCTGCTGTTGGACCAGGCCTGTCTGTTGGACCAGGCCTGTCTGCTGTTGGACCAGGTCTGTCTGCTGTTGGACCAGGTCTGTCTGCTGTTGGACCAGGTCTGTCTGCTGTTGGACCAGGCCTGTCTGCTGTTGGACCAGGTCTGTCTGTTGGACCAGGCCTGTCTGCTGTTGGACCAGGTCTGTCTGCTGTTGGACCAGGCCTGTCTGCTGTTGGACCAGGTCTGTCTGCTGTTGGACCAGGCCTGTCTGCTGTTGGACCAGGTCTGTCTGCTGTTGGACCAGGTCTGTCTGTTGGACCAGGCCTGTCTGCTGTTGGACCAGGTCTGTCTGCTGTTGGACCAGGCCTGTCTGTTGTTGAACCAGGCCTGTCTGCTGTTGGACCAGGTCTGTCTGCTGTTGGACCAGGCTGTCTACTTTTGAACCAGGCCTGTCTGCTGTTGGACCAGGCCTGTCTGCTGTTGGACCAGGCTGTCTACTTTTGAACCAGGCCTGTCTGCTGTTGGACCAGGCTGTCTACTTTTGAACCAGGCCTGTCTGCTGTTGGACCAGGCCTGTCTGCTGTTGGACCAGGCTGTCTACTTTTGAACCAGGCCTGTCTGCTGTTGGACCAGGCCTGTCTGCTGTTGGACCAGGCCTGTCTGCTGTTGGACCAGGCTGTCTACTTTTGAACCATGCCTGTCTGCTGTTGGACCAGGCCTGTCTGCTGTTGGACCAGGCCTGTCTGCTGCTGGATGACCTGATCATGCATTTCAAATCCAGAATTACCCCCGAGGCTTAAAACCAACCAGAATGCTGCTGTGCGTGAAGGATTGGTATAATTCCACATTTAGAGTAACATTTAGTCTGATACTTTGTTGTGTTTTATTCATTTATTTGGACATGTTTACTGGACACGCTATATGTGCGTTTACTTTAAACAAGAGAAGTAGTTCCTGAGTTAACTTATTTTTTTAAACCTTTAGTTTTTGAGCTGCAGGAGGCTTTACTTACAGTATACAGATAGTATTTTTTTTCAGTTGCTATGTAAACAGATAACATTGCAGTGGTAATGTAAGATTTTCGTGCTTTAATCAATACTACAATGTGTATTAATGCTATTTTGAAAGATTAATCCTTTAATAATTTCCTCAATCATTTGGTAGATCACATTTTGAGTCAATATATACATGCTTGGAACTGAAATCTACCTCTTTGGGTCATCTCACTTGATTTTAGGCACTTCAAACTGCACCTCAACCATTTGGTAAAGGCCTATATGGGGGTTAAAAAAATATGATGTGTGTTACTAGTGCTTCTACCTAAAAAAAATGACATTGCTTTCTTCAACGAGTGAATGCCCAGTACAACAATGAACAGTTTGTTAGGAGCACATCCGGCTTATGAGTCCTACTCTACGGTTAGTACAACAGGCATACAGTATATTGAGGTATACCACGTCGGTTTTTTGCTGCATGACTCTAATCTAAAGAATCTCATAAAAAATCTTCATAATTACCACCAGTCAAGTGTTATTCTCCCTTAAGTTTGTATAGACGGACGTTTGTTAGATTTGATGATGGGATTCGGCTCAGACCATAAAATGGAGACTAACCTAGCTGCAAGGAATCACACATTGAGACCACTATGATATTTATGCCTGAGCTGCATTAGATTTGGTGGATTTGGATAAAGAAGGACCCCTCTCTTGCTCACACACATGACTCTACAGTACACACTGGAGGGGCACAAGTCTGCTGAGCTGAAGCCCACCGCAGCGCCTCATCTGACTGAGCTGTGAAATCTCACATCGTTTCAGATTTAAAGCATGTCCGGTCTCCTACACCATCACGCACTACACCGCCTCTTCACACGGCTTCCTGTTAAAACGCTGATTCCTTTCTTTCATTAAAGGAACAAAATCACCACTGGACCAGTTTCTTTAGGAAGTTACAATACATCACATGCTTAGGATGGCCTGACCTCATGAAAAACAGGAAATTGTGCATACTTTTTGTTTTTTATTTTATTGTCTCTTCAACCAGTTCAATGGTGATGATTTTGAGACATCCAGACAAATTATATTACAATTTTAAAAACAAGATTAAGCTGATATTATTTCCACTCATCAATTTAACCAGGTATGAACTGATGCCCATTAATCTGCACAGAGGAGGAGAGTACAGTGCAAACTTTAGTCATTAATACTATATACACAGTACACATTAGATTCATATATTATAAAGGGTGTACATGATAATTTCTGATTTGTTCTGTTAATAAAAATTAAAAAACTATTTAGAATAATGATATATCCATTCTATTTATTGATCTGTTATCTAGATGTCCTGTATTTTCTTCTGTATAAACTATGAAACTAATAAAAAATTAATTAAAAAAGGTGTGGCTGTCAATCTGCACCATCTGCCTTTGAAATACTCTTATCAACTACACACCATAGTAAGTAAGCAAAGTTTATTTATATGGCGCATTTTTACAGACTAAGGTCACCCAAAGTGCTTCAGAATGTCCAGACCACACCATGATTATAAGTGACTTGTGGTAATCTGCAGGAGGTAATCAGGAAGAGAGACTGCAGTAGCACAATGTGTCCACACGATGTCAGCCTTGAACCTCAGCTAAAGTTGAAAGATTTAATTTGAAAAAACATCTACAACTTTTGTATGTGCGCGCGTACACACACTTATTCACGCACACACACACACGCACACACACACACAAAATGTATAAAAATACCATAAACTAAAAAAATATACGTACACACACATTGTTCATTGTTCATTGGGCTGTATATAAGAAATAGTTTGCATAATCAATTAGTTATTTGTTTCTATAATATTGATTAGCTGATTAGATCTTTTAACCTCCTGAGACCCTGCGACCTCATACGAGGACATTACATTTTTGCCTCTTGGCACAATGATACTCAATTTTTTACATCCTTGACCTGATGGCCACATTTAGGGACACTGCCCGCGCCATCTTGTGGTGATATGATAGAATTACACTTAAGGCAGTAGGAAAAAATTGGTGGCAATATCAGCAAAAGACTTCTACAAGAGTTTACAGAAGAAAAATGCCCCAGGTAAAAATTCTATCAACATTTTATGAATGAAATACATTTTTTTATGCACAATAATGTCTCTAGCTTCATATGGAGTTTGAAATTTGACAAATTTTGATTGTAGTAGCAGGCTAGGATGTCAGTAAAAGTGAAGCACTCGTTTGAGGACGCTAGGACTATGTACCGCTATCTGTTTAGCTAACAGTGTGGAAGATTTAGATGAAGTTACAGTTGTAAATAGTTATTTTGAATCACACATTTGCTTAGTTATGTGGTTTACAGTTGTAAATAGTATATTTAAGTACTAAGTGGTATATGCTAAGTATTGTTTAGTGTTGCTAAATTCTAAATCATAAACAATATAGCTAGGCTATAGCTAGCACATGATAGCCAAGCTATGAAGTGTCACTGATATACTGTAGATTTTGATGTTGGTTTTTAACATTATCATTACAGGCACACTTTCATTGTCAAGAGCAGAACAATTGCTGTTGGCAATTGCAGACAACTCTGAGATAGAGGACTTCTCAGATGGGGATGATTGTATCATCATCTCATACCTGTCAGTCATCTTCTGGTGTTTCCCACGGGGAGAGGCGGCGAGCTGGGGTGGCCATACTCATTGCCCCCCATCTCAGCCGCCACGTGTTGGAGTTCTCCCCGGTGAATGAGAGGGTCGCGTCCCTCCGCCTCCGGGTGGGACAAGTCTCTCATTGTTGTGACGGCCTACGGGCCTAACGGCAGTGCCGAGTTCCTGCCTTCTTGGAGTCCTTGGGAGGGGTACTGGACAGTGCACCGCCCGGGGACTCCGTTATTCTCCTGGGGGACTTCAACGCCCATGTGGGAAATGCCAGGGACACTTGAAGAGGGGTGATCGGGAAGAACGGCCCCCCTGATCTGAACCCGAGCGGTGTTCAGTTGTTGGACTTCTGTGCCAGTCACGGTCTGTCCATCACGAACACCATGTTCGAGCACAAGGGTGTCCACCAGGACACCCTAGGCCGGAGGTTGATGGTCGACTTTGTTGTCGTATCATCTGACCTTCGACCGCGTGTCTCGGACACTCGGGTAAAGAGAGGGGAGGAGCTGTCAACCGATCATCACCTGGTCGTGAGTTGGATCCGCTGGCAGGGGAAGAAGCCGGTCAGACCTGGCAGACCCAAGCGTATAGTGAGGGTCTGCTGGGAACGTCTCGCTGAGCCCCCTGTCAGACGGACTTTCAACTCACACTTCCGGGAGAGCTTCTCCCAGGACCCAGAGGAGGGGGACATTGAGTCCGAGTGGACCATGTTCTCTTCCTCTATCACCAATAAAGCGGCTCGTAGCTGTGGTCGCAAGGTCTCTGGTGCTGGTCCCGGCGGCAACCCCCGAACCCGGTGGTGGACACCGGCAGTAAGGGATGCCGTCAGGCTGAAGGAGTCCTATCGAGCAATGATGGTTCGTGGGACTCCTGAGGCAGCTGTCCAGTACCGGCAGGCCAAGCGTGCCGCGGCCCGGGCTGTTGCAGAGGCAAAAACCCGGGACTGGGAGGAGTTCGGAGAGTCCATGGAGCATGACTATCGGTCGCCCTCAAAAAGGTTATGGCAAACCCTCCGGCGCCTCAGGAGGGGGAAGCAGTGCTTTGCCAACACCGTGTATGGTGCGGGTGGAGAGCTGCTGACCTCGACTGGGGATATTGTAATCCTAACCCTAACCCGGAGATGGTAGCCTTGAAAAACCCCATGCATTGCAGAGCACAAGACTGCATTGGAAAAGCCTGTCTCCGATGCATGACATGCAATGTGTACCTGTGCTTGCAAAGTGAATGCAACTGCTTTGCAGCATTTCGCACTTGCCAATAGGGCTCTTCCAAACAGGCAGACAGATTGCTTTCTAGAAAAAGAGAGGGAGCTAGTTTGAAAAAAGCCCCGGTTCATAAGCTGTTCAGCAGAATTTTACTGTTTTAGGACTGTTAATAATATTTGCCATTATTTGTTCTAGTATTGTATTTATCAATTCAATTCAGCCATATTGAAGGCTTGAAATAGACAGTTTACACAGTATTTTGCGGTTTTATTTATGTATAGCCAATTTTTTGTCATGTGGATGAATGAAGAAAAAGGGAACCCAAATTGCAGGACTGAAAATCAAAGTAATTTAATAAAATAAATCCAAGGTAATGTAAAAACAGAACTGAAGACAGGACAAACATTGTGGAGACAATGGACGGACAACAAGTGAGGAAGGGCACATGGTATATATACACACACAGGGACACACAGGTGAATCACATTAACAACAATCAACAGGACAGGCAGGATTCAAACTCAACCCGGTCAAAATGTCCACACCATGACATTTTTAGGCTTTGAAGATAGAGCTGTTTGGATTTTATGTCTAACTTTGATGTTTACATTTTTCAAATAAACTGTTATATACTATTTTAGACCAATGGAGTCTATTTGTATTGTATAGTAAGGTCGACCCACTGTCCTCATGTGAGGACATTGATTTTTGAGAGAAGTACTAATTGGATCAAGCTGAAATTTTGAATTTCAACTAATCAGGACCTTCCGGCCTAAAAGATCATACATTTTCTCTTTAGGTTATGAGAGACCCACTGTCCTCATACGAGGACATGTTTTTTCTCAAAAACTACTTCCTGTACAAAATCACAATTTAGGTATTATACTTATTGGGTCCTACTTATCCTAAATAGCAAAAAAATATATAAAATGCACACCAGACAAATGCTCGGGTCTCAGGAGGTTAAAGGGCATTTTTATGACCAGATAAATTACCAAAACATAAAAACTAAAGCGAGGTCACGCAAGATAATTTTCATAGAGACTAGATGTGACATGGATTGTTATTTGACTTTTTAAAAAACAATTTCATGTAATTGTATAGTTTTTCTAGCTCCATTAAAGTCATAAAACCTCATAAAAAAACAAGTACAGTTCTTGCTGGACTATGGACTATGAGCCACTACTTTATTCAAGCTTTCTGGACCCTGCAGCCTATTCATGTATTTTTATTTTGTTAGAGCGCCTCCTGTGGTGAAGAAATGGATTTGAACGCAGCTCTTTCAGCTGCTGATGACACACTGTCACGCATTCCTGCTTCAGTGTGTTTATGTAAACGGCAGAGAGATATGACACAACTAAGTGTTGGGGAAGTACATCGGTGTGATTACACATCAAAACAATTCATGGCCTTATTATTTTGACTCCTAAGTTTTAGCTGGAATTTTATTGTCAAAATAAACTGGATTTTCGAGTGCTTTGATCATAACCATTTAATCGTGTTGTGATCTGTGAAAACAGTCAGTCAAAAATCATGTGTTACATTACAATATAAAAACATGTGTATTATTGTATATTCAAGTCTTGCCTGGGTGTTCACATTAACAATAAACTGGACTGGTCCCATAATACAAACGCCCTGCACAAGAAGGGCCAAAGTCGCCTCCTCCTTCTGAGGAGGCTGAGGTCCTTCGGAGTGAGCAGGCCTCTGCTCAGGACTTTTTATGACTCTGTGGTAGCTTCTGCCATTTACTACGCTGCCGTGTGCTGGGCCCCGGGCAGCACAGAGCGGGACAGAAACAGACTGAACAAGCTGGTCAGGAGGGCCAGCTCCACTCTGGGCTGCTCCCTGGACTCTGTGGAGGAGGTGAGGGACAGGAGGGTGCTAGTCAAAGCCACCTCCATCATGAACAATACCTCCCACCCACTGCACAGGACTGTAGAGGAGCTGAGGAGCTCCTTCAGTGGAAGACTGAGACACCCTCAGTGTAGGAAGGAGCGCTACCGCAGGGCCTTTATCCCCACCGCTGCACTCAAAGAAATGATTCAGGTGGTTAGTATTTTGAACTCAAAATACATACTAAACTAAACTCAATAATTGATTTTTGCCAGTTTTACTTAAATTAGTGTGGTCGCAACTCATTTTAAACATGTCGGTCTCAATTAAAAGTTAATACAAGAATCCTAACTCATTTTTGTAACAAATTTGAACTTGATATTCTGGCATAACTGCCAGAATATCTCTGGCATAACGGAGAAGTATTGAGTTTGCTCAACATGAAAATCCTCTTGTAAGCCTGGTGGCCCATTAATGAAAAAACAAATATATTGAGTTGATTCAAAATAAATATATTGAGTTGATTCAAAATAAATATATTGTGTTGATTGAAAACAAAATGTGGCGAAGCAGTGACGCTACCCAGAATGCATTGCAGCGAAAAATATAAACTTCTTAAAAATTCTACATTTGAGCATTAATTGAATATGCTCAATATTAAACTGAATATGAAGCAAGTCCTAAAGCAAAATACTTGAGCAACATTCTGAATAAACTAATTTGACCAAATAAGTAATTGTATTTATTTTTATCAACCATGATCGAGAGGGCCATGCCAAAGCAGTCCTATACTCCCTGTGTCACCCTTCAATTTTGAACAGATACGTTAAGGTGGACATGGTTACCAGTGACTGTGCTGGCCCACTCTCATATATATGTGGAGTGAGAGACTACTGCCTGAAATTAACAATTGTGAACCGTTTTGTGAATCTAATCTTTGAAAGATGGTATTTGAGTAAAGATTACATATTCCTGACTGAAAATCACTTGTTGAATATACTCAAAAAGATTTATTTTCAATGTAATTATTTAAGTTGGTAGTATTGTTAAAATTAAGTTGAACTGATGCTAAAACACTTGCTGAATATACTTAACAAAGTGTCTTTATAACTCAATTATCCAAGTTGGTGGTATTGAAAAAATTGTGCTGGACCAATGATAAAAGACTTACAAAGAATACTTAAAACACAGTCTTGTTCGCAAAACTTAAAAAGATGCATGCAAAATGCTGCCTCAATTTTATTAAGTTTTGCCAATGCATTTTTTTTTAGAGTGTGTCAGACTGTACAATAAGTCACTTTAAATGATCACAGTGTGTAGTGTGCACTACTATTGACACTGTTTCCAATTGACACTTGTCACTTTTGTTGTACTTAATTGTCACTTTTATTGTACATATATCCTGCATGTAACATGTTTTCACATTTCCTCCTTTTCCACAATCTGAGTGTCTCTATCCATGCCAAATGTGACATGTAAATTTCTCCTATGTGAGATAAATAAAGCTTATCTTATCTTATCTTATCTTATCTTAAAAGTGGACAATAGTTACTTTTTAAATTCAGCAGGTGTGGGTTACCATAAATAGAATCAGAATTCTTTGTATTGGGATTCTAAGTATCAGGAAGTCACAAAAGGAATTTGCATTGTCTCCTGGTGCAGACAAGTTGCTAAAATAAAAATAGATTTAAGGCATGCATGCAACTGTTGGCTTAATAGTACTGCAATCGATTACTCGTTCATTTACTTTACATTATGAAATAACTAATAAAACTTAAAATAAAAGTTTGTTGTCCCTTTGTGGTGGGAAAGTTGATAAATGGTGGAAGATACTGTATATCAAAAGATGTACATTGCAAAAAGTGATGAGAATTAAGCTAAACAATTGGTCAAATTTGGCATAATGTATCTGAATGTGCTGCCAATGGGGCAATCAAAATAATAAATATTGTTTAAGACACAACCAAGATAAAATTAAAGATAAAACCACTCAATTCAAGCCACTAGTACCTCATATTCTATCATTTTTTGCAGTGCACTTTTAGTATGTGTATAATTACAGGTTCTGGACGGCATAAGTGTTGTTGAACTGCCACAGTGATCGAGGATGACATAGACACTCTGAGCTCTGGGTGTGTCCTGGGGTTAGTTGTCACACAAGAAAGTGCCCCATTCATTCTCTCCGCAGCACATCCACCTGCTGCACCACACTCTGAGGCTGTCCGATTAACAAGAGCCCTCACCGCAATGGAAATCGAGAGCATGGTCGCCAACAGTGTCCTTGTTAGAGCCAGAGAAGGTAAAATACAACACTTATCTGTATAAAACGCAATAGTTGAAACGTTAAAATCAACTCAATCTTTTCAACCTTTCAATGTTATGTTTTGTTGTTTTTATGCTGGCAAAGTGCTCAAACTTCAGCAGGAAATGTGGTACTATCAGAAACAATAGATAGATAGACAGACAGATAGAGAGAGAGAAAGACAGACAGCTAGATAGAGAGATAGATAGATACTTTATTGAGAAATTGAGGTGTCCAGTAGCAGCAGAAACACATCCATCCATACAAACACCATTCATACAAACAAAACAAATAAATATATGATTCTAAAAGTAGCTCACAATAGTAGTAATATTGAAATACAGCACTTTAGGTCACAGCAGCAGAGATGGTGTAGCCGCTGGGTGGAGCAGGACAGGTCTAGCTAACTCCAGGCTTAACCTAAGTGTGTTGTTTAAATAAAAAACAAAACCAAAAAACCTGACAAAATATGCAAAAATATCTGATTTTGATTTGAACTGTAACCTTGCGTGTCAAGATTGAAGAGTGCTGCACATGAAAAGCTATTTAAACCTGAAAGTAAGACTAAGAATAATGCAGTCCTACAGGATTTGCTGACGTGTTTGGTGTGCTATTATTAGCCCATTCACAGAGGTGCTACGTAGTAACGTTTGAAACTTGCCAGAGAAGTCACGTTGCACAATCACAAGGCGATCAGATGTCTTTGTGAGATTATATCTTCTTCATAATGATCAGGTGGAGGCAGCAAAGGCAGGAGCTGGAAGTGGAAAGAAATGCTGCGGTTCCCTCACATCAGTCAGTGCAAGGAGTTGGCCAACACCATTGGTTTGTTGTTGTCTGTTTCTCTCAGATACAGGCCATTCCAGGTTATGTCTCACCTTCTTTTCTGTTGTTGTTCAGAGCGAGACTACTACAGCTTGTGTGTTCAGCAGCCGATTGGGAAGAAGCTTTTTCAGCTCTTCTGTCGGAGTCGGCATGATCTGCAGAACTACATCTCCTTTCAAGATGCACTGGTACAAACACTCTACACAACCTCAAATCTTACTGCAAAGTGAACGGGACTCAGGCCAAGATGTAGCATCATCCCAAATGTATCCTTTTTATTGGATCAGGTCCAAGTCCTGCTGAGATTTCAGAATCTCTTTAAACAGGGGAGTCTTAGCTCAAGATCGAGAATGAGAGAGAGAGAGAGAGAGAGTGCAAGAAAGAGAGAGAGAGAGCACGAGAAAGAGAGAGAGCGAGAAAGAGAGCGAGATCGCGAGAAAGAGAGTGAGAAAGAAAGAGAGAGAGAGCGAGAAAGAGAGAGAGGGAGCGAGAAAGAGAGAGAGGGAGCGAGAAAGAGAGAGAGAGAGCGAGAAAGAGAGAGAGAGAGAGAGCGAGAAAGAAAGAGAGGGAGTGAGAAAGAGAGAGAGAGCGAGAAAGAGAGAGAGGGAGCGAGAAAGAGAGAGAGCGAGAAAGAGAGAGAGAGCGAGAAAGAAAGAGAGGGAGCGAGAAAGAGAGAGAGAGCGAGAAAGAAAGAGAGGGAGCGAGAAAGAGAGAGCGATAGAAAGAGAGGGGAGCTATGTTTTTTAGTGGTGGTGGACACAGGGGGAACATGCAAATTCTAGCAGTAGAATAAAACCCAGGACCAGCACTAGTATTAATGCCACTGTGCTAACACTGCGCCACCCAATGTAGTATACAACAAATCAAACCAACCTGTCTCACTGGAAACAATGTATTATGTTGTTTTATGATCAAATTAAAGCATTATTTTTGTACAATTTCGTTTGCCACTCTATGATCAAGTTCTTGTGTCAAACTAATTGTGTTTTTCTTCACTCTAGGAAAGCTTCGAGACAAAGTCAGATGCTGAAAGAAGAGTAGTGGGAACAAACATCATTCAAAGATTCCTCTTGAGCCAGGTCAGAAACGATGTTATGAACTTGACTTTATGTATTTTTACACAAGTCTTATCAATGATGGATGCTTTGTGTCCTCAGTCACTGCAGTCGCTTCCGGTCGTGCAGAGCCACGTACAGAGCTGCATTCAGGCTCTGGAGATGGACCCCAGCGCGGACGTTTTCTGCGCATGTAAAAAGTAGGTGCAGTTTTATTCTTAGACAGGTGCAGGAGAAACTCAGAAAAAAAGTAGAATATTGTTTGAAAGTGTACTTGCTGGACTAGGCGCACCTGTTAGATACAGGTGCGCCTAGTCCAGCAAGTACACTTTCCAACAATGCTAGCTACATTTGAAAAGAGTATTATATTTTCCACATATAAGCCTCACTTGAATATAAGCCGCAGGTTTTTATGTTGTAATATAACACTTAAAAAACAGTTGAAAGAGCTGGTCCTGGGTTCGAATCCCGGTCAGAACAGGGCCTTTCAGAGTGGAGTTTGCATGTTCTCCGCGTGTCAGCGTAGGTTTCCTCCGGGTGCTCCGGTTTCCCCTACCACTAAAACATGCACAATAGGTATGAATGTAAATGAGATGGTGTTGATTGGGGCTGATGGTCAGTCCAGTGTGTTCGGCGACTCGCTTCTGTCATCACCGTGTGTGGAATGATTGGAACAATATCTGAACTCTGGACATTGTAAAGCGCTTTGGGTGACCTTGGTCTGTAAAATGCGTTATATAAATAAACATTACTTACTTCTTGGGCAACACACTTAACCCACCTTGGCCCAGTGTGTGCGTATAACTGGTGCATTCAAGATTCAACATTAATTTATTATGTCCCGGAGAAAAAATAATTTTCAACACAGTAACACAAACATGAACTGTCAGCGCTCTCTGCTCCATGACCTGCATTCAGGAGATTCACTGATGTGGGTAGGAACGAGTTCTTAAACCGGTTGAGGTATCTTTTCTTATTTTTAGTGACAAAAACGCAGCCGCTCTGTCAGTACGATCAGTATCAGTGAGAGGCCCCAGTATACATAAAAAATAGAGCGAGAGGCCATTGTGTAAGAAAAATAACATACACAAATGATTGAATGGAAAGTTTGAGGCCTGTATAGCTACACTCACAGTGATTATTGATTCTTTTAATCCCTTGTGTGATATTAATGTTTTTTTTCTTGTTTGTTGAGCACTTTGAGTTGTGTGTTAACTGAGTTGTGCAAATACTTGTGTGAATGGGTGATGTGAAGTGTGTAGAAAAGGTCAACTATTATAACAAACAAAGGCAAGCTGCAGGTAATGAGTCCATATCATGTCGGTTTCACATGTTAAGTTAGAAAGTAAATGAATTTTTGAACAGTATTATATTTTCTGAGTTTCACATGTGCTAGTGATTAAACATGATAATGGGAGGATCTAGAGTGAGATGTTGTCTTCTGTCCAAGTTGTTTTTAGTAATGTGATGCTTTATCTGACTGTCAAACTTGTCTGCATTTATCAGAGATCTACATTCGTATCTTTCTGGGCAACCGTTCATGCAATATCAAAAGAGCATGTTTTTTGACCGTTTTATACAGTGGAAAATGATAGAAAGGTGAGTCACTATTACTGCTGAAAATGTCCTTATACTATGCCAGATTTAAACTTAAGATTTTTGCCATACACTTGACTTATGGCTCTGTGTGTTTTTAAGGCAGCCTGTCACAAAGCAGTGTTTCAGACAGTACAGACTTCTGGGAAAGGGGGGCTTTGGAGAGGTTCGTCCATGTACACACTTTCACAAGCGTCTGATCAAAGACTAGTCATCAGAGCAACCGCACTAATGACTAGTTACGACAATAGAAATTGAAATGTTATTATGTTCCTTTTTAAGGTTTGGGCTTGTCAAGTGCGATCCTCAGGAATGATGTATGCCTGCAAAAAACTCAACAAGACTCATGTGAAGAAACGCAGGGGAGAAGCTATGGCACTAAATGAGAAAGAAATACTGGAAGCTGTGGACAGTCGGTTTGTGGTAAGACATAAACCGATACGGGCTTCTATGTTTTAGGCGGTTTTACTCACAACTTTCCACTGTAAAGGTCAATTTAGCATATACCTACGAAACCAAGAATGCCCTCTGTATGGTTCTGACGATGATGAGTGGAGGGGACCTGAGATTTCACATTTATAACATTGGAAGCCCAGGATTAGAAAGAGAAAGGGTCTGCTTCTATGCCGCAGAGGTCTGCTGTGGGCTAAACCATCTGCACCAGATGTCAATCATCTACCGGTCAGTGACACTGTTTAGAAACCTGTGTGTTGTACAGATCTTAACAATTCCTTTTAAAAAAAAATCTGCTTTATTTCTAGAGACCTGAAACCAGAAAATATCCTCCTGGATGACAAAGGTCTGTATACTGTAAATGTGTACATATTCACAGATATGCATATTCCTGAGTACCTATATCAAGATTATTCTATTCTCACAATATTATTTTATTATTATTCTTATTTTCAGATTGTTACTTTAATGTTATTTTTATTGTGAAATACTATGCGAGCTACTGTGACAACGCAATTTCCCTTGTGGATCAATAAAGTCTGTGTAAGTCTAAGTCTAAGGTCAGTTATGCTTGCACTAATGTAATTCTAATGCTAAAATGTGACTTTAAAGTGGATAGAATGAAATGCTTTGAGACTGTCGGTGCTGAGCCTGATTTCAAAGATCTCTGAACCTAAGAAAGTCATGATCTGGTTTGTGTTTGTGGGAGCAGCAGTATGTGTCCGGAGCAGCACCTGTGCAAAGTACTTTATTGTTTACAGTAAGGAATACAAAACCTCCTGAATACGTTTTTAGACGTATCTGCACAAGGAAGAAGTACTAATTATATCGTGACCGTTTAAGGAAGTAAAAACCTTCTGAAACATAGGTGTGGTGTTCTATTTTGAGCAATGTCAAATTATGCACAATTAGTAGTAGTAGTAGTAGTAAGTAATCTTTATTTATATACCGCCTTTTCACTGCACATCGGAGTCTCAAAGCGGTTTACAATTGTTATTTTTGGGAGTGGGGGTGCCAGTACAGGAGGCACATGCCAGACCTATTGTACATATTTTTAGTGGTAGGGGAAACCGGAGTACCCGGAGGAAACCTACGCAGACACGGGGAGAACATGCAAACTCCACTCAGAAAGGCCCTGGTCCAACCGGGATTTGAACCCAGGACCTTCTTGCTGAGAGGCGAGAGTGCTATCCACTCAGCCACCGTGCCGCCCAAACAATTAAAATAGTTTTGAACGGAAAGTGGGAAAGAAAAGGAGAGTGTGAGTCATCAGCAGGAACAGAATGAACTAGTTCAGTTATTTGTGACTTATTTATTTCATTTTTTCACTGTAGAAATAATATGCTACTTTAAACACAGGTCACATCAGGATCTCTGACCTGGGCCTTGCTGTGCGTTTGTCAAACGGGAAACTCGCTCATGGTCGTGTGGGAACAACTGGCTACATGGGTGAGTTTATCAAACATAAAAGGTACACAACTAAAAGTGTAATAATGGAAATGCACTTTCAGCTCCTGAAGTGATTAGACATGAGCATTACGGGGCCAGTGCCGACTGGTGGGGTCTTGGATGTTTGATTTATGAAATGACGGCTGGTCGCCCTCCCTTGAGGACGAGAGGAGAACACCCCAAATCTGATGAGATGGAGAGAAGGATTCGCTATGAAAAGGAAGAATACACCAAAGTGTTCAGTAACGAGGCCAAGGATCTGTGCACCTCGGTGAGAACCTCAGGGTTAAAAAACAAACATGAATCAATTAGACTGTGAAGTTTTATGTTAAACTTTCTGTTGTCAAGCTGTTGATCAAAGACCCAAAGAAGCGTCTGGGATCTCAAGGAGCGAGTGAAGTTAAAGCCCACCCCTTTTTTAAAAACATAAACTTCCGGATGCTTGATATTGGCTTAGTGGAGCCACCTTTCAAGACGGATGTAAGTATCATTTTCTATACAGTCTATGATTAAAATGTCATATATTTTAGTCTGGTCCAGGACCTGAAGTGTCCCCCTACAGCCCCGGCAGGTGTACTGCAGCGACGTGCAGGACATTGAAGAGTTTTCATCAGTGAAAGGAGTAGTTTTGGATGAAACGGACGGAGAACTTTACTTCAAGTTCTGCACCGGTCGAGTTCCCAGAATGTGGCAAAATGAGGTACAGCTCTGTTAAGATCTGCAGATTTTAACACTCAAACTCCCAGAATTCTGAAACTAACATAATTCCAAGAGCTGTCATTTTGACTTCCTCCATTCAAATCAATAGAATTCTGAGAAATTCCCCAAAAAAGTGAGTTAGTTTAAAAAGTTCTTACCTTCACTCACTTTTAATAAGTAAAGAACCTGGTGAATATGACTGAAATATATGATAGCAGTGTGTTGCTATGGTAACTAGCACATCAAAGAGAACTGATAACTTCTATTCACATTGGAGAAACTACTTGTATTTAAAAATATATATATATAATTTCACAAAATAAAGACTTAGAAATATTCTATAGATACAGAAAAAGTCATTAATTCCACAAATGTACATATGTCCAGTAATTACAACTTCAAAACTAAAAGCAGTCACATTTTTGCAGCTGGTTACATCTGCACCCTACCGAGTCTCTCTTTATGGTTTTACTGGTGTGTGTGTGTGTGCGTTCTTAATAATATGGTTGGGCATGCTGGATTGTTTTTAACCAAACTGGAAATCACTTGTGTTGCATTGTCTGTATGAAAAGCGCCTGACAAATAAAATGTGATTGATTGAAATTGACTGCTCTGGGAGTTCAAGCGTTAAGAATATTCACATTTAGTGTTTTTCCTCAGATGATAGAGACGGGATGTTTTATGGAGCTGAATACGTTTGGTCCAATGGGCACTCGCTCCCCAGACCTGGAGTACTCCCCGGCCCCAGTGAGCCCGAAACGCAGTCTGCTACATCGCATCTTTCGCAAAAACGTAAGAGTAACTTCATATTTCCACAATTGCAGTATCATAGACACCAGATGCACTTTCTCTCTGCCACCAGCTGCGCTCCAATTCACCAGACTATAATAAAATGATCGAAGACTCTGACGACAACTCAGGACCAGACTCTGAACTCTGACCAACAGCCAAAGGACATTTAATACTTAACATGAAGATAATATTTTGTAAATGTTTATTTTCCATTTTTGATGTAAATACATTGCTTTTGTTACAAACCAATACTGGTCTTTATTTTACTTCTGAATCTTAATGGCTGTAAAATGTGATTCTGACGGTTGAGCAAAACAAATCCAATCAAGCACATCAAAATTTTAAAAGAACCAAACAAACAATATTTCTGTTTCTAATGGACAGAAATGTGTGAGCTAAACGTTTCATATTCAAAAATCAAATAGTGATAATTAGAAGAATGAATCACAGAAATAAATGAACTGATGAACAAACTGCGAAAGGCACTGTGTAAATAAAAATGACCAACCAAAATGTGAAACCATTTTACGATATTGACTCTTTTTAACCTGTGCCTTTGTCTGAGAGTCCAAGAAAGCACAATAATAATGTATTGTTACTATTTTTTAATATAAATATTCTAATTTCGGAGATGTCTTGGTTGGGCTTTTGACAAACTGAGCAAATTATCAATGTCATTACAAATAAAGGCTTGACATGTCTGAGTGTAATGAGATGTATATTGGTGTCACATTGTAAGTTGAATTACAGAAGAAAATAGACTTTGACTTTTTGAAATATTCTAGTTTTCCAAGTTTCATCCGTGTGTTTCAGAGTATTTTAAATGAAAACAGTTTAGGCAGAAATACATTTTAATATGTTTTATTTAACCTTTATTAAAACAAAGTCATTAAGGTTATCAATATCTTTAAATTGTGTTTCATAGCAAACAATACATTTGAACTATGGTATTAAAAAACAATATAATAAAGAGTGAAAAGTAAAAAACAAAAATTGTAAATGTGTGGTGGAAAACAGAGTCCTTACTAAAAAAAGAAAAAGCAACAATTTTGAAACAACTCCTTGCACTGCTCTGCACACGGCTCCAGACAGAAATCAATAAAAACAAAATTGTAAAAAATGTGAGCTCATCCTTCCCAGGGAGGACTGCGCCGTCCATCCACCTCCGTCTCCACGTGGTACAGCGCATCAGCCAGAGTGTGCTCGATCACCGCGCCCCAGCCCATGTCGCTCATCTGGAACACAACAGTGAATCAGGGGGCGCCATGGATCTATAATAATAACTGGACAGGACTGGATATTTCTAGCTTATTGCTGATGCACCCACGGGCTCGGTGGCTTCCCGTTGTACTGCAGACTAAATAAGACAAAATTCTCATGGGCTACGCAGACATTTTACCGGCAGAAATCAATATAAAATAAAACAGCTCAACCTCAGCTGACAGAGAATCCTACAGCTTTCATAATAGTCAGATATCGTGGGGATTTTAGTGTCCCTTGTCATCCTGAACTTCTTCTCTTCATCGGTTTTCTTTAAATCCACACTTTAGCGCAACAAACTCTGCTCGTTTCCCTCCCTCCCTGGGCATGAGAGCCACACACACACGTCCTCGTTAGTGTTTGGCGCAAAGCATCATGGGAGGACGTCCACTGCGCAAAACCGGGAGGACCAGACACATGACCAAATATGGGTGGGCTCCGCTAATCTTTCGGTGCCCGTGGTTGCTTCAAGCGCCACTGAGCACAGGCCAATGATTTGAATACGCCGCCATCTTGGATCGCCCACACACATCCACAAACACATCCAGAGCCGTTCAAAACTCACCGGCTGGTACTTCAGCTCTTTGGGAGGGTGTTTGAAGTGAGGCCCAAAGTTCACAGACACCTATAAAACACACAACACACACTTTATGGAATTACCTTAAACACTTGGTATGTTTCTATGAAGTGTGTTTGTGGAAGGACACGACAGACCGTGCAGCTCTTGTACAGTGAAATGGCTGGATAGTAGAGTCCTTCGAACAAGTTTTCAAAAGCCACTCCTTGGCTCGTCCCGTTTTTGTAGAATATAATCTAAAGCAGACACGCAGGTTGATCGTAGAAAATAACCTTTGACAATAGCACCGATCGGTCATTTTCACTTTACCTTACTGGGCTTTGTTGCCTTGAGATTTTTTTCTGCCTTATCCACGTAGTCTTTCTCTTCAAAATATAAGTAACTCTTGAACTTGATTAGTGCCTGAAATCAGAGAGAACCACTGTACTAAGCCTTAAAAAAACTATTCAGGTTCATTTTATTTGCAGTAAAACCACATTGGAATACATTTGCAAAAGTCCCCAGTGTGCACCAAACAAGTAAAAAAATAGAAAAAGGTTCAAAGTAAAGAAATAAAACTAAAAAGTGCAGGAAGCGATTGAACAAAATGAATGTATATATTTATATATATCTATAAAATAGATTACCGTAGTTTGAGGATTACCTTGTCCTTGTACGTGTCAGGGAGAGCCTTTGCCGTTTCAGTTTCATCCGGCAATTCAATGTAGAATCCCAAAGTGTCTCCTTGCCCGTATCCTGAAGAATAGTGCTTACCGATGGACTGGTGAAATCGAGTGCCTTTCTTGCTACGCCATGAATAGCTAAACTTATCATATCCTAAAGGTGCCTGCAAGTTACCTAACCAGAACAAAAACAAAAACCTTAAGAGAAATGTCGTGTTGTCACTTATCATTGAGTTGAAGCTCCACTCACCGAGAGGCTGAGACCACCCCAGCCTCGCGGCGGTCTCCGGAGGCATTTCTTCCACCGTGATCTCAAAGAACCAGGAGCCCTTTCGCACCCCATGAGACGCTCGCACCATGGAGTAGCCCTTCTCCCCAGTCACAGTGAGCCGGTCGTCAGAGATCTTCAGCTGTGGCGCTGTAACCAAACAATGACATCATTTAAGCCACTTAAATGATGTCAACATGTGCGTCCTGACTCAGAAGTGTTGCACTGTGGGTACCTCTGTCGTGCAATGCCAACAGCACCCTCTCGTAAAGACAGGCCCTGTAGAGATCACCCGGAATCGGTTTCCCAGCCCAACAATCCAGCTCTAGTTTTTCAGGATCAGGAGCGTGGGGGTCTGGCTCTGCAAGGATGTAGCGATAACCATCCTTATTAAAGGGGTGCTCCAGAGGATAACCGTGAGGAGGAAGGCGTTGGGCTGAAAACAAAGGGTCGCTGCACAAATCGGAAAGATGTCATTATTAGTATTATTATTATTGAACGTGAAATTCCTCCAAAGGAGTCTGAGCACACACCTTCTGGTTCGCTTGGTTGTTCCAGCGGCAGTCCCTTCTTGTTGCTGTTGCTGTTTGCGTTTGGCTCCTCGTCCTTTTCCTTGTCCTGCAGCCAATGCACCTAAAATAAAAAACGCACTTTTAGTGATATAGATATGTATAAAGAAAGATATAAGTTTTATATTTAGATCCCAAAAAGCATACATCCAAACAAGCTGGGACATAAGCTGTAGCAGCCCAGTTCATGATTCTGCCAGCAATGATTGAATGGCCATTGTGACCAACCTGCTGTGAGCAAGTAGTTTTATGAACAAGGAATCTATATTCTGGAGACTTATTTGCATCTTTCACATTATGTTTGCAGAGTCACAACTTGTTCTCAAAGGAACTTAGCTCGAGAGCATGGCTGAAAGATTCGAAGCCTTTAGGCAGCAAGCAAAAGACAAGGAACTAATAGGAACTTTTTGAGGGAAAGGTAAAACAGGAAAAGAGACAGATGAAGTTGCCCAAAAGATGCCTGATGATCATTACTTAATGACATAGTAATGTTACAATATTGTAAGATACAATATTTTAACTTAATTTCAGAATGCGATCATACATCAGGGTCAACTTCTATCCAAAGGATTACAACACACACACACATCAAGTGGCTCAGGGTACTATATGTGTATTTATATATATTCACCTGAGAAAGTAGATCCACCTGGAAAACAGTGCACAGAATGACCATCGTCACCACATTCAGCACTCACACATGAGAAACATTACCATCCTTTGCCCTCAACAACTGGCTCCGTTATTCTTAGGGCAATGTCAATAAACTAACAGCTGGGTCTGGGCAGTAGCTTAATAAGGATCCATTGTACCAGGGAGAATTTCAATTTGTCAGCTAACTGATATAAATATAAACTATACAACTCCTGGAAACGCGAATGATCAAAATAAAATGTGTATCCCTCTAATTTCAAGTCAATCCAAACATTCAAACAAACCTAGACCAGTTTTAAATCTGAACTCATAATACATTTCCTAAAACATTTATAGTGGTTGAGTAATCAAATTACAGACCTCTAAAAATCATTTGCAAAATGTGAATGTAATCCTTAATCCCAGACACCGGCTGTTCCCTCCTTTAGTGTTTATTATGGAAAATTAAGATGGATTTTAGAGTTTGATCATTCTCTAAGCAGACTGTTCCCAAGCATAATTAGAGTAAAAGAGACATCAGAAGGCCCATGTTAGGGGGGATTAACCTGCATTTATGTTTCTCAATATATGGACATGTGTTGCTAGTTTCAGCATTTAAAACCCACTGATCACTGAGATGTAGAAACTGCACTAGCAACAAGGTTCAAGCCAAAGCAGACTGACCCCTTTTCATATTTCCCAAAGAAAACAAGTCATGAGAAAAGGAAACCCTTCACTTATTGAAAATAACACACCAAGTTTGATCAGCATTTGATTTAAAAAGTAAATATTCAAGTATATGAATAAAATCAATTACATTAATGAGAACTTATACCATTAAGTCCAGGAGTAGGGGGAGGCGCTGTCGTCTGTTTCTGTGCATCATACGAAGGACCAATGGTTCCAAGATCCTGAAAGAAGAGAGTCAAATTATAATCTACAAGTGATTTTCATGACATCATTATTCAGTACACGTTATGAAAAAGCACCTGATCCAAAAGGCCAAATTTGGGGTATTCCTCTTCTGTGTCTTTGCTGCCGGGGTCAGGGAGTTCTTTTACCAGAAAAACATCTCGCTCTTTGCTCTAAAAACACACACACACACACACATACATATAATAAACACACACACACATATATTAAACACAAACGAGTACCAGTCTTTGTAGAAATGTGCATCATACATCACTAAGGGAAACTCCATCACAGTCTGGGCAAAACCCAATTGACAATACCAACATGAAGCTGTGAGCGTGTGTCTGCGCGCGTGTCTGCGCGCGTGTCTATGCGGGCTTATGCACATTCTTGTTGGTGTTTTACCATCGTCTTCACTATGTTATTGGGCCACGTCAGCTTTCCTGGTCTCTGACGAGTCGTCATACACTCCCAGTATTGATCAATGAAGGGTATGATATCCTTTAAAACACATACAGTGTATTATAAGCAAGCGTGTTTCTAAACACAACAGTTAAATATGTTACCGATTTAAGAGAATAGACACAGATCAATGAGTGAAATGAAAAATCAGACTTTACCTTGTCCTTAGAGAACATTGTCTTTGGGTGTTCATCTTGTGTCCTGGAGCGCCATGTGAGATTGGCTAGTGCAGTCAGGCACATTTCCTTTAAATCTGAGTCAAGAATATAAAATAACACAAAATTAAATGAAAAGCAATTATTTATTTGATAAAAACATCTTTCTTTTTGCACACACTTGCTTGTTTTCTTAAGAAGTAGGTGTTGCCACTGTGATGGCAGGCATTGCAATGGAAGACATAATTGGTCATAAAGGGAAGACAGGTGCTGGAAAGCAGAGAAAAGCGCATTAGTGCAGTCACTATGGTTGTTAGAGATAGAAAGAAGGATGTTTCAGCATACACAGTGTCGATGCCAAACGTATCTGCGGTAAACCACTTCATGCACAGGGCACACTGGAGCTCCACTACACCCAGCTGTCTGCCGCTCTCCTCATCCCCAGAGCCAGTGACGGTGTCTGCCGCCTCCGAGCCTTCACCAGCGCCGTCCTGGGATTAAGCAAACACATGCATCTGTGCGGTGCAACACTATGGACATGGTTATGCAGAGATTTAAGACTGGTTACCATTCCTTCTTTGCCATTGGGGGACTTGGTGTCCATATTGGAAGACAGATCTCCAAATGTGGCATCACTGAAACAGGAAACGAATACAGCCTTTAGTTGTTTAAATGGTCCAGCTGGATACGCATCGATCTAATATCGAGGGTGTAACGTCACTGTAAGAACAAATGACATCGGAGACGTCGCCACTTTCAGCAGCAGCAAAGCAAACGTAATTCGCTGCTTAAATGCGGAAGAACAGTGTGTATTCTAAATAGAGGTCCACAACACATGTTATATTCCAGGAGTGCTGGAGAAATGGAGAAGCGGCAAAAGCAGGAGACATACCCGTCAGCAGCCTCCGCACTGGCAGCAGATCCGCGCGTCTCTGCCTCAGCGGTCGCCATGTTTCAAATCAATGAAAACAAAAGAAACATCGCGAGAGGACGACTTCCGGTTGGAGACTCAGCAGTGCCCCCTGTGGGAAACTGGCCGAACTACAACACACTGTGGTCCAATCCTGATCCTGACAGATCTCAGAAGAAAATCTCTGCGCCAGGCGCAGTGCGCCTAATACTGTGATGACCTCCAAACTGTTGTTGTGTCCTTAGGCAAGACACTTCCCCCACATTGCCTTGTACAAGTCTCTGCGTTCAAGAATGATTGGTGTTGGTTAGAGGGCTGGATGGCACAGATCACTAGCCTCACCTCTGTTTGCCCCTGGGCGGCTGTGGTTGCTGTGTACATGAAAAATGCCCCGTGGAGCACCTAGAATAGTGCAATAAAACCAAATTATTAAAAAACCTGACTTGCGCAAGCTGATTATTATTATTATTATGGAGACGTAAAACAGAGTAAAACAATTAAACAATGAATACTTCTCGCATTACCTATAGATTTAAATACTATTACACATAACAATACAGTACTCATATACAGTATACAGTATGTCTATGACCTGTTCAAGACAAAAATCAGACCCTGATAGCTTCAGAGATCTGACGAGCTCAAGCTTTCACATGAGTAATTAGATCGCATTGGACAGTTAAAGGAGGGCCATGCTATAAAAATGTGATTTAAAAATGGTTTAGAAGACTTGCATTGATGATGCTCACCTTATCTTAGACCTGTCATTCTGGCCTCTCATCCTCGCACATTAGGAAGAAACATTATTCTCAGGTTGAAAAACACTTTCATTTTGAGCTTATTATTCCAGATAATAGTGACAGGCCTGTAGAGAGATAGCTGCGGATTCTGATTCTTTACCAAACGATGCCCTTTGTGTGATACTGAGGATTCAAAGGACGACAGATGGAGAAATTATGTCATGGACACAATTTTCTTAAATTCCCGTGGGACACTTTCAAGTGCAAATGAGCTTGTTTGTCTTTAGATCTTACACAGAGGAAAGCAGTAAAGCCTTTTGTGGTGGCACGAGACCACCCCATGCAGTTTTCTCTAGTAAAACGTTATTGAAAAGATTGTGGGGTCGTTCAAATACCAGTAAACATTCACCAAATACAAAGTACAATACAAAATACTTAAGTGTGCCATGCATCTCACAGAGGGGCAGGACGCCGCTGGGTGAAGCCATAAATGCCTTTAACTCCTGTTGAGATGTGAATGCTTGTGTTTTCTCCTCCCTTTTGCCTTGTACTGGAGGGCTCCAAATCTGTGGAATAAAACCTTGGTACGTATCTGCTTGAGCTGAGAGAACCGATAACCAGCCAACTCCATTTTGAAATACCTATAAAACCTGATGGAAAGTTATTTTAGTGCACCAGATAAATACAGACCTCCAAAGCATGAGTGTCATGTTTCATTATAGAAAATAATTGAGTCATGCTTCTTTGGTAAAATCATCATTTTAATATCAACTTTAAAGAAACATTTGTTGGTTGTCAAGTCACTGTCTTGAAAGTGCCCTGGCTTCAGTAGCTCAATCATTTGGCTCCTACAGTAAAAGGTTAGAGCAACTTCAGTCAACTGTCAAAGTGATTCTTGATAAGAATTCTTGATAAGAATCACTTGGGTTAAAAAAAACAAAACAGAAGGTTGCCCCACAATGAAAATGATGAGAATCCAAATGCACCAGGATTTCACAGAGGGTTGGAGAACCTAACATTGAAACCACAACAAAATAAATATGTATTATAATCCATGTAACTCATGGCTCTAAAGCAGTTTGGTTTTGTAGTTTTTACAGTATGAATGTTTGGCCTCTGTTTTATCTTTTTGTTACAACAAAACAACTCCATAATGTGATATATAATATTGTATATAATATTTATACTATAATATGGTGAAATAAATGCAATAAGTTACATTAATGTTCATTATATTGACATCTGCCATCTCCCATTAGTCTCTGACTCTGACTTTGTCCAGAGCCACAAAGACCAGGGTCAGACTGGGTCAAACATCTGCTAATTGTCCTCTCTGCTCAAACTCTGCTGGACTCCACTGAGCATCTGTCTCCATCATTCACATAACGAATGTTTTTTGAGTCGTGGTAATTACCGTGACCAACAGCCTATAGCTCAGCATTAAGCCCATAACTGCAGTGAGATGTTAACTGGGAACTGGGGAATAACAGAGGTGTTTGAGATACGGACTGACAGAAGGTATTGTTTACATTTGTTGAGATGAGAGAAACACATCCTCATTATTATCTTCATATCAATATCCTCATCATCATCATCACCACATGTGGGTTCTAAAACATGTTAAGAAATGATGAAGCAGATTTTAATTTATTTTAAAACTGACAATATATTTTTCTATTTCCAAACTACATGCAATTACACCATTTGAAACAATTGGATTCATACAAGATCTTACTCATGCCCTACAGACTAAAGGCTGCCATGTCAATAGAAATATTTTGTTTTTGTGTTGAAGCATGTAAAATACTTGATTGTTACTCCTAATTACTCCTAATTCATTCTTTTGGTTGGTTTTCTGCAAGCAATATGCGAATGTGTTTATGACGTGTGTTTTGGTGTGAGCTGATCAGATAGATGCAATAAAGCTGTAGGCTTTCTTATTCACAGAGTGGAAACAACCTCCTAAGAACAAAAGGCACTTTACAACCGGGACAAGAAAGAAAAAGACGCGAACTTTCCCTTTGACGAGTCCATCAATTAACATAACAAGGCGCGTTCACGTGTACTTCAACCGTAAAATCTCACATTTACAAATAATGACAAGCCAGGACACAATAACGAACACGGAAAAAGAGAAAGAAGGCACATTTTAACCAGATGCACAGCAATAAATAGCCCTCCTCGTGTCCCTCCAGCTGAGAGGGTCATTTACATGTCCACGGGGCAGGAGCGTGTGCGCGCCCCCGCTGAAATGCCACTGACTGATTGTTCTCGTTTTATTTTAAACACCAGATGAATAGGGTTAAATAGGCATTTGTGCCACCAGCCTATATAAATGTAACGGTGGCTCTGGCACCAGGTCTAAACTGGAGTCACAGTGAACGATGCAGGCCGTCACAGGCGCGCTCACGCACACGTCCTTCTCAGTGGAGGACATTCTGGACCCGCGCAAGTTTATAACGCACAGGCGGCCAGTTCAACACGCTCCTTTGGAAACTTCAGGTACGACACGATGTTTTTATATAATGTCTGTTTTGAATGACTGCTATTGTTTTTCATGTGCAGAACTTTGTAAACATGTTTTGAAAAGTTCTTTCACTTCAAGAATGTCAGTTTTATGTAAAATTGACCTAGGTTAACAACTTACCATATACATAATTAGTACCTATATTCTCCCATTTCAAGAAAAGAGTGTATTTTTGATGTTTGTATAGATTTTGTTATTTATGTTGATATTTTTTTGAGTCTATATACTGTGATGGAGATTGGGTTTCTCTTTTGAAAACCCCTTTTTGAAATGTTTTCAATCAAGAAAGTATGCAATAAAGATCCACAAAAAAGTCATCATTCAAAAATATTTTTCTACAATGTAGGCCATAGTAGTATAGTGATTCTAAAACCTTTAACATATATAACCGAAGAACGGTTTTTTTCACAGACTACCACTATCACATCTATTGTTTGACCTTCAGAGTACCACAATGTCAAAAATGGTCTAAATGTGTAAACCATTATTTATATGTAGTCTATAATTATACGTAGTTTTTTCTGCAGATGCCTAACCCAAAAGAGAACAATCCAGGTGCTAAATTGTTGGTGCAAAAGAGATTAGCAAAATCCCTGGTATAATCTACAGCAGTGTCTCCCAATAAGTGGGGTCCGCGGCCCCCTGGTGGGCCGCGAGGGTACTGCAGGGGGGCCGCGGGAGGTCATAAAAAAAATAAAAAAATAATATCATTATTTAATGTTAAATTTATAATGTTTTGTTTGTAATATTAAAATGTTTGTGTTCATTATTTGACTTGAATAATCCACTGTAATAATTTTTGTATTACAATGTTTGTAGCAGAGGCTATTTCCCTAAAATAAAATAACCAGAAGAGCCTATTCTTAATGTTGTCTTCTTGGTTATTATTTTGGGGGGCCACGCAGACCCGTCAGATTTTTAAGGGGGCCTCGGTGTTACTGAGTTTGGGAATGGCTGATCTACAGCATATGTGGATGACAAATGAGTTTTCTTCCATTTTAAGGGGATAATAATTTTGCACAGTCAAAACATGCTTGACAAATGAGGCCGTGTGTGTGTGTGTGTGTGTATGCATGTGTGTGGAAAATGTAGTAAAGACATATTTGTTCCTTTTTTCAGAGCTACAAACACCCAAAGAGAGCCAAGACTGTGAGGTCCATGTCTCTTCGGACAGCAGCAGCCCAGACGAGGAGGAGGAGGAGCATCGAGACGCCAAAAGGAAATCCAAAACCCGTCGCATCCGCACTGCTTTCACCCTGGAGCAGCTTCAGATCCTGGAGCGCAGTTTTAAACGGTGCCACTACTTATCGGTGCTGGAGAGACACAACATCGCCTCTCACCTGTGCTTATCTGAGACACAAGTGAAGATCTGGTTCCAAAACAGGCGCACCAAATGGAAGAAGGAGAGGCAGCTGGGCCAGGAGGAAGAGGAGGAGCAGTGCGGCTTTGTGCCAATGTCCTTCCCGTCTCAGCCATCCCTATTCTACGCTCCTGTCACCTACAACACACTGTGCCGTCCGCAGACATTCGGTCACATGTTCGTCCCGTCACCGCTGCCATCCCACCTCTTTTACAACTTATAGACAATACTGAGAGTGAGAACTTTGATATATTTCCACTGGTGCTGTTTACTCTTTGTCAAATGGACTGTATTATGCTATTTTTTGTACAACGAGAATCAATATAGATATAAATTATTCAAATGCTTCCTTCAGAAATGTTTTATTTGTATGTATGCATTTGTACGGCCACTTGTACCTCAGCATCATAGGCACAATATGAAAATGAAACCCAAAATGAATGTAGGTGTTGCAAATGTCTACAGTCAAAGAGCTCACATAAGGTTTAAAACAGGGGCGCCCAAACTATTTCTCTCATGGGGGACCATAATGTTTGCGGACCAAGGGCCAAACTGCTTCATTTTTTGTTTAAGAAGTCAGTCCAGCCTAAAAAATAAAGTGGAAGGCAAGGCAAGTTTATTTATGGCTCAATTTATTCACAAGGCAACTCAAAGTGCTGAGCAAAGCAACATAGAGACAGTCGCACAAGGCATTCAAATAATCATAAGGCATAAATAATCACAGTATTAAAAAGAGTGTAAAAAGCTTTTTTGTGGAAAGTTTGTTCATCATTAGCGCATTTGGCTCTTTTTTATTTGCTTATTTATTTCTATTTTATGGGAAGCATTTAGACTGGAAGGATTACTAAGAGTTTGTACATATTTTTGTGTGTATATTTGTCTGAACAAAATGAGTAAAGTTCTGCATTGAGTGAACACAAAAACTGGGCATTTTTGTGATCTGGTTCGCAGCCGCCACTTTGGGCACCCCTGGTTTGAAACTTTCCTTAAATCTTTGTTTAATTTCTTCTCAAACTCTTGCATGTGCTCTTCGGGTGACACACAGTAATAGTGTAGTCCAATTCAAAGCCTGGTTTAAAGGAGCTGATTTAGATTATTTAAAATCTCTATACAGACTGTATCCAGGGTCAACTTGCTTCTGTGTATTGAGCACTTTTCAATATGGTCTGAGGATTGAGGATCTAAGGACTGTTGTGTCTTTAAAAAAACATGAATGAGCTGTAAGTGGATGATTGGTGCTGGGTCCAAAGGCAAATGAAGTTTTGATTCCCTCACTCTGTCCCCATACTTCCCCCACCAGGCGTAGAATCATGTGTGTAATAGTGCCAATGACAAAAAGAATACATCACTTTTATAGTTATACAGAGCTCTAGTTGCTCCACATGGATCACAGATTTTCTATGACAAAATATAAACTCAAAGGCTGCCAAAAGTGGGAACACCAGTGGATCTCATTTGACCCGTGACAGTGTTCTGAGAGATTGAAAAAGTCTTGATTTTGATCCATTTTGTTTGAGGCTGTTTGAGGCTGTTTGAAATGTTTGCGATAATATACTGCGTGTGTAGTTATGTTGACTCCAATCAGCGGTTATGATCAGGGATTGGTCAAGACGGTTTGACCTCATGTTTGACTGTGAGGAAGAGAGGAATGAACCCGTCTCTGAAAGGTCTCAGCCACATGTGTTCACCACCAGAGGTCAGTCTTCAAAAATACAACAGAAAAGTCAGACTGTAAATGCAAAGGAAGTGGCATTTTTGAACACACAGTAGAAAATATTACAATCTTGTTAGACGTTTTTCTAGAAATCAGAGAAACCTACTTCTCAGATATATTTGATCTCTGTTGCATCCAACAGGTTTTATAGCCCTATGCTCAAAATTTGATGTCATTGTATTATATTTTTACCAACATCTTATGGGGCCTTCAAATGATGCTTTTCCCACCGAGATAGTGAGCAATCATTGTAGCCGCGCTGCCTTGGGCCAGACTGACAACACACTGAAGCACACAATAAATACATATTGAGAGAATGTGGATAAAGTGTCAAGCCTATGCACACAGCACCGGTCTCCCATCCAAGGACAAACCAGGTCCTGTCTTGCTGCATTTCCGATAGTATGATATATGTGTGAAATGGACTAATAAAGGGGCAGAAAATGAATGAATGAATGATTGAATTAATTTGTAGAATATAAATACATTCAAAACACACACCATTAATTAGGTTTTAATTTGTGCATTACAGCTGCACACAATCTTAATGTTAATAATCACAAAGGAAACTGCCAAATGATGCGGGAATTGCTGAGAAAGCGCTATAAGTCAAGATTTGCAGACCCAGGGGAACGCAGGGCAAGAGTGTTTTTAAAATCACATCTGAAAGACATCTTATCCACCTACGCACACAAACACTAGCACACCCACACACACACACGTATACGCAGACATACATACACACACTGACGCACTGACACACACACACATGCACACGCAGTATTGGAAACAGATGGAAAGAAAGAAAACAAGACTTTGTGAACCCTAAAACCAAAGTCACGGTTATCAGGTCTCATGCTGAGTTCTCATAATGTCTCACACACAGTTGGATTCAGAAGTATAACATTATCAAGGTAGATGAACACACACAGGGTCAGAAACAGCACTGACTTTGATCACAGACAAGAGATTGCAGGAGACATTGTCCAGCCAAGCAACATGAGATAGATCAAATATAACTCATACCATTATGAGGCGAGGAAATATGTGTTAAAGCAATGTGAAGGCCTGTTGGGTCCAAGGTAGCACATACTAAGAGAGCAAATTTACAAAAAGTACATTTGTTTTGGAATTACTTCCAAATAACATGAATGATCCAAGACTATACAGGAAGTGTACAATCTTAAGTTCAACTGCACATCTATTGTCTGAGCAGACCGTTTATGGTAGTAGCCCATTGAGTGTTGGCTCCGACCTCCTCCTCTTTCCATGGAATGTCTCTGTGTGAGACGCTCCACCCCTCGAAGAGGGGAAGGGGGCGCAGGGCCATGAGGGAGAGATGTGAGTCCAGACTGGGACGAGACAGAGTTATGCCTTGGGCTGATGCATTTCTCTTTCTTCATCAGTGAAACCACTGGGCTTTAAGACTCCAGCTCTGGCCTGACGTTCCCTTGTCCACACACCAAAGAGAAAGGATCTTTGAGGACTTCATCTGAGTGTTCATCTGCAGGTCAGATGCTGTAACACCAGCTGCTTTAACGTTTTCAGCCTGATTCAGCTCAGCAGATACCCCTGAGGATATGAGGGCTGATGTACTGCTGCTTCTGGTGGTGGCAGCTTCTTGTGCTTTGGTTTGCACTGAAGAAGATGTCAGAGGGCAGCTCCAGGTGAGGGATGCCCAGAGTCTGGTGCACATGTCCGATGAACCAACTAATGCAGAAGAACCAGTGAGCACAAAACCAAAGAGGAAGAAAACCCCTGAAGAGATAGAGGCAGGTAAGTGCATTTGCCTTAAAATATTCTTTCTGTTATGGTGGTGGGATAAAGACAAAGAAGAACGTCAGTGTTCTTAAATGTTTAAATAAGAGCGACATTTGAATTCTTGACTTAAGTTTGTTAAAATGTAGAGTATGGGAAATATAAGAACATTTTTTATTATTTTTTGTAGTGGTTAATAGTATTGATGTTCTAAACTTTCCACTGCAAGCAAAACCACAAAGACAGCAGTCACCCACTTACAGGCAATTCCCTCAAACCCCATGATTAACTCAGAGTTCCAAGGACCACACATTTCAAATACTTGTTTATATTTTATGGATTTTGCTGAACAAGCAGACTTACTAGACTTGGCCGTTTACTGTCTACCAACTTCATGTACGGCAAATAATCACAGCAGCTTGGGCTCTTTGTAAGCAGCAATAGTTACAGTGTGATTCAGATACTCATGTCAAAATGTTACTAATAATTATCTTATAATGGCTTTGATTCAGTAATATATTGATAATACAGATTTATTTGGTGGATCCCCCAAAAATATTATTAGCCAAATGCTCACCTGGATTAAATTCCCCCACCATACTATTGGTGGTAAGATCTTAGAACTAATAAATTCAATTCAATTCAATTTAGTCTAGCTTTACAAGCTGGTCGATTCCTCATCAGCAGATCAGAGAAACAAACATATGAATACATGTGGAAGCATGTTGACTTGCAGTACTAGTAGTGTAAAAACATTTCTTTTATGTAAAACATAAAAGAAATGGAAGACTATGGAAAGTTTGAACAATCAAATGGTTGATGTGTCTTGGCTTGTATTTCCTACAACTTCCTTTGGCCTGGACCCAAAGTCACAAATGATGTGGCTGAGTCAGATAATTCCATCTGCCTCTCTGTCAGTGTCAGCTTTACATAACAGTAGTGACCTGAACAGAAATGCTCTCCTGTCCTCTGCAGCCAGGGCACAAAAACAAGCAGAGAAGGCGGCCAAGGCCAAGAAACAGAGGGGTCCAAAGCCCACAAAAAAACCCAAAGGACCAAAACCAACCAAGAAACCCAAAGCGCCAAAAGCCACAAGAAAACCCAAGGCCCCAAAGAAACTGAGCAGCACAATGGCTCCTCCAGAAGTCCGACAGACGACAGAGAGTGTGCAGCAGCCGAGCACCGCCTACAGACACTACACATGTACGTATGTAGAGATCACCATGGTTACAAACATGTGCACTGCAAATATGATCCGTTTTTTACAAAGTAGTGGAAGTACATTGAGGAAAGAGTCAGAGAGAGAGTGTGTGTGTGTGTGTGTGTGTGTGTGTGTGTGTGTGTGTGTGTGTGTGTGTGTGTGTGTGTGTGTGTGTGTGAGTATTATGTGTTGTAAGAGTGAAAGGAGTCAGATAAGTGTCTGCTTCTTCCAACTCTTCTTCAAACTGTGTATTGATGTTAATTTGGTTCCCTGTTAATTGTTTTCACTTTTTGTGTACATAAGTTAGAAATAAATAATTACTTCTACTTACTACTACTACTACTGATGAAGTCACTGCTCATACCTAAGAGAAATTCAGCAGATAAGACTGTGGCGGTGAGGGCTGATGCCTTGTTTGGTGTTTCACGTCTCCATAAAGGAAGCAACATTAGCCCGAGAACGTCAACAGAATAAGTGTGAACTAACCCTATACAGAGAAAGTGTTTTGTTTCAGATGCAGTGGCCACAAATGCACCCATATGGGAAGAGCCGGAGGAGCCAGGTCGAGGTAAAAAATTAATGACAATGATGCAAAAATGGCAGAAACGTTTTTGCCCTGAAAAAACAGACCAACCAGGAATTTTATTTAAACAAAAAATAATCTATTATACCTGAAACAATTAAGATTTACTATACCTTACATGAAATGTATACATGTAAATAATATATCATCATAATCGATGGTTTGTTGAAAATATTATTGTTGTACAATGTTCGTATTGTTGGTTTGAATACTTGAGATAGCATACCAAAAAAATAAACAGTATACTGTAATTACAGAACTGTAAGCCACTACTTTTTTCAAGTTCTTTAAACTCGGCTAATGTCTGTATTTTTTTTAATTATCAATTTTTTTTGCTCTATCAGCTGTTATGTTTATGTGAACAGCAGAGAGAGCAGTGACAAGGAAATGCACAAATCACACGAGACACATCAGTGCAGAGTTTATAGACTTATTGTTTTGACTCCATCCACCTTATATTGATATGTTCAATCAATCAAATGTATCTATAAATCACAATTCATACAATATAACCCAAACTGCTTCAAAAGCAATTACAAACAGACAATAAAACAGGACACATGCATTCCTCATTCTTCATCAGTGGGAAAAAAACAGTACAATTACATATTAAACCTGATGTATACACATCCATCCATCCATCCATTTTCTACCCTTTAATCCATTTCTGGGTCAGGGGGGTGGCAGTCAGAGATGCCACCCAAGTCTCATAGCACCAGCCCCTCACTGACCCTCTGCAGGTGGTGAGTCCACAGGAGGACGGCTGCTCTCTGAGTGAGAGCATAGCCTTGATCTTTCAGTGGGGGCTTTGGGCAAAGTGGGGTTAAGTGTCTTGCCCAAGGACACAACGACAGCAGTCATCAGTGGGAGTCAGTGGAGAAGGTGTAGAGGTGGGGATGTATACACAAATCTGTAAAAAGTGTCAAAGTTAAAACAACAGAAATGCTTCAAACTAGTCATATGCATAGCTTAAAAAGACCGTTTTCAGCCTGGACTTAACCATTGCCTGTTACGTAACATAGCCAAGTACTGTTGTTGTCAAAAAGATGATTTTAAACTCGGATTAAGCATGAATACCACATTAATCGCCTTTTCATAAACAGCAGCTGCAGATGACAAAAAGCAGACCACAACCCCGGAGCCCATCATGTACATACCAGGTACTGTTATGTCATTCACAAATCTAATCTGTTCAAGACTTTTACTAACTCCACTCTTGTTTTAGAAGAAACAACAGCTGTTCCATTTGTGGTCCCATGGTACGAGGAATATGACTATTCTGACTGTAAGTTTGATCTTTTTTAAAAGTCTGTCCAACAAGTTTCAGTCAGAATAACAACACTATTGCTTTTATAGTGGCAGCCAAGAAGCAAGAAGAGGAGGAGAGGGAGGAGGAGAGAGCACGGAAAGAAAAAGCTGAAAAGGGTATTTACAAAGTACTAAATTATGTTTACTTGCAACTGAAGGGGGCGACTCTGGGGAAAAGAAATTGGATATCAGAGTCAAACATGGTCGTGAATGTGAGTCTTCCGGCGATTCAGAGATACAAACACGCTGGGGAGGTGGAATATTACTGATAGATTAAGCCAAATTAAGCCAAATAACCGCGGTGGTGCTTAAATGTTAATGAAACCACAAAGTCTGACATAGAGAGGCACAGAAATAATCTGTTCTATCAGATGATGATTATGTTTATGTGAACAGCAGAGCACAGGCACAAGGAAATGCATAAAATACACAGCTATAGGACGCACATTTGTTGTCAAAATAGCAAACAAACAAAAAACGCTTTCATACCATTTACAAGAATCATCAACGTGAATCTAAATGACTAATAAGCATTTTCATAGAAGTAAAGGGTCACTGTTTGTATTCAAGAGGTATGCATTGTTATGTGATACAACCAGAATAGCCACTACAGTCTACAGTTATAATGTGAAAACCTGGTCATGTAGCTGGTGAGATAGTAAACATTTAATAATGCATCGGTTTTATGTATAGAACTTTTTTGGACACTCAAAGACGCTTTACATTATTCACTGTGGTGATAAACTACCTCTGTAGACACAGCTGCCCTGGGGCACACTGACAGAAGCGAGGCAACCAGAATGTGCCATCAGCCTCTCCGACCACCACCAACCATTCACGCACACACCAGGCTCATTGTCTCAGTGTCTTGCCTAAGGACACAACGGCAGTTTGGCAGTTTACAGCCCCATGCCCCATGTGGCATCATGTGTTCCCAGAGGTTAAGTGTCTTGCCAAGGACACAACAACAGCAGACAGTGGGAGTCGATGGTGAAAGTCTTGAGATGGGCTCGAACCCACGACCTTCTGGCTCAAAGGCCAATGCTCTACCAACTGAGCTACTGCCGCCCATTTGTCATTCAGCCAACTTCAGTTCTGTCAAGACATGGCCAGTCCAAACAGTTTTACCATCCAGATTGTCTCAGCCCCTATAGTCAACTCCGATGTGCTAAAATGGGTCTCTGACTGAAAATTTTGGGCACGCCTGCTGTAAAGTGTTAGGCAAGACACTTCACACACATTGCCTGGTGTGAGTCTGGTGTGAGAGAATGATTGGTGTTGGTTGGAGGGGCCAATGGCACAGAGTAGTAACCTTTCTTCTGTCACTAGTAGTTTACCGCCACTGTGTATGGAGGGTATGAGTAATGCCTTTGAATGTCCATAAAAAGTGCAATGAAAAATGTATTAATATTGTAATTCATGGTACGTATTTCAAAAGAATATTAGGCTCACCTCACATTGCATTTAACTTTTTGTTCAATAAATAATAAAAAATTGTATGAAGGTCAGCCTAACATGGATTCATGCTTCAGGGTCTAATGAGACATACATTCCTTTGCACTTCATAATTTTCCATGTGTCTTTTCAGCTGAGCAACAACGGAAGCAGTGGGAGGAGGAAGAGGAGGAGAGACTCAGGCAGGCTGCTGTCCCAGTGGAGCCAAAAAGTGAGAGGGATTTTATAATCTACACTGAAAACAAAAATGAAATCACAGCAAAACTAAATACTAACTGCTGTAGGTAAACAGTGTGTTGCTATAGTAACAAGAACTTGCTCCAGGCTGAGATGGCTCTGAACCAGTCCAGGACCAGTCTAGGATTGAGATCATTTTAAAAACAAAATGACAGATATAAACCCCAAATAGGAACAGAAAAAGTTGTTATCATCAGAAACTTACATAAGCAGAGTAAGTACACATTCAAAACAAAAACCATCAAATTGACTGCTCTGGGATTTCTAGCGTTGGAGAGGTGTTAATCATCATCTTTGTTGCAGCCTGATTATAGATAGATAGATAGACAGATAGATGGACAGAAAGGCAGACAGACAGACAGGCAGATAGATACTGTATTGATTTCTCCAATTTAGGTGTCCAGCAGCAGAACCACATCCATCCATGCAAACAGATAAATACATCATTCACAAAAGCAAACAAAGCCTAACAAACTAACAAAGCACCTATAGGTCCCACTCCTATACTTCTTCCCACTCCTATTTTGGACATTGATTGTTTATTTATTTCGCTTAATCAATGTATAATTATGTTGCATTTGTTTTGTTTTTCTCATTTCAAATGTGTAAATAAAAACATTCATTCATTGTTAGAATAAACAAATACAGTACATATGTACACTATCTTGTCGTAGCAAAAGAAGGTTTCTCACCCATCATCTGTACTTCTTAACAGGTTTTCCCGACGTTTCGTCTTTCATCTAAAGGACTTTTTCAAGGGAATGAAATCTCAGACCTCTGAGATTAAACAAACTTATCTTGTCATATATTTTTCCATTTAAACAATCTTTTACCGAAAAATATGGAATAATTTTACCGTTTGTTTGAAATGTGATTAATTACCAATAATTCATTTTTAAGCTGTAATTAACTCGATTAAAAAATGTAATCTGGTGCACACCGGGGTACTTTTACATATGTGTAAAAGCTAGCTAGATATAGTGTAAAAGTAAACTAAATATCATTGAGCATGTTTGGGATTGACGGATACAACAGCAAGTTCAAGTTCCTGCCAATCTTCAGCAACTATTGGCCGCGCAGCACTTACAAAGTAGAACTCGTTTTGGTGTTTTTTCTTGCAGAGTGTCCTCCATTTGGCCTGGAGTCACACCGTGTGGATGATGACCAACTCCTGGCTTCGTCCCAGTCTCACCATGGCTTTGCAGCACAGAGGGGGCGACTCAACATGCAGGTAGAAAAGTCTTCTTTCTCTTGCGTCAACAAAGTGGATTTGAATGACAGCTTTGTGCAGGCGTCCGACAGTGAAGACGACATGTACGGAGGAGCGTGGTGTGCTGAAGCAGAGGAGAAAAATCACTGGTTTGAGGTGGATGCTCGCAAAGAAGTAGAGTTTACGGGTGTGATCACACAGGGCAGGAACTCAGAGCTGCAGTGAGTACAGGACCAGATAATGTATAAACCAATAATTTGGCTTTGAGTGCTGGGGCCATTCAAGAAGACAATAATTATCTTTGATTTGTTTCTTCAATTTCCAGTGAGGACTTTGTGTCTTCTTACTATGTGGCTTTCAGTAATGACAGCCATGACTGGACCGTGCTTCATGATGGCTATGCCGAATGGGTGAGAATATCAGAGTATATAAACGTAACCGTGGTTTTTGCTATTTCTTGTTGTACAAAAAATACTACATTTCAACAACTAAGATAATTGCTGGAGTATAAGCTGCTACTTTTTTCAAGATCTTCTGCGGCCGCAGATAGCGCCCCCTGGGTGCTGTATTTGGACACACCTCTATCAGCTGAGGACTAGGATACATTCCTGCTTCACAGGGTTTATGTGAACAGCAGAGAGCTGATATGAGAATGTGTACTCTTGACATTTGCGTTTTTGTAATTTGAGAATTGTATCATTTTTATGGATAAAATTCGTGCAAAAATTTTTTTTAAATTGATACGAGGAAGTGTTAAATAAACAAGAATGACCTATTTTTTTTTTAAATAGGTTTTTTATAATAGATCAAATCAGATAGAGAGCTAGTGCTGTGACCATCATGAGTCAACAGTGGGTTAAAACACCACATAATTTAATCACGTAACCAGTTGTTGGTTGTGTTACAAATCAACATGAACATTTGAGGCTTATATTCGAGTGCGGCTTACATGTTGACATTGGCATTAATAATCCTTAATAAAGTACAGTTCTTAATGTTCTTGCTTAAGGTTCCTTTAAGACAGTCCTGTTGATCTGATCTGTTTCTCACCAGTTGTGTTTTTCTGTTCCCAACTCGTTCTTTCAGTTGTTTTATGGAAATGTGGATAAAGACACGCCTGTGATGAGCCAGTTCACTACACCTATCGTCGCTCGCTACATCCGCATCCTTCCTCAAAGCTGGAATGGCAGTTTGTGTCTGCGAGCCGAGGTCCTGGCCTGTCAGCTCCCAAGTAAGTGGCAATTAATCACAGCATCGACCAGAGAAGAGTGAGAGAAAAGCATTATTTTGTTTTATTTTGAAATGACAGGCAACTACCAAAGTGAGAATGAAGTAAACCCATCAGATGACTTGGACTTCAGACATCACAACTACAAAGAGATGAGACAAGTAAGCGGTGGAAAATTCACCGTAATTGCTGGACTATAGGCAACTACTTTTAAAAACGTTGTACTCGGTGGCCTATAATGCGACGCAGACGATGTATGTGTTTTTATTGTGGTAGAGAATCAGCTGGAAAGAAGTTGAACACAGCAGTGATTGATTATGTTTATGTGAACAGTAGAGAGAGCAGACACAAGGAAATACAGGGAAATAGATGGAACTTGTTTTGATGTGATTCGGTCTGTTGTCAAAAAAGGGTTCATGGACTCATTATTTTGACTCCTTCCAGGTTTAGTTGCTATAGAATGTGCGACATGAAACCTGCCTCCTCAGATGTTGCGTTATTTACAAAGCTTTATCCACAAAAAGTCAACAGCGCGTTAAAACACCTCATCATGTGACCAGTAACAACAGTCGTCTCGTCTCGGCTTTGTTTTTCAACTGTTACGGTTACGTGTCACATTACAGCATGAGAACTAGCGGCTTATTTTCAAGTGCGGCCTATATGTGGACAAAATGTACTTTCTTTTCACATTCAGCTGGTGTGGTTCATGTACAAGTGCGCTGAATAGTCCAGCAAGTACAGTAACTTTTATGAACTCCAGCAAATGCATTTTACTGAAAGAAATTATAGATTATTTTCAAATCAAATTAAATACAACTCTGAATTCCAGATGATGAAAGTGATAAATGAAGAGTGCCCGAATATCACTAGAATCTACAATATTGGTAAAAGCGCACAAGGACTTAAGATATATGCCATGGAAATTACAGACAACCCAGGAGAGCACGAGACAGGTACTGCGTTCACTTTTAGCTTTTTACTGATCCAAAGTGAGGATGGATTTAAAAATAAATGTATTATATCTTTGTTAGGCGAACCAGAGTTCCGTTACACCGCTGGGCTCCATGGTAACGAGGCCCTGGGAAGAGAATTGGTTCTGTTACTGATGCAATTTCTGTGCAAAGAGTACAACGATGACAACCCCAGAGTGCGCCGCCTAGTGGATGGAGTGAGAATACACCTTGTGCCTTCATTGAATCCGGATGCATACGAGCTTGCTTTTGAAATGGTATCACAAATTCAATACTTGATCTAACCCAAATTTTAACAATTCTCACTATCAACAACTTTGAACACTACATTTTGACTTGTAGGGGTCAGAGATGGGTAACTGGGCACTGGGCCACTGGACTGAAGAAGGATATGACATCTTCCAGAACTTCCCAGATCTCAGCAGCATCCTTTGGGCAGCAGAGGACAGAGGATGGGTCCCTCGTGTAGTCCCATATAGTCACATTCCCATCCCAGAAAACTTTCTCAATGGCTCTGTAAGGTTGAATGGCAGTGTTGAGGGCTGCTGTAGATGTAACCTCATTGGTTTTTGATTTCTCTTATCTTGTAGGTTGCCGTCGAAACTAAAGCAATCATTTCCTGGATGGAGCGTAATCCCTTTGTTTTAGGGGCAAATTTACAAGGAGGAGAGAAAATGGTTGTGTACCCTTTTGATATGCAAAGACCACCGATTTCTGTGAGTTCTGCCTTTACAACTAGGACTGTGTGTTATTAATCGTTAAGTTGATTAATTGGGCGATGGGAGTCGATCAAAATGTATCCATATTTTTGTTAGTAAAGTCATTATTTTTTATTTTTTATTGCAAAGATTGCTGTGAGGAAAAAAATGAATGAGCAATTGAATTGAAGATTTTAGTATTTACTTTGATATTCAAGCCACAACAGGCATTGTGGTGCCACCTGCATATGAAAGCTAGATCCTGTGAGACCTTTGAAATCAAGTAGGGTAGAGCCTGGATAGTGCTGTGATGGGAGACCTCTGGTAACACCAGGTGTCACAGTGGAGCTTCTGAGGTTGTACTTATGCAAGGCAGTTCACTCACACAGTCTAATTTGTGTCTGATGTGTGCATGAATGACTGGCAGAGGGACCAATGACTCAAAATTGTTGTTGTCTTTCTGTCAGTCTACCCCAGGCCATCTGTTGCTACAATCACAGCTTATCACCATTGTCTATTGCATATATTGAATTTTAAAAAAGCGCTATAAGACATTATTATTATTATTTATGCATGAAGTCAAAGTTTTGCTAGTACAATTTAGGTCCGGTACTCATTAGTCTTGAGAGCTTTTGCCACGGCACCCTATTTTAGTTTACTAATCGATCGACTGGACAGATTGGTCAGATTTTATTGGTCAATAGCTATACAGCCCTATAGTTACAACATGCCTTTTTGACAATTGCCCTTTTTTTTTAATTCATGCAACGTAAATGATTACCTTTGCAGTTAACAGACAATCGTCGATGGAGATTAAATGACGAAATGAACGAGGAAACGTGGGTTCGTATCCAGCTTCAGAATCAGGGCGCTCTGCGAGAAACACCAGATGATTCCATGTTTCGCTGGTTGGCCATGTCCTACGCCCACAGCCATCTGACCATGACAGAGACCTACAGAGGCTCGTGCCATGGAGACGACATCACAGCAGGACAAGGCATCATCAACAGGGCCAGCTGGAAGCCTGTCGTCGGCAGTAAGCACATGAACAGGATCTGCAAAGTATCATAGATGTGAAACAGTAAAGAGATAATTATGTGTTTTCTGAGTCTGCATTGCTTTGAGGGTCCTTATGGAAATACTGCAATGTAATAATTGCTTGAACTGAATGTTTTATTGTCTTAATTTGGGTGCATTAAAACCTAGTCTAAAAACAAGATTTACCAATGGGATAAACCATGTAATTCTTTTTTTCTTAATCCAAGGGAGACATTTCTTGGATCTATTTTAAAGCAAGTTTTATTTTATAGTTCCATTGGCCAATCTTGCTTTAATGCAGTCAGAATGTGATCCTATTAAGATACATTTTGCCACATTTGAAGAATTTATGATTTTTTGGTCATCATTTTCTGGCTTTTTTGGCTGTTTCTGTAGTGATGTCGCTCTAAATGTTGATATCGTTACATCAGTTCAATACACGTGCAGAGCTACTAACTGCAATTTTATATATTTACATTTTTTTCTGGAGTTTTTTTGGGGGTCAATTTGTTGGTCTTCCATCCACAGGCATGAATGATTTCAGCTACCTCCACACAAACTGCTTCGAGTTGTCCATCTTCCTGGGCTGTGACAAGTTTCCCCACGAGAGTGAACTTGCCCTGGAGTGGGAGAACAACCGAGAAAGTCTGCTCTCTTTTATAGAACAGGTTTGTCTGCTCTGTATAAAACATTTCTGTATCTTATGGGTTTCAATCAAACTCTGGATAGTTACTAATGTCATTGCTAGTTTGGTTGAAATTGTGGTTTAGACAAAAATCAATAAAAGAAACATTTTATTTGCATAATATAGGTTTTAAGCAGGGCAGGGCTTGGTTAGCACTGTGATGGGAGACCGCTGGGAACAACAGGAACCACAGTGGGGTCGGGTGTGGCTGTAAAGTAACAAACTGTTGTGTCCTTGGGCACCCACATTGCCTAGAATGAGTCTGGTGTGTGTGTGAATGGTGGGTGGTGGTCGGAGGGGGCGATGGCACATACTGGTTCCCTCACTTCTGTCAGTGTGCCCCAGGGCAGCTGTGGCTACAGTAGTAGTTTATCACCACCGTGTATGGAGTGAATGAATAATGACATGTGAAGCGTCTTTGAGTGTCCAAAAAAGCGCTATGTAACGGATGCATTATGATCATGCTGGTGCAATGTGTACTGGGTGTAGCTCTGACAGCCACCCCCCCGACCCAGAAATGGATTAAGGGGAAGAAAATGGATGGATATTTTTGACACTCAAAGATGCTTTCTGTACACAATAAATTACTACAGCCACCGCTGGCATATTTTCCGCTTCTTATGTGGGAAACACATAATGCAACAAAACTAATTGGTCCTTTCCAGCTTAACTTTTGAGATCTAACCCTAACCCTATACTAGAATGAGAAACCCTTGCCTTACAAAATGATCTTCAGAATCTGAAAAGTAATTGTGATTTGTGGCAGATTCACAGAGGTATCAAAGGAATGGTGAAGGATACAGAAGGAAATCCTCTGGCCAACGCTACAGTCGCAGTGGAGGGCATTAGGCATGACGTCAGAACAGGTATTGTCCCTTTGCTCTGCTGTAATATGCACTTGCACTCACTTTTATTGTTTGTATTGTTAATTTAGCGGCAGGTGGTGATTATTGGCGCCTGTTGAATCCTGGTGAATACAAAGTAACGGCGAAGGCAGACGGCTTCACTCCTCAGACCAGACTCTGCATGGTGGGATACGACCCTGGGGCCAGTCCATGCAGTTTCACGTTACCCAAATCCAACTGGGGACGCATCAAGAAGATCATGGCACTCAATGGCAACAGACCAATTCGGCTCGTTCCCAAAAAGACGACCACCACCGCTGTCCCGATCGTTCCCACCACAGAAAGTCACATGGATCCAGAGAGAGCAGAAAGACTGAAGCGCCTTCGACTGCTGCGTTTACGTCGACTTCGTTTACAAAGACTGAGAGGCAAACTTAGCACTCCTCCAACCACCACAACCACAACCACAACCACCACCACCACCACAGCGGCTCCCACCACCCCCGACAGTCAGAGCACCACTGTCTGGTATGACCCCTGGTTTTCAGTCGACAACTGGTTAACTGAGAACCCTTTCGATGGCTTTAATTTAGAATCTGCACCAACACAGGACTACCCTTTTGAGTTTTCTATCGACTGATCACACAAATGCCATCATTATTCTATAGGTTGAGTTCATGTGACATCACAACAGTCCAAAAAGCTTATATTTCAACAGTGTGAAATGTTGAAATATAAGAAATATAATATGGCTTCAAAAGTGAAGCCACATGAAACAAAACGCGTCAAAGACCCACATCTTCATAGTCAGTACATATCAACCATCTCTAATTATTGTATCATGAAAGTGTCCTGAAGAGGTGGTAATTATAGAATTCTACAACATGAACGCAACCTATTTGAGGTCTACACAACCGGTCCAAGTCTGTTCCTTTGTTTGGCCTGATTCAGAGATAAATATTTATCAAGTTAGTTTGGAGAGACTATATTTGTACTAAAAGATCTGCTGAGCAGACTTTCTTTTTTTTACTAAAACCAAATACAAAAAATATATATAAAAAAATGATCAAAACATTTTCAATTAAACTTTTACACAAACAATGTTTTAATGTTTGTTATTCTTTAACAATATAACAATTGTGCTGTTTTAATGAACATGGTCCATCATTAAAAAGAGAATATTCCAGAGTGAGAGTCCACATTTGTTTTATGTAAATTATGAGAACAATAATAATATTCTGAGAAAGAACTTGAAAAAGATTCAGGGTTTCAGCATCAGACACATCCATCCACACAGCGGCGGCTCATTCTTCACTTGGACTTTTTGCTCTTTTTCTGTCCTCCAGAAAAGCGAAAAGTCTTCAGTGGGTTTTTCCCTCGAATGCTTTTCTACAGAAATGAGAAAATAACAATTGAAGCGAGTCTTCATTCGCTCATGAAAGAATAAGACAAATGTCTATTGTAGACTTGAAATGAATCCATTTGCCAAAAGCAAAAGGACAGACATTATAATATATAACAATGGTTCTGAAAATGACATTTCTTTAAAATAACGACTCATTCAGCTCAGTGAAGCAGTTTCAGACACTTCAATTATATCATATTGTGTCTTCATCATTTGTCTTAAATATATTATTTTACATGCGTGTGAGTACTGCTTGTTAAGATACATTTTACTCACTTTAAAACTTGCTTTGAGAAGACCATCTGTCCTGGGTTTCATTCTCTTCCTTTTCCTTCCTGACAATGGATTGACTACAGCTTTCAAAGTTTCAGGAACTGGAAAAGAGACAATTAAAATATAACAATCAAAGTTTGTTAAAGTGAATTGATCCCAGTTAAATATTAGTGCTGAGCTCCTTACTGAGATAATCCGGTACATTTTTCATGTGTGGTTGGACGACAGCAGGATGGAGGTCCTTGTCGTGTCGAAGCAGCTGCAGGTCTCTCGGGTTGTCTTCAAAGTAAGTCTGAGGCCACAGTCAGGTTTGTTAGAAATAACCTTCATCTTTTGCACTTGTACAAAAGACATAAAATACCCTCTACCTTTAATTTTTCAGAGTTAAGCAGTTCTTGTTTAATCTCTTTAAGTCTGGCCTCCTTCACAGCTTGCTTTGTCACCGAGCGCATGGCATCCTGACGCCAAAGACACTTTTACAGACGGAACATCCACCGCAGCATCAGAGCAACACCACAAAGTAACATTTCTCTTACCCGACATCTGTAGCGAAAGTTTTCAATTTCTTCCATCTTAAATTCATATGGTTTCAAAACACAATCTCCATTGCCTGAACAAACAAAACAACTCATATGTGCTCCATTGTAAAAATAACATGTTTAGAAAGATTTTTTACCTCCTTTTAAAACCTCTTCAACTTCTTTTAGCCTCGGCATCTCCATGTGAGAAATAAACGAGAGAGCAGTTCCGGGATTGTCTGCTCGAGCCGTTCTAGAAACAAGAAATGAACAGTTCCTTAAACCTACAAAGAACTGACTAATGAATTGTATGAATTTGTTTTATTATTATTGTTTATCTATTGACCTTTTTTAATATTTATTTATTGGCCATTTTTAACCAGGGAAGTCCCACTGAGAGGATAATGTAATAATATAGTGAAGTGTATTTAGGGAGGAAACAGTTTGTGTTTTGAGAGAGTGTGCAGTGTCCGTGTGAAAACCGTGACCAATATCAAACACATACCTTCCTACTCGATGAATGTAGGAGTCTGCTGTGGCTGGAAAGTCAAAGTTGATCACATTTGCAATGTTTTGGAAGTCGACTCCTCTGGACACTCCATATTCTTTGTCTTTGTTTCTTCATAGATTCAAAAGAAAAAAAGAAACCAAATTATTATTGAAAGGTTTTAAGTCATTGTGAGTACCAATAACACCACAATTATTATTGACAACTTGAAAGAAATTTGCCTATCTCCCCAAATGGACAGCTATTCTTTTGTGGACAAAGAGATTGAAATTGTATATTGTATTTTTCCAGACAAAAGTCATAGTCATTGATGTGTGAACTTAAACGCTTATTTCACAAAAAAGCCAAATATCCTTAACTTTGAGTAGTGCATTTATATTCTTTCACTTAGGTTTCAACTTACTTTGACCCTTTCTCAGAGGACTTCTTTCCTTTGGTTTTTGTCACTTGAGATGCCTTACTGGGCTCTGCCAAACTCTCTTCATCAGTGGCAATGATGTAATCATAAAAGCCCTGATTAAACTGTGTGATAATGTGGCACCTGAAGAAGGACAGCAGGAAGTTAGACAGCTGCAGCTCAGGAAAGGCCACATGTTGTTTTTCAGACCTGGACTGCACAGGTAACTCAGAGTTCAACACACACGCAGGAATTCCAAACTGTTCGAGAAACAGTTTGACTCTGTAGCATCGGTCCACTTCTCCCACGAACAGAAGGGTCTTGCCTTGAACTAATCGAAGCTTCAGGAGAGTGTAGATGAGCAGGAATTTGTCCTCTTCCTCACATTTGATACTGTACTGCTGCAGCTGGCTGCTATCTGGGAGTTGAGAGCCTTGCAGCTTCAGGATGACCTGCATCCAGAAACAGTGTTGTATTTTAGGGTTGTGTTCATTTCATTCAGCAGAACAAATAAACATGAACAAGACGGTGACAGGTTTTACCGGGTTATGCAACAGCAGCTCCTTTAAGGCCTGCACATCCTCAGTAAATGTGGCAGACATCAGAAACGACTGGTAGATCTTTGGCAAATGGCTGGAAAAGAACACAATAAGGATTTTGGTTTGGCACGTGGCATTACAGGAAAAAGGAAACCGTGAGCTGATTGTTTGGTTTCCTGACCAGAGGGTCCAGTGTGCCCTAAGCTAGCAGCTTCTTGGGAAGTTTTATGGACCAATGAAGAACCCAACTATCCCTCTGTCTGAATATAGTAAATGTGCTGAGGAAAATCCTTTCCTTAGTATTGAAGTCTGGACAGTGTACGTTGACTACGACTGTCTGAATATGGCAGCCGTGTAAAGGAGCTGTGAGACATCCCACAATGCACTGCTACCTGAATGTTTACCCAAAAGACAGACAAAACTACATATGGAACAGAAGCAGTGACATAAAGTTTACTTATCCCAGCTCTTAAGCGGTTCATGATTATACTTAGTACTGTGCATGTTTAGTGCAGCTCCATTCATCAGCATAATTTACTCATGTTACTGTGAGCGTAAAGTGAAAATGTTATTCATTCCTCACATTGTGCTTATTTTAACTGAATTGGTTGATTTTCTAATCTATTTGCCACAACTGTTTGTAACAACTGCAGTTTTGAGCAATACAAGAATAAAGTGAATCATTTTTCAGTATAACTGATTATTGGGCCCCTGTAACCCTATATTTGAGATGGGACGGTCCTAGAGTTAGACAGTGAAATGAATATAAACATATGTTCTAATAAACATACATTTATGCCAACAAGGGTGGAGGTTCAGTAACTCACCAAAGTAAATTTTTCAGATCAGATTCAAATCCAAACGAAAAGAGCAGGTCCGCTTCATCCACAACCATCATCTCAAGGGATGAATGCAAGATAAGGTTTTGTGCGTTCAGATGTGCAAGTACCCGTGATGGAGTGCTCACCACAACATCAGGTTTCTCCATCAGTATAGGCCTAAACAAGGATCAAATCAAGGTCATTGCATGAACTCAATATGAAATTATATGGACAACACGACTGACCTCTGTGTGGACAGGTCAGTGGAGCCAGAGATATCCGCCACTCGAACATCTCTAGAGCAGTAAGCAGTCAACTGTCGGATCATGGTCTGAACCTGCTGACCCAGCTCCTTTGTCGGCACAAGGATCAGGGCTCTTATGTCCTGCTCCCGAACACTCTGAAACAAGTTACGTGAGAGTGGTCGACAGATTTTAATTTGATTTACACACTCTTTGATGTCATACCTGTTTGGAGTCTAAAAGGCGTTGTATGACAGGTATGGCATATGCAGCAGTTTTTCCAGATCCAGTTCGAGCACGTGCCAAAAGGTCTTTTCCTTCCAGTGCCAAAGGAATAGCCTTCTCCTGGATTAATGTGGGCTGCATCCAACCAAGGTCTGCGACCGCCTGGAGTAGAATATAGATGCACCATATTATATCTCCCAACCACAAAAAAGACAACAGCCCACGTTATTGAATGAAGCAGAATACAAGACAGAAAACAAGTAATCGCATTCATTATCTACATCTACTTTATCATTAGCTTGAGGAATCCTGTTAGAAAATACTTTGTTTACTACTTGTCACCAGTGTTTACTTTTGCGCGTTACTATCAGGTGTTTGATTTGATCTAACATGTAAACAAACGGTTACCTTCAAAAGGCGATCATCTAAACCCATTTCATGAAACTTTAATCTCTCTTCTGCCATTGTTAAAGATGTGTTTGCATCTGAGCCGAGCTGAAACACGTGCGTCGCATATTTTTTACGTCACTCGATCTAAAAGGGGAGGAGGGTAGCACCATGGCACACAGCTGCAGTGCAGACAGTAGAGGGAGACAAAACACAGATGTTTTAGTAACAGTGGTGACAAGTATTTGAATTAAATATTGTACTTGCGTACTTCTTGGTGTCAATACTTCAGGCATGTTTTCACTTCTGCTCCCTAAACCCAAATATCCTTTTTCCACACCCTTTTTAACACTTCTCCATTATGAGATCAATAAAGTTGTATCTTGTTTAATCTTTACATTTCATAAATGCATTTTACTTTTCACTTTTGTACATACTAAACCTGTTGTTTTATACTTTTACTTTAGAGAATTATTTCAATCATTTTACTTTCATCAGAGTGGGTTTACTATAGATTTCAATGGTTTTGTTGAGTCCTCTGAGATGATTTCTGTTGTGATTTAGGGCTCTTACAAGAATAAATTGTATTGTGTGTATTGTGTTGTAGTATCTCTCTATACTTTTACTTTTTCTCTATACTTTTACTTTTTTAATGTCAGGTCCAAAAGGTATGTTTCAGTATATCTCTATATATGGGACAAGGAAAACAATAGATTCAGGATTCAGACGAGAAATCTCAGCTGAGAGCTTACACAAACAGATTTAGGATTGATTTCAGTGAACACGTTTTTTTTTTCGTTGTCCCACAGTCGTTTCTATTCACAATGTATTATGTTTTTGCAACCGGAGCACCTGGAGAAACCAATGCACAGAACATGCAAACTCCACACAAAAGCCCCCGTCTGACCGAGGTATAAAACCCGCTCAAACCCTTTGAAGCACTAGAACTGCTGCGCCTCTCGGAGATTTTTGTTCTTTATCTGAATATTATCATTACTGACAATAATAATAATTAATACAAAAAACCTGTTGGCTTGGTTTGATAATGATAAGTATATAGTATGGTAGACAGTATTTGGTGGAAATGCTGTTTGTATATTTAGCAGGTCTAGACCTTACCCCTTTTGTTACTTATTTGCACAGTGTTTTTCCTACACAATTGCTTCCTCTACATGTATTTTTGTTGCCACTGAGAGCGTGCAGTTCCACACGAACATGCTTTGAGGATGGGTTGGAGCAGGATGCAGATGTCTGGTTGCTAGGCGTCTGCCTCCTCATCCTCCCACATCGAGGAGGACGCATCATGGCTGCACACCAACCCAGCGTTTAACTAGTGGCAAAACAAAACAAATACGAGGTAAGTGGGATGATGGAATTCTCAGTCATGTTTTTGAAGAAGACAACGCAAACTCACGGGTAACGTACGGTTATCCAAAAACATTTACATCGTGTAGGATTCATCATGTGGTGTTGTTTTGTTTATGTTTCTTGCCTAAACAACAATATTTCACTATGTTATGCTTACTACAGCGAGAGTGGCGCTGTTTATTCGGTATAAATGGCGTTTATGTCCCGGTTTTCCCGGTCAAGGAGCAGCTCCAGATCTCCCAACAGGAAAGACTCCGAGCGTGCGTCTCCCATCCTGTCCGTCTCTGAGCTGGAGAGGCTGCTGTGCACGGGCAAAACAGCGTGTAACCATGCGGACGAAGTGTGGCCGCGTCTCTTCATCGGAGACCAGTGGGTTCCCTCTTGTTTGAAACGTGATCTTTACTACTGCAATAAGTGTACAATAGTTGCACGCTTCTGTCAACAGGAATATCGCGTCAGACCGAAGAGAGCTGGTCAAACTTGGCATTACGCACATCCTCAATTGCGCTCAGAGCAAATGGCGCGGAGGAGCAGAGTATTATGCCGGGATGAATATCACGTACCATGGGATTGAGGCTCATGACTCGCCCACGTTTGATATGAGCGTCAACTTCTATCCAGCTGCAGAATTTATTCACAAAGCCCTCATAAGTGGAGGTGAGTTTTCAAACGCACTGGGCATAGAGCTATAGATATCTGGCACTGGCACACATGCGCGCGCACACATTCACGCACACGCACGCATTAGGCTTGATTGCTGAGAGTGACATCATTATAATTCGGCTGATTGGAGCGAAATAAGTCCCACACAAACAGCAGATACGTGCCAAAGCAGGAGACACAAACAAACAGTAATTGGGAGTGCGTATTTCTAGATAGTTAGACAAAAGATACTTTATTGATCCCCGTAGGAGAAATTCAGGTGTCCAGTAGCAGCAGAAACACATGCATTCAAACAAACAAAACAAATAAACAGAACATTCTAAAAAAAAAATAGCAAACTTTATTATTAAAAGTACCTGACTGGAAATGTTATCTAGAAGTAAGCAAGAGGACGGTTATCACTTTCATGTAGTTGTGAAGGAAACACATGTTTAACAAGGTCTTAAAACACATGTTAAAATCACCCAAAGTTGTGCTTGAAACCATCTAGCACACTATCAAAACTAATGCTGAAAATGTACAGACAGTAACATTCACTTAAACCGGTTTTAACACTATGATGTCACAATCTTGGCATGGTTATTTTGCATACTTTCCATAGGTTTTTTTTTGTACAAAGGTATAGGAGGATTTTCTACTTCCCGGTGGATCATCAAGACTATTGAGCCTCCTAATTGTTATTCATTCTGGTGATACGTGCTCATCAAACAAGACCAGAGTTTTTTTTTCCAAAAGTGGGGGGTTCTTAACAAAAAAAAAAAAACTCATCCATATAATCACAAAAGTATATGAATTATAATCATTTCTAACTAACTACCTAACAATATTCCTATTTATCTTACTACATAAAACAGTGTGGTACATAGCGGTCAGTACAGGGAATCATCTGATCTTTTATTAAACAAACTGCACTAATCAAAGTGAAAAAGTATTCTTGCCGACAATAACCTCCTTTTTACCACAGCATTTCCATGTCTGTCTTTTCGTTTAGGAAAGGTGCTCGTTCACTGCACGGTGGGAGTCAGCCGCTCTGCCACACTAGTGTTGGCTTATCTAATGATCCGACAGAACCTGACTCTGGTGGAGGCCATTAAAACTGTAAAGGACCACCGCGGCGTCATCCCAAACAGAGGCTTCCTCCGTCAGCTCAATGGACTGGACAGCATCCTGAGAGAGAGCAGGAAGTCATCGCCACAGAGCTGAGAGTATGCGACATCACCTCATATCTAACACGTATGTGCATGTGACTATTGAGAACACCACATATATCATTATTATTCATATCTTTTTAACAGTTGAGATTATGTTTTAGCCTTTTATAGATTTTGTAGTACAACAAGGAACTCTCAAAAATCATTGTGCGTACGTCCACTGTGTTGATATGTGGGTTCTATGACGGACAGCCAGCAAACTGACCAGCACCGTTATGTAGCTAAATTCTGAAGCATCTAAATAACAAAACAGGGAAACTTAAATAGTATTTTTATTATATGTGCAAAGATTTTTCCTTTGGACCAGGTTACTGATTCAATTCAACTCAGAATTTAACACTCTGGGGATTCTGTATTATTGTGAATGGAGTTTTCAGTTTAAACAATAGAAAAATCAATTGTTAAAGGAGCAATATGTTAAAAGATATGTGGCCAAAAGTGGTACTGCGCTCTCCCTGACTCAGGTTGCCAGATATGCAGACGAACCCAGCTGGGACCAAAATAGCTGAAGTTTTTTGTCAATAACAGAACACAATTTTTCACCAAGGTATCCCCTAGAAATCCTTGTTTTATTCCTTGTTTTGTCATTAATAATTTGAGAATCATATCGAGATCTTTTTTAGTTCCGTGGCCACATGTTACTTTAGGTCATGCCATCTTATAAAGTTTATTTTATCTTATTTTACCAGTGAGATTAGCTCGACATGGTGAGTTCTGGCAACCTGGATTACGGACTTTCTGATTGGTAAAACAGGGAGGGCGGGACATCGAAACAAAAACAATAACAAGATTTTGAAATATCTCGGCTGAACGACTTATATCAGTTGAAGAAGTATTTGAAAGGAGCTTGGTTTATTAATGCCTTTTGACAGATTAGGGCCATTTATCGATGATTTGACATGAAAATCTTACATATTGCTACTTTAATATATTTTACTCACGCGTCAGTGTTGAACAACCTATAGCAAAAAGGTGCCAATGAATAGCTACAAACTGCCGCTATGTATTCTGCAAATACATGGTGCAGTGCAAATGTTTATACCAGCATTTAAAACAATGTGTTACATTTGAATACAATCATTGTTGGTCTGCTGTTCCTAATTCCCAACGTTGTGTTAAATATACCGTGGTCATCTACAGTGAAGAATGTGTAATATGTGAATGATAGAGTTTTGATTTGTCTCGACATCTCACTGTGTGGCCTGTTGTACTGTGTGTAAACAGCTGCTCACCGGGTTTGTACCTTTGTTATGAATATTTCTATCTTTCACAGACATTTCTATGGCAAGGTTTATTAGTGTTGTTTTGTTTATTTTTGTAATATCTCTTTTTGTGATTCATTGTGATGTCTCTTGGAAAAGGAGATTTTTAAACTACTGTATGTAAATCTATCACTTTCGATATTTGATTTATAATGCCTGGATGTTTTAATAAACATTTTGCCAGTTACAGTTTTTATTATTACTATTTTGGAACTTGTCTTTTGGTGAGTGTGATCTTCTGCACTCGAAGCAAAATGATGACCCCTTTCATTATTATTATTATTATTAATATTATTGTTTGTTGTATCTGTTTCTTTCCTACGGATTCTGCTCAGGAATCTCCTCAATTCTTTAGTGGCTGCAAGATATTTTTAGCACACGCTGAAGATGAAAGAGTTGTGTGTGCAGTTTCACGCCACTAGATGGCAGAAAACCTTATGTAATCTAGCCAGGAAAAAAAACAAAAAAGCAGTTTCCAAATATAACATTTGTTGGACAAATAAAATAATATACACCAATATGATATATACACACACGATTTGGGGGAGGAACAGTAGACTGGGTTTTTACTACTGCAATATACATTTCCACAGTTGATTTAGTGTTGATAAATGTACTTAAAAAGTAACACTCAGTAATGTGATGTATCTCTGACAACCTATTTAAGTTCACCAGAGTCAGAAATGACAACTTTAGCTTTGGGAGTTCCACTTTTTGTCCCATGCTTCTCCATTGCTTTGACAACATCGATGCCCTCTACAACACTGCCAAAAACCACATGCTTCCCATTCAGCCTGTAAAACAAAACCAGACTTTAGTATGGACCACAGAAAGGCACATGCAGACAAGAGGGTACAGTTTATTGAATGGACGCACCAGTCAGTGGAGGCAGTGCAGATAAAGAATTGGGATCCGTTAGTGTTGGGCCCTGCATTGGCCATGGACAGGCAGCCCAAACCTGTGTGCTTCAGCTGGAAGTTCTCATCAGCAAACTTCTCTCCATAAATGGACTTTCCTCCAGTACCATTGTGATTGGTGAAGTCTCCCCCCTGTAAACACTTTGTGTATTAAGTCTGCTCTCAAACGTAAACACGGACCAGTTAACATACCTGGCACATAAATTTGGGAATGATGCGATGGAAGGAGGAACCCTTAAAGCCAAATCCTTTTTCACCAGTGCAAAGCGCACGGAAATTTTCTGTAATAGAAATAATCAATCATCAACACAATGGAACACAAATTCTCAGACTAAGGGAAGCACATGTGAAGAGAGCAAGATGAAGAGCGCTTATTAAAATCTACAGAGACATGGAGGCCATTATGCACTCAGGATGAATTAGGTCAGATCTACAAGAGAAAGTAGGCAATCTTTCCAGAGAGTGTGGTGAGCAGTGTTAAGCTTCATGTCAATCAAAGACTTTCAAACTTTCAATGCAACAGTGTTCATGTGGTGTCTCACCTGCAGTCTTAGGAACTACATCCGCTCGCAGCTGAAACAGAAGAATGTGAGGACAGTCAGTCATGGATGTTTATAGTCCTGTTGTTCACGCGCACGCACACCCCCACATGCACTCACATGCACGCGCCAACACACACGCAGAAGGCCCTACTTCACTGCTCCATGGGCGTTCCCCGAGAAGCAAGAACACGTTCTTAAATCTTGCAGATAAAGTAGTTGCAGATAGGAGTAGATAAGTCAGTATAAAGCTCTCGGATGCTGAGAGCCAGCAGTTTGAAGACCGGAGATTAGACCGATGAACGCGAGGAGCATAATATTGTCTCACTTACCTCCATGATAATCCTGCCCGTGTTGGAACCATCGATTGTAATGTCGAAATAAACGCGAGGGTTTCCCATTTTTACGAATCTATATTGAGCGTAGAAGGTGTTCCTTTATCTCGACAATACGTCCTGTCCACTTCAGTCTGTATAAATAAGTGTATGGGCCACTGCTTGTGATGCCAACGATTCTTTCACCAATGAAAGGGCACAGCCTCAGAACCAGTCTGGACCAATGGGAAGCAAAGGGGCGGGGCTTATGACGTGATGCTGAGGCTGTACTTCCATGATGCGACTCTCCTACATCACCATCTCCACATCAAGGATCACTCTGACTATTATTAACATAAGATGCCGAACAGAAGTCACGGAAGTGAATGCAAAAATTCATAGTTACGACAAATGTATTATTTATCTATTTTTATTTTTATTAGAAAATAGGAATCAAAGTACAAAAAACATTAAAAATAAATACAAATAACAATTGATAATAAATGTAAATTATACCAAGTTTGAATGTGTTACAAAATATGTAAATTATCTAAAATATTAAAGATTCTTCAGTGAATTACAATTCAAACATTAACAGACATATGTATCTCTTTATTGATTAAAAAACAAAACAAACATTGTTGTTCTCGTGTCTTTGAAGCGCTTCATTGTAAGATGCCCTTGTCACATATACATATGTATGACCTCAGATGGTGCTTTGTATTTCCATCATTAATCCGTTATTAATTATCATGAATTATTATAATAAATCTAAATTAATGTAAATGTTAAATATGTTCTCTAATGAAAACATTTGAAATATATAACACAAAACTGTGCTATGATGTGTCATTTATGTCCATTCTAATAGAGCACAGCATTTGAAGCTCAGTGGTCAAAGAACACAGAAAACTAATTAAGTAATTAAACTTAATTTGTTGAGTTAGAAGCATACGGTCGGTGCACTCGTAAGTGTAATTATTAACCATATCAGTTCAACCCTATTCAAAACATATCACTCAAATAGAGTGAATTTAGTGTGACATAGTTTATACTGCTGGTTTGAAATGTCAGTGCTTACTGCATCATTCACTGTAAAAACAACATTGATACTGAATGAAAATGTGCAAAGCAGTTAAAAATGTTTCCACGTTTGTAATAACATACAGAGCATGCTCATATTCTGTGCATTGAGACAGACAGGCCTCAAGTGCAGTGTGCAGTCAGTTGTTCTCAAACAGAGACAGAAGGTCATCGCTGCTGTTGTTTGGGAGGTCAGGAGGACCCAAGAGGGACAGCAGTTCATCTGGGTTTGTCAATTCTGGTAGGAACTGTATTTAAAGGAAATAAAACTATTAGTTACTGTAGAATTATTATTATTTTTGCTGTTATTTGCACTCACATCAAGCACATGATCTGCTCCATCTCCAGCCGGTGTCACTGGACCTCCCAGCCCAAAAGAGCCCTCACTCCGGAGGCTTGTTTTCTGGGTAGAACTGGTGTCAGCATGGCCCTGGTTACCATGGCCACCGGGGATGTGCTGGGACAAAATGTGGTGAGAGTGGTCGCTATACCCAGCCCCATGTTGAGTCTGAAAAAAGTAGTTTTGAGACATTTTAAAGTGGAATTTGTACAAAGTAAATACATTCTTTTTAGCATTTGTTTATTTTGTTAAGAGGCCATTCACCAGATGTGCCTGACACGAGAAAGACTCTTTGAAGCATCTGCATGTGACAGTTGGAGTGTTTCACTGCGATGACCATCAGATTACACATTTCAGTCAGTGCTGTCTACTTCAGCTTCAGTCAAAGACTCTCTACAAACCTTCTCAAGCAGAAGGACTGGACATTGAGCGCTGTGCAAAAATCGCACACGATGCCTTTACATGTAAGTGAAGTGAACACAACAAACATGATATTTACAGCAGTACAAGAACACAACAGGAATGTCAAAGCTGTAAATATTCTTTTGGATACTATTGAGCTCATGATGTAGTTTAAAGACTTATGATGACACATTGATGCTTCTGTTGCTGTTTTGACCATTCATTCATGCTCATTCAACCATGAAACTAAAGAAATTAGGTTCAACCAATGGCCAGAGGCAACAAGCTATAGCATCACAGTATGTCTCTGTGTGTAGAATCATTTTCATCTTACTGGGTCAGAGGGATAGGACAGCGATGATGACTCTCCCATCGTTGGCGTTCCAGGTGTGTGGGGGAAGTCTGTGAACCCAGATTGGTTGGTAATTCCTTGGCTCACTATAGCATGAAAACAATTCACAAACACAGTAACTGCAGGATAAACAGTATAGTATTATAGTATAGTATAATGTTTGGGTACACAAAATCATGAACTATCTAAAAGAACTGTGCATTCTTCCAAACCGACATTCTTCGCAAGAAGCCAGAAAACTATTTTAAAAACATAGCAGCCAATATAGGAAAATATGTTTTTATTTGACTATATGTATTGAATCAATTGAATATAAAATAGCACATTATAGATCAGCGGTGCTGTAAGCATGTTCAGATAAGAACATATTACAACGTTCACCTCCAACTATCTACATTTTATAATATGTTATTAGTATTACATTGACTTTGTAATTTAGTCTTAGCTAAAACTGTGTTCACTTGTCAGGCCTTTTCCAGGTCTCTCCACAGACTAGTCTTACCTTGTCTGCTGAAGTCAGGAGTGGTCCTGCCCCCTGGTGGCAGTGTGTGGTATGGAGCTGGCCCCAGAGCAGAGATCATGTCCATCACATGAGGCAGAAGCATGAGGCTGGGGCTGAGGGTGCGGCAGCGCTTCAGCACCGGTCCATCAGGCTCCTCTTTTATGTGCACATCTGGTTTGACCGGCACAGGTCTCCAACCACATGTGGGGTCTATGGTGATCTCCTCATACTCCGAACTGAAATGGACAAAGAAATATTATTTTGAACCATAAATATGAAATAAGATCTTTTTTCTTGCAAAACTCACTTTTGGATGTACACAAGAATTCCAAGCATGTACTGGTCCACCTCAAGTCCTTCCAGTAATGCAGTTTTACTGTCAACAAAAAAATATATACGTACAATGTAATGGATTGCCTTTATTTCTTTCTCTTTTTTCAGATGCATTTTGAATGTACACACTTGCATACAGGGCATCTCCAGGTGCCTCGTTCACAATTTAATTGAAGATATGATTCTAAGTCAAAACACTACAAAAAACATATCTTGTTAATGATAAATACAAGCAGCATTTTGAATAATAATAATAAATAATATGAATAAAATGAATGTACATAATACCTGAATGTGCCTGCAGTCATGGCCTCGTGCTGGAAGCTGGATCCTTCTGAATGTAATTGGACATTTTAAAGACACTTTAATTGCTGTTTGTTCAACTCCATCCTCACCATTAAGACCAGGGGTACCAGGGATAGTGCCAGAGGTGAAGTTTCTTTTTACTGGAAAGACAAATAAACACATAAGTACACATAAGAAGACAACAATGAAAAAGATACATGATTTATATACAACATAGTTTGGCTTCACATGGTGTCATACCATTTCAAACTGCCCACAAAGATGAGGTTGTGTCATAGACTATATACGTTAGCTTCATCGATGCCAGCCTAAATTTAGTTCAATTACTAATCCATAAAGATGTGATTCTTGTTTTGCTTGAAAGTAGTTTTCTCCAATATATGATGTGGCACATACTGAAAACAAACAGTTTTCTGGTTCAACATTTAAGTTATTTTGAACTGTTGTACTGTTTGGGGAAACTTTGTAAACGTTTGTTGTTGGTGAATGAGAAGACGTCTTTGTGTCGGATCTTTTCATTAATAATTTCCAGTAAATATCATTAAAAATACATTTTAACTCATATTATTTTATAAATTAATGAACTATAGGTATATATCAAAGCCTTATGATGTGAACCCAACCTATTCGCAGATTCATAGAAAGTCAAAAGCCTACTTTTAGCAATGCAGTGCTCCGCTGGCAAAAGTCTCTTTTTCATCAGACCTTGGAGGACAGACCTGACAGACGGCCGGTGGACAAGTTGAAGCACAAACAAATGGGACTAAAAGTAAAACAAAGAATATAGTTACATAGAAAACATGTGAATCAATACAAAGTGCATATTACAGTGGCTCCTGGATACTTACACAACAACAGGCAGTAACAGTGATCTGTACAGTGTTGCGTCCAGGCTGGCACACCTGCTTGAGGTACAAGGGCTTGTGGGACGTTTTATTATCCCCTCGTTCGATGCACATAGGAGTGGCATTCACACTGACCTTAAGTAAGGGCGAAACAATAATCATAACTTGCATGTAAAAACACATTTATGTACTAAATACACAGTTTGGATACATACTTGAACAGACGCGGGCCAGTTAGTGTTCATTTGTCTGTCCTCATGATGGTAGCATTTAAACTGTAGCTCCAAATCCGGTCTGAAGGGGGCATTAGAACACAGCTTTGTGAGACAGGGTGGGGTCAGTCAGCAGACCATACTGCCAGTTACTGTACGGTATAGTCAGTATAATACATTTGTTACAACACACATAAACACGTGTTACCTCATCATGAGGGTCTTGTAAACAGAGTCTCGCAGCTGGAAAGCATGATTGCTGACAGCGAGGTTATGCTCCAGTCTGAAAGGATCTAACACAACACCATCTCTAACTGGAAAGGTCAAACGCAGGTCATCACTGGGGTCACCTAAAAATAACCCATCGGTCACTGGCTTGTTCTTGATGGACATATTGGTTCAATACAACAGTACTACCTGTAGAGACCTGTGGGGGTGTGATGGTGCATTTAGCGTCTGGGGGTAAGTAAGGAGGTTTGGTATCGTGGCCCGGAGAAAGATACAAAGGCGTTGTGGTCCCTGGTGTCATTGGTGGAGTAGGATTCCCACCCATAGGTGAACTGGGATATCCCAGCATCACTCCACCCCTCCCCGGCTGTGATGTGTTAATGAGATGTTTTACTTTTCATATTTTATCAATTCAAATTATTTGGAGAAGAAATAAAAACATGATTTACCCTGTTCACGGCAGCTTGTGTCAAAGTATAAGCTCCGGTCCCTCCCTGTGGATGGCTTCCTTGACCATTGAGAGGTTCAGGCTGCAAAATACAAAAAAATCATCAACTACTTATTTTAAGAAAAAAAGCTAATAACTCACACTGGAGTAAAAGTGTAACCTTGTAATACTGGGGAGGATTTGGTTGGGGAGCTCCTGCAAACTGCCCTGGGTTCAGTGATGCAGAGTTGTACTGTCCCATATGCGGTAAGCGGCTGGATGGAAAAGACGAGGAGGGGGCACATTGCTGGGGAGGCCCGGGTAGATACTGCAGATGATTAGGGTACGACATTCCCCCAGAGCCATACTGCTGCACAGGAAACACCTGAACAATAAGAGTTTCATGTCAACGTGTACAAGTAAAAGTGCAGCACAAGCAAACACACCTCAGAGTGAAAAGGTCTTTTGAGGCCTTGTTGTCCCCCTGAATAGTTTCCATGTGGAGGGATTTTCTGCATCTGTGAAGGATGAGGGGGGTACAAACTTCCATGTCTGTTTGCACCCATCCCTCCAGGATTCATAGCTGGAGGGCCACGAGGTCCAGAGTGCGATAAGAACTGGGTGCTGTAAGAGGGTCCACCCATCTGCAAGCAAAAGTGGAGTGCAGAGACGTTAGCATAACTATCTAAAATAATAATAACAATTAGTAATTTGTTCCCCTGGTTCTTTCACCAGTTAATTCTGCGGATGAATGTGGCATGAATCTGTGTTAAACTACCCGCAATTCACGATAAATAAATCCGATGAATCCGGTGCATTAGTCACCTGGCTGTAGCTCAGCTCTTGGTTTTGCTTTTCTTGAATGGCTGCTACGGTGGCAGTAGCAGTAGCAGTAGCAGTGGCAGCAGCCGCCGCTACAGCAGCGGCAGCTGCATGTGTGAAGTCTGAAGAAGCTCGAGCCTCTAAACCAGCTCCTCCACTGTTTCCAGTATAACTGTGGATGAAGAGAGAGAAAGACACAGGACATGAGCATCTCTTGAGAAGAAAAGGGACAAAGAGTAAGAGTACCTTCCAGTGTAGGCTGGAGGGTTGTATGCTGAACTGGGGCGTCCGTACATCACAGGTTGGCCGTAGCTTTTTGGGACGGCTTCATTGTAGAACGGAGAGCCCATAAATTGTGAGCCCATGCCACCTCCCATACCCTGGTTACCAGAAGGCATCATGGAGACACAGGAGCTTGGACCTGCACCAAGAATCTAAAGGATGAAACTACACAGTCAAAAACACGTGGACAACAACTCGATGAATACAATTATACACGTAGTAAAAGTAATTTAATTTTCTAACCCTAAGATGATAAAATATGTGAGTTTGTTCCTATTTTTACTTCAGTTGATTATAGACATAGACATGTCATAAAACTAAACACAGGACATTTATTCCTTAGCCACAGCTGCCCTAGAGGCAGGGATTGAACTAAGAGTCTGTAACATCACAAACCATTGACGATCAACACACTGCACGGCGAGTGATCGACACCACAACCTGCATATACCTTTTCACACTGCCACTCAGGGGGTAATGTAATCACCAGGGTTTGTTGGTCTGTCTGTTTGATAGATTGCAACAGATCTCAAAAAGTTTTCACCACATTTTAATGAAGTTTTCAGAAAACCAGAAAATTTTTTGAAGGTGATCATTGTGTGGATCTAAGCGAGTGTTAGTTTCAAGCCATAAATTAAAAGAAATTGCATTTGGATCAAAGGGTTACATTTTTGTCTCATCCACATGTGGAATAGTGTCCCCCGCTTTGCTTCTTGCTACATATTTAATCACTGACTTTCTAAAAGCCACTTGTCCAATAAAGGCCAGATTTGTATAACTATTATCTTCTCCATGCACAGATTCCCCCAGGTGAGCTTTGGAGGTCTGCAGCTCGGCCAGAGCAACCATTGGCCTCGTGTCTGCCATCAGTGTTGTTCTTGTTAAAGCTGCTTGCTTGGCAAACTGCCGAATCTTGGTAGATTTGCAGTTGTGGCAGATATTGGTTTAAACAGGGCTCTGGGAGATGTTCAAAGCATTAGAAATGTTTGTATAACCAAACCATGCTTCAAACGTCTCCACAACTTTATACTTGACTTCCCTGGTGTACTACTTGGCCTTCATGGTGCTGTTTGGTGACCAATACACGCCAACCATGGCCATCACAGAACAGCTGTATTTAGACTGAGAGGAGATTACAGACTGTTGGGCTCTATATCAATGTTAAGACAAAGTGTGAATATTCAGCAGTAGCTAGAAATGTTTTAAATGCATTTGAATGCACTCTGAAAACTTCACTTTTCTTTTCATGAACAAAAATCATGTTTCTTTTTGTCATTTTGTTAACATTTCACAGATGTCTGTTATTTGTGTGTGAACTTTCAGTTTGGGTCATTTTGGGTCATTTTTCATTTAGAACTTCTGTAGAAACAATGCCATCTTATATATGTTTTCTTTTTAACTTGGTGGATGTTGGTGGGTTTGTGGTCTCAGAGGTGAAAAGTGAAAAGAGCTAGTGTTTTAAGTGGTTTAGAACTGTTACATACAACTAATGTCTGGATGTTTTACCTGGCCACGACTGGTCACACCCAACACTGTTATGACGGCAGGGAGAGATCCTGTAAGTTGATTGGTGGCTGGTTGCTAGGAGACTGTGGCGTTCAGAAATGGCTAAGACTGTTGAAAAATGATGAAAAAAAACTATTATTAGTTTTTTATTAATAGTAAAACTATTAATAAACCAGGACCTGATGAAATTAGGTAAGTTAGAATAACAATAATATTGGTAAGTGAAATTAAAAGTGTTTGTTATGTCCAGAAAATGGACAATTTAATTTAGTTAACAGCTGATGATGCAGGACATCTGCTTACAAACTCTTGAATATTCCAATTCCATTTACCAATACGGTTCATTCTGGGTTTCCTGCACAGAAATAATGTTAAAACTGTACATTACAGTGGAAACAGGAAGTGTACATGGTTTGTAAGTAAGTAATCTTTTATTTATATATACCGCCTTTTCACTGCAGATCTGAGTCTCAAAGCGGTTTTACATTTGTTTTATTTTTGGGCATTTGTCTCTCACTCCACACAGAGATGGGAGCGGGGTCGCCAGTACAGGAGGCACATGCCAGAACTATTGTACATATTTTTAGTGGTAGGGGAAACCAGAGTACCCGGAGGAAACCTACGCAGACACGGGGAGAACATGCAAACTCCACTCAGAAAGGCCCCGGTCCGACCGGGATTCGAACCCAGGACCTTCTTGCTGAGAGGCGAGAGTGCCACCCAGTCATTTTCAGACTAACCAATCTAATTGGTTAGTCATGTTGGAAACATTGGTCATGTGTCCGACCAATCTTTTGGTTAAAACAACCGGACTATATGGTTCTGTTTTCAATCAATCTATAAAGATTATAGAGTTAACCAATGCAAACTGGTCATTCAGTCCAAATAACTAATCTAGTTTGTTGACCACCACCAATCATTCCCACGTGGCAATACATTAAAAACATGTTATGAAACTTGTTGAGGTGAATAGCACGCACTATAGTACGTCATTCCAACCAATATCCGTGTCAGTAATTAGAGCGGTTAGCCCACAACCAACTGATGCTAATCCCTGGGTGAAAATATGTTTGTTTTTTCTTCATTGGGATCCACATCAGCTTCAACAAGGTGGTTGCTTTTCAAGGTTATTTTTCAAAGGTAAAGGGCATTTAGTTCACTTCAGGTCAATGAGACACAACAAGATGGGTTTGCTCTCCTTTGAGGAGAGAGTGACTGTGGGTTTCATGGAGTGTAGTGGTTTATCTGTTGAATGATGGCATCATCCACTTGCACCTTGTGCATTAAACGGCCTAAGTAGCAAAGGTAATGACAGATGAGGGGTAAAGTCTCTGCATTGCACATTTTGATATCTGCAAGTCCCATATGTACAGGCACATCCTGTACAGCACTCCCACTAACTTTAATGCCTCTGTGTGGACTGCGCATATCAAAATGTTAGCCTATCACTGACTGCTGTAGCTTTGATACCTCTCAAAAGAGGGGGAGGGGTGCTAAATTTAGCTCTGATTTCAAAAGGAATTTAAGAGAACAGAGATGTAAAGACTCTTCTCTCAGCTGATGACTAACAGAGCAAAAGCAAGTGAGTGGAGAGCAACACTTATGCACCTGAATGAAATTGTGCCTTTGCAAGCCAGGCAGACAATGCAATGTCATATATTGGAAATGTATGTATGAATATATGTATAATACTAAACATATTATTATTACTATATATAGCTATATATGCAAATTAGATATATACATAATACACATATACACATGTATATATATATATATACATATATATACAATACACATATTAATGCATATAGATATACACACACACAAAACACACATTATATATATATATACACTTATATATTATATATACATATACATATCTATAATCTATATATTCACACACCCACAGAGACATACACACACTATATACAGTATTTATATTACATATAAACTTAATAGTTGTGTTTGTATGAGTAGGCTGAATGACACTTAAATGAAGGGTTTATATTGCACGTAAACCAAATTTCTGTTGGAATTCAAACGCTATGTTCGTGGTTTACCTGATCCGTTCAATCACAACATCAACAAACTCAACCTGCAGCAGCGGAACAGAACAAAGCAGCTGGTGCAAAGATATGAAGACTTTTCAGACGCGTGGCCATGAAAACACAAGACTCACCAACAAGATCCACGGAAGAAGCGCGGGAGATCCAGGGTCCAGGGTCGGCGGCTGCATGTGTGTGATGTCCTCACACCTGGCTCCGGATGTGAGCGGTTTGATCCCTCTGCTGTGGAGGAGCGTTTACGCGCCGCTGGCGCCAATGGCCGTACGGCTCCGTGCGTCTCCACGTTGTTGAACAGAGCCCTGTGATAATGTGACTTCCACAGACGCACCTCAGGCTCCAGCTGCAGACGGCAGCCGCCACCAGAAAACCAGCTATTCACATTAGCGTGTGCTTCTTTACACCTACTAATAACCAGGTGTAGATCATACCTGAGGAGCATCTCATACTAATATTGCATTGTGCTCCGTTGTGCGCTGATATATTTGCATTGGGTTTTAACAGCAGTCCATTGCCAGCCCTGACAGCAGAGCGCTCTCCTCATTACAGGATAACCCGATATAATATATTCATGAGATCATAGGCTAATGTCTCCCACAGAGAAAGGTATTCTCCCGTCCTTCCTCCAAGTCAAGTGGCAGACCACACTGACAGACTGCAGAGAGCGAGACGGACATCAAGTGTAATTGATCAGCTCAATGCTCAATGGCTGAATGTGTTACAATGCACCCTTAACATCTCCAGTGTCTGTGAGAGCTGCATGACCTCGTGAAACACACATGCCTTTAAACACTGCTGCAGGCACACACAGAGTTTGTCACATGTGGTGATTCAGTCTGATCTGGGGAGAGCTTTGGAGTCATTAAATGTATCTGAAATGTGTTGCCAGAGGGCAGTGCAGCTCTCAGAATAAAAAGTCCAACCTGCTACTGTTTTTCAGACCTCTGTTGCCCTGGAAACAGGTGCTGAGATTTCCCATTTCTTCCTCTTTCTTTACACTATCACTGCTCACCCCTCCACTGCTGCTTTCTCCCCCACGACCTGCCGCATAGTAACACACGCACACACACACACACACACACATGCATGCACACACATCGAGCACAATTCAGTCTACTGCAGTCATTTTACAAAGTCACAGGACAGACCAAGTCACTCCTGCTCACAAATCATCAGAGACGTCACCTAAATGTGAGCAACCTTCTCCAAATGAGGGACAGGCTGCAACAATCTGACCTCACGGTAACATCAGAGAATTATCAGTGTGGAGCTGGGGAGGGCCAAGGAAACAAAGAGGAAACAACACACCAGAAGAGATTGAAAAAAACTCACATACTGAAATCTAGAACATTGGAATAGTTAATTTGGATGCTCTTTCTCTTCTTTTAGGACTGCAAAGCAAATGCACCACACAACAAAAACACATTGTTCCGTCCACCTTTGCTGTCAGAAAGAACATTGTATTTAGATTATAAAGTCTCTATGTGGAACATTTTCATTTGGGGCTATGTCTCTGTATGAAGAGATACACCAAACCCAAAGGTCCATTGTTTTCCGATGAGGTTTTACTTAATTTTATGTGAATGCTTATCCGTATTATAGCTTATGTCTGAGCCTTTAATTGTTGTTGTTGTTGCTGTCTTGTTGTAAAGTCTGAAAACCTAATAAATACATATAAACCCACGCACAACTCAATAAAAACTTCAGAACAATACAATTTCGTGGATGGACAGAATAGGCGACTGTAGAGAGGTGTGTTGCCTGTGTGAAGTCAACATGAGCTTCTTCAGCCCTTTTAAAGTCATTTCATTTAGTTTTAGCTTCATTCTGTGCACGTTCCTTTGTAGTGACTTCTCTTTGGCAGGACCAGAGCATTCCTGGGAAATGGCTGACCCAGAATAACACACACAGACACACAGGGTGGCTGAGTGAGAGAGGTCCTCCACCCTTTACTGCTCCTGCACACACAAAGCTATGTTCAACACACCAGACTGCCATGGACCATGATGCAATTGTGTTCTGTGATGCAGTGATGTAAATGTCTCACTCAAGCAGACAAGCCAGAGGTGCTGCGTGAACAAAAGGCTGCGTTCATGTTCGAGAAGTCTAGTTCAGCTGGAGGACAGGTGATACAACTCTCTGGGAAATAAGCATTTTTTTAAAGAAATGTTAATAGATTAAATACCCCCAAATGTTTCCACAGATGATCGGGATTAGATCTCAAACCTGCTTTGTTTTTCTCATGTCTGAAAGTCTTATAGTGGCCAACTTCAGGAATAGGATCTAAACACCCACTGCAGGACTGGCTGTCTGCTCTGGAAAGCAGCTTCAGTGACAGACTGCTCCACCCTCACTGTGTGAAAGAGAGGCTCTGCTGGTTCTTTCTTCTTGCTGCTGTCAGACCGTACAACGAACGCCTGTACTGACAATTGACTGGTCACTTACTACTTACTATTACTTTATAAATGTACAGCTACGATCTCCCATGTGCAGTTAGTGCCAAAATTCCATGTTTCAGATCAGAATGTGTACAATTTTATGTCTAGTTGAGAGACAATAATCTTGTTTCTTGTTTGTCATGTGGTTTTCCTGAGTGCTCTTTTTTTCTACTGTCCTGTAGTGTCCCGGCTGTGGGACGAATAAACGCTCTCATCTCATATGTTTTTGAAAACTGTCACTACTTCGAGCCGCCTTCATGAGTAAATCATTTGACAGTTGATACTGACAAAGACTTTGTAGTAACGCATTGGTTTAATGTAGTGCTTTTCAGGACAATCCAAGGTGCTGTTACTACGGCGACCACTGCTCCTGACGTAAGCCTTAGTGGCATCAGGATGGGTCAAATGCAGGGGATGAATTGCCCTACGGGGATAAATAAAGTGGACCTTTACCTTTACCTTTACATGTCATTCTTCTTTCACTGCATACATGGTGGTGATAAACTACTACTGTAGCCACAGCTACCCTGGGGCACACTGATTGAAGCGAGGCAACCATGCATGCTAGTCAATGTGGGTGAAGTCTTGCCTAAGGGCACAACAACAGTTCGGCACTTTACAGCCGCAGTCGCCCCATTGTGGCAGCAGTTCCCAGAGGTCTCCCATCACAGTCTGGCTTTCAGATGCAATTTGGCCAATGTAACCATTTTTGGTTCATGTGGATTGGACCAGGAATTAGAGAAATGTTCTAAAGTCTGACTTTTGACAGCTACAGTCACCAGGAAAGATTTGTCAGCTGCCATCCATCACAATGCTGCTAACCAACATGTTTTCTATTGGCTTAATGCCACAATGTTTAGAGTGTTCATTCTTCTAATTTATTTATAGCTATTACTTTCTACATCTTCATAAATAAATTATATGCCTTTATACCGTCATGTAAACGTCTAGTTTCCACTGGTGGGATTTTAAAGTGGCATACCACAATTTGAAGAAATGGTTTTTAGAAACTCAAATCAGCGATTTGAGTTTCTAATATTATGGTACGTTACAGTCTGACATTTCCTGTGTTCTTATGTGTTTATTATGTTTGCAATGTGCTGAATCTGAATTAAACTTGAGTGATACAGGTCAAATCTGGTGAGGTGAGCCCACATGATAAGTCAGAGATTTGCAGAGTGAAAACATCTTTAATTGATAATATCATACTCAGGTACATTCCGAGGAAAGAAATAACCATTGCAACAATCGAGTGGCGAAGTTGCGCAATGCACCTTTACAAAGTAGTATTTACCAGTTTTTTCGACAATATTTTTGCAATAGCTCAAAAGAGGTAATGATTAGAAAGCTGTAGCTTAACCTGAAACTCAAGCAGTAGACATTTTGGGGATATACTTATAAAATTATTATAGATCCATGGGTAATGATCCATCGGCTAAAATGAAGCAGCCCTAATGCCCATAATAGATCCATTCCCTAATGATATAATTAAAAGAACACTGCTGCCACCGTGCGGCTGTACTCAGGAATGACAGTAACAATGGCACTCGTGCTCGATCTCTCGTGGAATTTGTCATTTCCTTTTTAAAAGCAACACTTGCTGCGCAGATTGTCACTGTTTTTTAGGTAGCGTTGTAAATATTTTTGTGTAATTAACATTGCCTTCTAGCAAACATATTTCCTTGTCAACTTTCACTAGACAGACGCTTTTTAAAATATGGAAATACTTTCTATTTGCATCATTAAATCATTATCATTTTGCATTCCTGCATTTTTGGTCCACATTGATTTAAAATGAACTCATTTTGAATATGATTTAGGAACGGCATGAAACAGTTGCAGTTGAACAAAAACGTATTTATATATATTTAAAAAATGAACCAGAGCCAGCCCTTCATTAGATGTAGAGAAACACACACATTACTTGAACACATTTCATAGTTGTTGGATTAACAATGAGGATAAAAATAACATTTACAACAATGTGATATATTACAATTGATTGCTGTGATTTTAGGCACTTCACATGAATCTCTTCTAATCCCATGATATTTCAAATATCCTGTCTAAAAAAACAAAAATCTTACAAGATGATCAGAATATGTAAATGTATTCCACATTCAGACTACATTCAAGTAACAACTGTTAATGTGCGCTTTAAGGTTCACAGTAGATCTTTGGTAGAGATTATTTTCCCTGAGACCGTCACAGACTGAACGCTGTGTCCAGCAGACGCTGCAGCTCCATCAGGTGAGTCTTCTTGTTTCCTGTGGCAGGAGCAGCAGCCGACTCACGGCCGGCATATCTGAAAACACAGATGCAACATTCATTTACATTCAACTCACTACATGTGGGAATCAAACGGTCCTCACAGGGCTGGTGTATCTGCAGGTTTTCACTTCAACCAAGCAAGAGCACAGCAGACTCCACCCATTTCATATAGCGAGTCCAGTCTTGACCTGAAGTCTTGAGGAAATGGGTGGAGTCTGGTGTGCTCCTGTTTGGTTAGAAGTAAACTTGCAGCCACATCGGTCCTCTCTGGAGTCAGATTAATAAACCCATGATCTACATGCTCTAAACCAGGGTTTTTTTTGTTATTTTTTTTATATATACCCCTAAACCAACATGAGTTAGACACCCCTGCTCTAAACAAAGTTTATGGAGAAATGGGCAAACATACAGAACAGGCCGACTTCTCTGGATCGTGGTGCGGATGCGCGGTTTGACATAGTCGTAGAAGCCCTGATTCTTGTGCTCCTCCTGACACCACACCAAGTCTGCATTAGGAAACCGCTCCGTCTCCTTTTTCACCAGGTCGAAAGGAAACGGCGACAACTGCAAAGTCAACACATTGATAGTTGTAGTTGTGTATCAGCCATGCATGAATAATGTGATTTTATACCTGTTCAATGCGGACGATGGCCACGTCACTGTCCAGGCCCCTGTTTGTTCGCTCGCGGGTCAGTTCATAGTAAACTTTCCCAGAACAAAAAATGATTCTCTTGACATTTGTAGGATTGGCTGCTACGAGGCCAACGTCTGGGATAAGCCGCTCGAAGCTGGTGCCTTAGTACAAACCACTGTTTAAAAACGGTAACAACGCAAAGACGTCAAAGGTACAGTGGTGGTCAATAACTTACCTGGCAGCATGTAATCGAAACTAGATTTAGCCTCAGGGTGACGCAACAGAGACTTGGGAGTGAACACAATGAGCTGATATAAAAGGGGGAAGTTTAGGTTTATTTATTTTTTAGTGTTACAAGCAATGAGTCACATTTCTCAGTCGCTCACCGGTTTCCTGAAAGGCAGCAGGATCTGGCGACGAAGGACGTGAAAGTAGTTTGCCGGGTTGGAGCAGTAAACGACAATCCAGTTACAGTCATAAAGCTGACGCATTGCAAAGTCTTCTGTGAGTTTCTGCAACAATAATATTTATATATTTCTGGTTTAATTTAATGTATATCTATATAGCGCATTTTTACAGACCAAAGTCACTCAAAGCGCTTTACAATGTTCAGAATTCAGATATTATTTCATTCTCTCCCCACGCGGTGATGACGGAAGTGAGACGTTGAACACACTGGTGCATCAAAACCTCTGACCAAACACCATCCATTCACTCACTCATTACATTCAGACCTATTGTGCATGTTTTTAGTGGTAGGAAAAACCGGAGCACACGGAGAAAACCTACGCAGACACAGGGAGAACATGCAAACTCCACTCAGAAAGGCCCTGTTCTGACTGGGATTTGAACTCAGGACCTTCTTGCTGAGAAGCGAGAGGGCTATCACCTCAGCCACCGTGTCGGTTTAAGTGAAAAAAAGATAACAGTTTAATTCTCTGATCTGTTCGGCAAATTCAACGGTTTTGTAAAGTCCTCCGAGATAACTACTGTTGTGATTTAGGGCAATAAAAAAAATGTATTGAATTGAAAAAACTTACAGGAAATACATCCCGATCATCGTTGCACATTTGTAAAAACCTCTCTGGGCGAGCAGAGGAGTGCTCCGGACCCTGGAAGAAGAATGAACACATGAATGAACTAGTAAACGATTGGACAGGAATGTTTCCTAATACTCACCATTCCTTCCATTCCATGAGGCAGGAGCAGTACAATGGCGTTCTGACGGACCCACTTGGCCTGTCCCGAGCTGATGAACTGGTCGATGATGCATTGTGCTGTGTTGTGAAAGTCACCGAACTGGGCTTCCCACAGAACCAGAGAGTTGGGGCTGGCCATGGCAAATCCCAATTCAAAACCTGTCCAGGAACATTTGATTTAGGGTGAGTTATGATATGGATTAACTTTAGTTCTGAAACTGCACTGAACCTTTCCATGCAGAACTTAAAGGTGATGTACGCAACTTCAATTGTATTTAATTTTTTTAAAGAATGAATATTTTAGACCAGTATTTTTCAACCTGTGTGCTGTGGACTGCTCAGTGTGCCTTGAAATGTTGTTTGTTGTGCTTCAGAAATAATCCAATATCACCTATAGGAATTGGTCTAAGTAACATGAGACACAAGATTATTTTGCACTTGTTTGATTTTAATAAACTAATAAACTGATACACTTTTAAAACTTTGTATTGTAAATAAAGGTGGCAGAGGTACATTTTTGTTTGGCAATGATTGTTTTCAATATAAAACATGTGGGCCACGACTCAAAAAGGTTGGGGAACACGGCTTTAGACATATGAACCGGTAGTATCATTCAAACTTTGCAAAATAAATAGTTTTATAATATAGTCCCTCCTCTTGACAAAGAAACCACCACTAAGTTTCTGGAGGAGAATGGTTAGACCAATCCATAGCACTTTGAGAATTCCTTGAAATGTAGGACATAGGACAAACCCGGCAATTTCAGTAGAAACCTTCTCTCTCTCTTCAAAACTTAAACTGACATACACTTCGTTTAGGACACTTCACCACAACACCCACCAACTATGATGAACGAATTGTGCTAAACAAGATTTATACCTAGTACGCCGTATTCAGACAAGGAGCTGTTGCAGACTGTGTACGGAGCTTGGTCAGGAGCGATGTAGTCCATTGGGATACAAATCCTTTTATCCACATTCTGGTCATGAAGGACGTGATGCCGATGGCTGGGATGACACACAAACGTATCAGATTTCTGCAAATATCTGCCTAAACATGTTTGTTTACCTAAAAGTCCCTCTCTCCACATCTTGTCCACTAAGACGGACGTGAATGCCCTCTTTGAGCAGAGAGCCAAAGGCCATGTATTCCCCAAGAGCCCAATCACAGAGTCGCTGGCTCACCATATTCCCGCGGCCCTTTAAGATACGAGACAGTCCTAAAACAGACACAAAACCAGTTTAGCTTTTAGCTGGATCCACAGAGAAATACATGGAGTGCCGGACTTCTACCTCCGTGTATAGTAAAGTCTTTCATTGGGACACTAGCTGCGATATTTCCAATGTGTTGAAGTTCTTCTTCAGGGATGCCGGTGGAAAGACACTTCATGTTTTTGGGCTGTCCATCGAGATTGAAAAAATCTGAAAGTTCATAAAAATGTCATGAGAAGAACACAAACACATCAGGACAAGCAAATGGCACCATGAACGTACCTGGCCATGGCGAGTCCAACCAGTGTTTAATATGAAGAATCTTCTCATCTTTAGAGCGAGCGTATGCATCTTCACAAATCTTATCATAATTCGCAACTTCCTCCTACAGAATACATCCTTTATGCATCGATGAACCAAAGGCCAAGGTGAAAAACAGTACAGTGCAACAAAACCACAGTTCTGCATACCTCATATTCCTGTGCAGAGACCACTCCTTGTCCAATAAGTTTTTCTGCAAATTGCTGGAGGACGCCTTTCTGTTTTTTGATGCGTTTGTACATTAACGGCTGAGTGAACATGGGCTCATCGATTTCATTGTGACCGTTGCGCCTGTAAGACACCTGATGGCACAAACCGTTTAAGAGGATGAATACTAATCAAATCTCATTCATCTTTGTAAATATGTTAAAAAAAACCAATTACTGTGACATACCAGGTCCACCACCACGTCTTTATGAAACGTGTTCCTCCACTCAGCTGCCACTTTGCACACATACATGACGGCTTCTGGGTCGTCTGCGTTGACGTGAAAGATGGGAGCGTTGACCACACGGGCCACATCTGTCGGGTACGGAGATGAGCGAGCCATTCTGGGGTCGGTGGTGAATCCAATCTGTAGAGAGAGAATAAGTGAGAATATAGAAGCAACTACTAGGAAGTGCTGTGTAACTATCTGTACCTGGTTGTTCACGACCACATGAATAGTCCCATGAGTGGTGTACGACGGCAGGTCTGACAAATGGAAGGTCTCGTAAACTATACCTTGCCCGGCGAAGGCTGCATCTCCGTGAAGAAGTATAGACATTACCTGCAATACACAACACACAATTCACCTCTAAATAGTCCATAAAGCAGTCTGTATATTTGCTAAGAGGATCTGACTTGCCGACCCTTTTGCCCTCCGTGTCTCCACAATAGAACTGCTCAGCCTTGGTCTTCCCCTGCACCACTGGATCCACAGCCTCCAGGTGAGATGGGTTTGCCATCAGGGACAGAGTGATATTCTTATCACTGACCCGGTTTTTCCGTTTGTGATACATGCCTAAATGGTACTTTACATCCCCAGAACCCTGAGTTTAAAAAAAATCAGGAAGATAAGTTATTGCACCATGAAGAACGAGTAAAAATGCAAAAACCGTTACATCAATTCAAACCTCATCTGCTGCCTCTAGTTTAGAGTCAAACTGGCAGAAGATTTGCTCCAACTCCTTTCTAATCACGTTGGCCAATACATTTAATCTACCCCTAGATGCAGAAACACATTGTTTATAGACAGGACAATAAAGCATGAACAGGAGCATGCTGTGTACCTGTGTGGCATTCCCATTATGACGTTCTCCACGCCACGCTGACTCGACACATCGATAAGGGTCTTCAGAGCTGGTATTAGCGACTCACAACCTTCCAATCCAAAACGTTTCTCTGAAGACCATTTCCTTTGAAGAAACTCTTCAAATCTGTGAACATTTCCCACAAACCACAGGCTTAGAGAAACTGTTTCTTGACTTCTTAAATTTGATAATACTATTACTATTTGATAACTATAAAGCACAGCACCTGGTGGATCGGATCATGCGGCCGAGGAGGGTCCTCTGCTCAACTGCATTGAAATGCATGATGTCTGGTGTCTCAAACTTTTGTCTAATCCATTGACACTGCTCCACATCATTAATAAACATGAATTCGACTCCTATGTGCTGACAATATGCCAACTAAATGAACAGATAAAGGTGTGTTTAAGTGTGTAGGAGGTTCAAATATGTCAATGTTTCTTTTTAGTCCACCTCCAGGCGTCGTATAATCTCCCTCAGCGGAAGAGAACTTTCACCTCCTCCGATGAAAGTAGTGGTAGGAAGACGAAACACTTTATCCAAGTCGGATTCTGCCAGCCCATAAAAGCCTGTTCAAATAGCAAAAGAGAAAAGGTTTTTAAAAACAAATCATAATAAAAATACTACAAAGAGATGCTATGCTTTCATTCTGCCCCCTTTGCCCCCATTCACTTGCATTATGGTATTGAAATGCTTAGAGCACCTTAGGAGGCCCAGTAGCCTCTTACAAAACACAGCTATGATCGGAGTGAGGTCAATAGTGTCATAATAAATCATTCAAAAAATCATTATAATTTGATTTAGAATTTACCTATACGGACTACGCTGTAGTAGTGAAATTTGTGTTGCACATACATAAAATTTAGAAAAATACTAATCAATCAATCAATCAAAATGTATTAATAAAGCGCTTTTCATACAGAAGTGGGGCAAAATGTCTCCCCATCAGAGCACACTTCCAGTTGGGTCCAGCAGTTTCGAGTTTTTCATATAGATCTTCCACTGTTCCAAATTGTTTGCATACTGTCAAAAAAATCTTCCTTTCTAGAGGGCGGTATTGAGTCAGGATGAATCAGACACACTCAAGACATGGATTATATAATTTTATGCAGAGCCGAACACCAATGACACGACAGACTTTTCTCGCTTATCTACAGGGTGAAAAACCTGTTTGTTTAAGCAGAAAAGGAATAATCAAAATCCCATGAAAAACAATATTCCTCTGCAGTTCTTCATATTGGCTCATGCTAATGAAGTATAACATGTCATGGCAGCACATATTATTGTGGGTATTCACTTCCATTTATTAAAATAGGGGAAAAACAGACCGGCACAATATCACAATCTGATCACAAGTGTCAGAATGTAGAAGGTCTGTCTGATGAGGAATTTGTCCACGTCTGTACAAGACTTTAAATATAAGAGAAAAGCAAGAAGCAACAAATCTTGACAAGAAACAAACAGCAATTTAGTGCTAGTTATATTAGTGCTAGTTATATTAGTGCTAGTTATATGCGACTACAAAGCGCTCACTAAGTTTTCAACATGAATCAATCCGAGATAAGTGAGTCCAGAGCAGGGGATGGACAGAGAAGCCACACATGAGCAAACGACTCATGTCTATGGACTGTTCTGTCCAATAGGGCGCAGTCAGCTCTCTGTTACATAATCTGTAGACTTTGCTCGAAACCTGTGTACTGCCCCACACGTAAAAGCACATTGTTTTCTTTGATGATTCATCGTGAACCTGCGCAGTAATCAATGACAGTACTGTATCTGCTTTCTAATCAGAACACGGGTTTAATAAAGATAAGTCCAGTCCCATCACAGCGGCTCACATGCAAAGGTTAACAATAGCAAAGCAAGCAACACACTGAGAAAATACAACACATTGTCACTACTACAATTACGGCGACTTCATCTGGTCTGTTTGACACTTTAGAGAAGGTTCACCAAAGGCCTTAGTGACAGTAAAAACAGCTTGTTCTAGCACCATCAGTAACTGTTAGCGTCAGGCATAGAGCTACAGTGCATCACAATTATCATAATTTGGTTGCGATAAAATGACATATACTGACATTAAGTTAGTCATTTGCACATTTTATCGGATTTCAGTGCAAAGAGTATAAGACTGTACATATCAAGAAACAGCAGACACTCGAAATGCAATGAGATTTATAGACATTTACGGAAATTCGTCATCTGCCCCTTATGGACCAATGGCTCTATGTGTACTTTTATCATTGCATTTCTTATGTTTGATTCTCTGATCGATGTTGGCGAATTTGACGGTTTTGCAAAGTCCTCAGAGATACTTACTGTTGTGATTTAAGGCTATACAAGAATAGATTAATTGAATTGAATTGAGCAGCAAAAGCCGAGTTTGACAAGTTGGTTAAATGGAGACTAGTGACATCACATGACACAAGGAGCGCTGTATCGTCCCTTACCGACATTTTGGAATCCCACAGCACAAGGGGCATCATCAAAATCCACACAACTGATCCCCAGTGGGTCAAGTTTGGCTATGTGGTGACCCCGAACCTGAACAGAGACATGAAAGTGGTGATAAAACCTGTTAATCAGGAATACGACACAAAACCCTGTATTTGCATATTACTTTGAGTTGGTGCTTTTTTACCTGATAGGCTCGAATTAGCGTATGCACAGCTAGATGATCCGCAACCAGCTTCTTTGTATTGACCGGAGCCCCCAACAGAGATGGGGCACTTTCGGCTCCCTGGGGCATCCCATTAAGATGCAGAGGACTCTGGTAAGCGAGACCAGGTGGCACACCGGCATTTGCATTACGGAAAAAAATGTCCCAGGACTGCAGAGAAGAAGAGGGAGTTAGGAGAGTAGACTACATTATACATTCACAACTCATACGAATCTGCAACAACTGGTGGATCAAGAACCAGGCCCTTTGTTCACATGTTAAGTTAAATTAAAAATAATGTTTATACATACATAGACATTTGTAATTTTTCAAATGTATTTAGTCATTTCAAACATGCACGTACAGGAGAAAAATGGAAAAGAAATGGCTTTCAAAAAGATATTGAGCCATGTCTTATGATTAACAATGAGATTTGTTTTATTTTCTTATTAAATTGTTAGATACAAATGTGTGCAGGGATTGAAAATATAAGTCCCAGAAAGTGATGACACTGCTGCAATGTTTACACATACCCTTTAGCCTACATTCTGAATGTATTCCAGAAGAAAATCCCGTTTTTCAAAAGTGAAAACGAAAAGTACAGAAAGACAAGCTGTACCTTGTGCACATTCTTTGGATTCTCCAGCCATGCATAGTACATCTCCTCCACGTAGTTCGAGCTTGTTGCGTTGAGAAAAGGTTCTGAAGACACAGACCCAAATAGACGTCTCGTAGACTCGCACGTCCTGGGGGCCCCTGGGAGCCGCGCAGGTCTGGGCCGGGATACACACCTCACTGAAGGCCCCAGACGAGCGACTGTAGTCCTTAAGCGGTGCATGGTGGCTCCTCACAGACCCTCTTGTATTCACAGAATCAGAGCGTGGCCCCTCGCATCTCAGACTGAAGGAACCCACACACTCAGAAGTTTGTCACACAACAAAGAACTATTACTGCCTCTGTCCCAAACTGAAAGTAACTGGTCTCACGTGTCATGAACCTGGCTATAAAACACAGCTTACGGCCTGGTTTGAGTCCACGTCTCACGTGTTTGTTGTTGCGGGTCCGAGCGCCAGATGGACCTGAATGGGACGGGAGGGGAACAGAGGTGCGCACCGCAGCGTCACCGTGACGTCAGACAGGAGACAGAAACTAAAACCCCTTTTGAACATGTTGTACTCATAATACCTTCGTGAAACAATATTTTAACATAAATAGTCAACAATAAATAGTCGCATTTCAGGCTCGACCATACATTCACTTTAGTCACTTATTTTGTGTTTCATTCAGTAAAGGCCAAACCCAGATGTTGACCACGAGTCATTTAGTTCTTCTTAATTTACAACTGATCTGCAAATGTGAATAATATTTTCTTAAAATAATATGTAGATTTTTAAGAAAATAATAGGATTTTGGAATAGATTATAAAAAAAAAAAAAAAAACTCTTTAGTGCCCATTGCCTTGTCAGTGCACACGACCTCAGTGCATTTTAATTAAATGAAATACATAACAAATAAGTATGACAAAAACCCTATCAACACTGTCAACATTATTAATATTCATATATTGGTATCGTAAACTGGTGGCGTTGAATGCAAATACACAAATATATCTCTGTACACATGAGTTTATTTAACAAAAATAGAAAATATCAAACAGAGAAAAATCCGAATTATCACTATACAACATGACATTGCATGCAATTGAATTCATAGATAGATTACCACAGAAAACTGCAAATTTACAAAACAGTGTTTTGCTGAACTTGTTATCTATAGTTACATTAAAAGTTACTAGCACCACGCTATAAGCTCAACTACTGTTCTAGCATGCTGCATGTTTTCAAAGCTTTAGTGCAACACCGTCAACACAAGATCAGTTCTGGATACACGCACGAAAGCGTTACAAGCAGAAGCAACAGGGTTCTGTCAGACTATAGGATTGAGTGTTTGTTGTCCACAGGCAGCCAACGTCGTGCATAATAATTCTCTTAGTGTTACAAATACAGACAAATAATGCTTGCAGTTATAGAAAATAGCAAAATGAAAGAGAAGGACAATCAATGTACAAGAGATTACAACTACAGACCAAAGTGTAACGGTAAAGAGGATTCAGGAGCAGACACATATGCCCAGGTATGATGGGCTGCTGTGGTGTTACTTAAAGTCCGGCACGTTTCTTGTCCATCTGCAGAAGCTGTGATGATGAGTGTTGAGTCCAGTGACGTTATCCACAGGAGAAGCTGGCATGCACAAAACAGTAAGTAAGTCGTCTTTATTTAGTGCCTTTCACAGACCAGAGTCTCGAAGCGTTTTACAATTATGGCTATGGATATTATATGATAATATCACGACATCAGCCTGCCCAGAGACTATGGGTGGAAATTAGCTCTTGAGCTATAACCTGGTACAATGCATCTTTCCCTTTGAGGTTAATGTTTATTGTACACTGTCCCTGTCATCTTAAATAAATAAACTAAACTATGGCATTTGTCTCTCACTCCACAAAGAGATGGAAGCAGGGTCGCATACAGCAGGAGCATGGCAGACCTATTGTACAACCATGAAATATGTATTTGTTATTAGTGGTAGAGGAAACCAGAGCACCCAGATGAAATCGGAGCACCCGGAGGAAACCTACACACACAACTAGGCCGACTGGACCTTCTTGCTGAGAAGCAACATACTATCCACTCAGCCACCGTGCCGCCCAGAAAACAGGCGATAAACTACACCATCGCTCATAACATGTTAAACTTTCCATAGAGTTCCTCAAGAACAAACCTTATTAAAATTATTATTATTATTTCTATATCACTTTCTTTCCTATTTAACCATCTACTCTTCTTTTGTTTGCAGTTTGATGTTTACATTCTTCCAGCAGAGCATTAGCAACATCCCAAACTGGTCGGACCACTCTTCTCCCAGTTGTGACATACATGTACATACAGTACCTTGCAAAAGTATTTATAACCCTTATAAACTCGATTTCCTCCATCGTGTCTCGTTACAGCCACAAACACAAAGATATTGCCTCTCCCATTGAAAATCTGAGCCTGCACCTGTGTATTCATGCACCCTGAGGAAGGCAAGTTGGTGCTATTTTGAAGGGGTGTCAAACTGGTTACAGAAAGGGCTGGTGTGACTGCAGGTTTTCATTCCAACCAGGCAGGAGCACAGCAGACTACACCCATTTCCCTGAGTCTTCAGATTAAGACTGGAGTCACATGAGTTAATAGATGGAGTCTGGTGTGCTCCTGCTTGGTTGGAATGAAAACCTGCATCCAAACTGGCCTATTCAGATTCAGATTCAGATTCCAGGCTTTTTCACTGTAATCGTCAGGGTGCCTTAGATCTCAACGCAGACATTTTTTTTTTAAATTTGATGTAAAAGATCAATCCAAAGAAACAGACAAGTATGAATTGAAAAATGATGCATGACTTTTGTTTTTTAGTTTAAAGCTTTTTTTTTTTTTTTAGATTTCCCACAAACTTTTCCCACATTTTGAATCAAACAAAGTACTTTTTAATCCACTATTACCAGTAAAGGAGGTGGACATTGAATGAGGAAGGCAAGTTGCTAAAACACGTTGGTGCTTTTTGAAATGATCTATGTCAGGGGTGTCAGACTGGTTACAGAAGGACCGGTGTGACTGCAAGTTTTCATTCCAACCAAGCAGGAGCCCAACAGACTACACCTACAGTATTTGCCAAATGTGAACCAACATCTCGCAGCTTCCAAAAGTGAAGCTAAGTGAAAGTATCAGTGCAACCACATAACGGAGTAGATTTGGAATAATTCAAACTCCAGAATGTAGTTGTGATTTTATACGAAACAATGTGTCCTCTCATTTAACTTAATTTTAACAGAAATAAACAAGACTGCACTAAACTAATCAAACGTTGTTTTGTTTGAGCACATCTACAGAAAGCAGGACTGTGCTCTGTCACAATATGCCAAAATGCTTTTCGAGATACAAAGCACCAGAATCATTGCATCTGGAGTTGGAGCAGAACGAGGGTTGCAAAAAGTATTGACTCTTTGTGGCTGGATACTTTCAGGCAACACTTTTCAGTTTTTTATCTGTGCCGTATTGATTTCATGTCACAATTGTATGTCATTTTGAGTTGGCTGTTCAAAAAAATGGCAATAATGATCATGTTTGTGGTCATAACAAGACAAAATGTACTTTATCAAGGCGCTATATAACCCCACCACAATTAATATATAATATCTGCAGTGAACTTTTTACTTTCACTTCACGAAACAGACCGAAACAACAAAACACATATATTTACCATGTTTATTATACTTTATTACATGCGCCCTGGATCAAACCCCTAACCCTATTATTATAATCATCATTAAAAATCCCAATTTACCTCATCCCTGCGTCGGGGCAGACGGAGCCCCAGAGCAGTGGAAGTGGACATTTTGCCAGCGGCTGTCCCTGCGGTGCCAAACTCTCGTCTCCTCTGATTGGCTGGAGTGAGGGCGACCCTGTCCATCCACAAACTGTGTCAGGCGGATGTAAGCGATGCAGGCAGCTTCATCTCCAATGATGTGGACGTGAGGGTTGAGGATGGTGGTGTGAATGGGCTTGTTGTTCTTCGAGAGGACTATGAAATAATATTGAAAAACGCACTATGAATAATATAGGATAACATTAAAATGGATTCAAATGAGTTAAAAACGAAGAACTTACGATTGTCAAAATAAAATCTATGAAAGTCCATTCCTTCCACAAGATTTCCCAAACCCTCTGGCTCAAACGAAGTGAGACCAGGGTCACAAATCTTTCTGTGGAAACATGCACAGAAAAATCATTGTCTTAGCATTAAAAAATCAGCTTGAAGATCTAAAAATAGTAAAACATACTTTGGTGTTAAACAGTGCCCCTCCCTTACTCAATCTGCCAAGCATTTGTCTAAAGTGTGCGGTATTAAGAGGATAAAACAAGTAATTACTCTTTAATCTTTTAATACAAAGATGAAACACATTTGTATGGAAGTCAGATTATTGTTTTTTCCGGGTCAATAGAGAGCTTTAGTGGTTACTTCATCACATCAATTCCTACCAAAAAACTATACAAGAAGAAAACATGCGAAGAACTCACGCATAGGCCTCAAAGTCTCCGTTGTTGACAGCTTCAATAAGCTGCTCGGTGATCTTTATGATCTCCTGTTTGCGAGCTGCAAGAAATGAGCACACTGTGATTATTTTCCATGTGCCGCCTCATCACATCAAAAGAGTATTTTACGATTCACCAACGCGTACACAAATGCTGCCACAATTATTTGCACAAAACTCTCATCATATCAGCACAAAGACTCCAAACTCACTGAAGGCGTAAATCTACCCTGTCCCTGAAATGTGTCAACTTCAATTAAGTCTCTCAGCATTAGCTCACACGCTACACAACCTTCCTAGAACCAGTGGTTTCTCTCTGACGACAAACTGGACTTGCTAAAAGTATTAAAAGTGTAGATCACCGCCATGTCCCTCCTCACCTCCATCCATCTTCCTTCACTTCTTCATTTTGCATGCCAAGCTCATCCCTCTCTCCCTGTCCCAGCTCTGGATGAGAGCGTGTCCTGGTCGGCTGCTTCCTCCTGACTGAGCTTAGTACTCCCCATGGGTGTGTGTGTATGTGTGTGTTTGTGTGTGTGCGTCTGTGTGTGCGTGCGTGTCTTGCTCATTTCCCTCCCTCTCTACTTTGCCAACAGAAAGCCTTTGCATGCCCATACTTAATTATAATAACATAATTTGATTTACAAATAAGTCACAAACCTAATGCTAAGGTTTTCCTTTTAATCAGCAGGATAATGTGGAAATTGACCACTGTCCCTAATTTATACAGAACATTGTTTTGTTTGTGTCTTTTTTTCTTACTTTTTTTCCCCAGATAAAAATCTCAAGTGATGCATATGAGAACTATCTGAAATCATTATGAAATCAAAAGCATACATTATTTAAGCGCTTCAGAATGTTTATAAATTATGAATTCTAAAACATCTTCCTCAAGTGAAGTGACCATGAACCCGCAAAATAATCTCATACCAGACTTTGTAAGTAGTGGAACAAGTGAGGTCTTTTCAACTACATTATTACATAATCTAAAAGAAACAAAAATGTTTCCAAATGCACTATTTTGAAACGCTTTGTAAACATACAGAATACAGAAAAAAACAGAGACAAAAGACCATCGTCACCTTTCACGTCTTCATCGTCGATAGTGGCGTTACTGCTGTCCGATGACCCCTGCAAACACATCACGTTCATGTAAACAGCCAAAACATTGAGCAAACACAAAAGAAGACATGCAGACTTCTCCAACGTCAGTCTTGGACAAACGCTATCACCACATGTTGGCCAGACTCAGTAACAACAGAGGCATCGAGACGAGTGACCGCGGGACAATCGTCAAAAAATCGGAATTGTTTGAATTATCATTGCTGAGCCTCCCACAGAAGGGCACGACAGAAGCGTACAGCAGGAGGGGGACATGCAAAAAGACACACACACTCCACCAAATACACCGGCAGAGTTTAGCAACAATATTATAGGCAAAAAAAATGGAAGAACGTGGAGTAGAGTAAGATGTACCTTGATCCCCCCATCTATTGGATTATGAATAACAGTAGTTTGAGGCTCCTGGATCACAATGAGAAGTAGAGACAAGAGATGGACATGAATGAGAGCAGCAGAGATGGTTCTAACAGGACTTTAAAACAGTTTATGTAACGCAGTAGGGATATAATAAAGGGTGTGGACAGCCAGGTGAGTTCTTTCTATTCAAATTCACTGTATGAACGTGTGTCCTGGGAAATTGTATGTATGCAAGCCATGTTACTGTGAATGAAAAACAGTGGACAATGGCAATGAAGTGTCACACATTATAGTGAAGGCAAGTATTTAAAAAGTAACTCAGTTTAAAGATAACGATATCTTATGTATGTTACACGAGTAGGTACACACTGAAACAAATTATAAAGATGACCTCAATCTGTGTCCGACTGAAAAAAGATATGCACTACGGTAAATACTAGCTTGAACCATTGTAAATTATGATAGATATTATATTAACAGCAGTCAGTGTGTTTGTGAGTGTGTTTGTGTCTTTTGTGTTTGTATTGTTTTCTATGTATTCTGTTCTTATTTTTGTTGGCTCTATTGTCTGCCTTACTACACTTGACATTGTGCAATTTTGAGGACCCCCTTGAAAACAAGATTCTCCAAACAAATAAGAAAATATTCAAAACAAAGTAAATGCCCAAAGTTTGTTACAGAATAGAACACAAAACCACAACACTACCAGCCACAGAGTAGCTGTTATTTGAATAGAACTCTAAATCTGTGTAAATGCATGTATGGCATAATAAGAGTTGAACTGGAGTAAAGAACATCTTCCTGAATGTTGCAGATGTCTGGACTTCATACCAGAGCCGCTGACGCGACGTTGCCTTTGGTGACGATGCTGTTTCTGCTGCTGTTGGTCTGCGGCTGTGCACAAAACACAAGTTTTCCATTAGTAACTGCTTCTGTGGATAAAAAGTGAGTTGTACAAACACGAACTTGTAAAGACGAAAAAGCTTCAGTTTCTTAATCCAAGTGATTGTAAACTATACTTTTGACTCTTTGCAGAAACACTGTATTTCTTGGTCAACTGTGAGTAATTGCACAAAAAAAAAAGATAATGTCCTGTTCTGAACAAAATATGAATTATGAAAATATACAGAGAAAAATGCTGTGTTCAACTAAAACTAGTGGCTGACTTAAAGTACTGCATCTGTAAAAGCAGAGGTTGTCTCATGTTTTCTAGGGCAGCAGTAGCCACAGAGAATTGGGTGCACCAAAGGAGAAACAGTGATTATGTAAAAACAGATTAATCATCTGTTGGAAAATAATCTGAGATTAGCATCAGAGCACCCAAAAGAGTGTGTGTGTGTGTGTGTGTGTGTGCGTGTGTGTGTGCGTGCGTGCATGTGTGTGCGTGCATGTGTGTATGTGTGTATGTGTGTGTGCGTGTGTGCGTGCGTCTGTTAGAATATGATTGTATGTTAAAGGTTTAGGTTCATCAAACATTGACTGGTATTTAGGTTTAAACTGGTATTTAGATTTAAATTTGCCTGAGTCACACAACCAGGTATGTCAGAGAATCTACTCACTTAAAATAAATATTTGGTAAATCTTCACATGACTTGAGTAATGTCCTAATGGCCTCAAATCACAGCAGACATATTTATGCAGATCAATAGCTGTAACCAGTGTCTCCAGCCCGGCAGGAGACACTCTCAGATTGCACATAACGAGTCATTAACAAAATAATTTGCTGAGCTAATCTTGTTCTGGCACAAGACTGTTGACAAAATGAAGTAACTTGTTTGCTAACGCTCCTGTCGAGCCTACTGTGAACTCTATAAGATATTTAGAAGCCCCATTACGGCAGGCTGCTCCACCATGTGCACTGCAACTTCAAGGTTGTTGTCAACCATAAGAATCCACAACAGATACATATACAATACAAACAAGTTTAGACGGACAAGTATAAGAGCAAGGCACAAATAAATAACTCACAAACACAAAAATAAAATAGGAACAGTCTGATTAAACCATGAACACTCACCTTGACATCAGTCTTTTTATTGAGGAGACTCTTGGCTGCTGCAGAGAGGCAGAAGGACACACCCTCAGATGGGAGAGCACACATCTTACCAGAGCTGATAAGACACATTTTTCTACATTGTTTAACCTGGAGGAAGTATTCCACCTCAAATTACCATATTTGCTTTTTACTACAAAACTCCTCCCAACCACAACTAAAAGATTGTGTTATCAAACACACACTGGAAATCTCCAGCAGCTGGCACCTGACTGCATTGCATAAGCAGAGGCATAGAGGCAAAAGTCAGATTCAACATTTAATCCCACTACTCTCCGCACACACGCACTGAGACTGGGATTAGGGGCAAAAGCATGAACGAAATGGAAGAGCAGCTATGATGATAATGGGGCTAGATTTGATCAAATCACCGCTATTAACTAACGGTTTCAAATTAAAAATCACTTAAAAGGAAACTACAATGCATACTCTAATGTTAGTACTGAAAAAGGACTTTTGAGTTTAAAAACTCTTTCTGTTTCTACCTATAAATCCTTTAGAGTGTATAAATGTAAGGAGTTACAGAGAAACAGTGTGAGAATTCCAAAATCCAAACCAGTGAAAGTCGCTGTGCTTCATCTGAGCGATGACTCTGCTTAGTGCTTACCTTGGCAACCGTTTCCGACGCATTAGGGAAAGATTTAGGAAAACAGATTAAAAAGAGCTAAACCATAAGAAGCAGAATATTTCAGAACTCTGTTTTTATAACTGTTTGATCATCATGAAGCTGAAGGATGGAAGGCTCGAGGCCAAGTCGAGTATTTTATTGCCATTACCTTGTTCCACTATCCCAGCAGTGGTCCCAGCAACAGCACTGACAGCAGCAGGGGCTGTAGTCTGACGTCCCACTGTCAATCAGACATAAGACAGTTGTAATTGTGCCTCTTGACATGATATAGCAATCATAAAGTGTATGACATTTTGGCACAATGTAAATATGTCTGAAATGTCCCCACTAACCCACTTTATACACTAATGTATAAAGAAACACTGAGGACTATCTTTATTCTTTAGATATTGTATGTCCTTTCTGGTTCATACTTATTCAGCATGGTTCAATGATGATCCATCCAAGGACGTTTAGTGCGACAAAGTCTGGTAGTGCATGACCCTCCACTATAGATGTATACTACAATCTTAGAATATTAGAAATGATACAATGGCTTGAAAAAGTATTCAAACCCCATGAACTTTTCCACATTTAGTCACATCACGATCTCAATGTTTGTGGTCGACAACAGTAAAAGGAAAAAAAAATGATGAATGATCATGTGTGGTTGTGGAAAAGTGCGGCAGCCTCACATTCATCAACACGACGCTGAGACACGGTGTCGCGGCAAGAGGGATACACACACTGGGATACTCTTGCACAGGTATACCAAAGTGGTTTTACTACAAATGGTAAATACACTCAAATCTTCAGGTTAAAACTGGTTTGAGTCTGGTGTGCTCCTGCTCAGGTGGGAACTACAGCCTGTGCCTAGTTGGCCCAGCCCTGATCTACACCGGGGTTTTGATCACCTCCATAATCAAAGCCCTTGTTCACTAAGCCATGTTATGTTATGTTTCTCACAGATAAACACACAAACCCTGTTGATCACTTCACCTTCTGGGAGGCACTGATTACTTCAATGACATAAAAGCTACTACTGTGTGTGACACAGACAGAAACAGATTCACTCACTCAGGGTTCACTCACCAGAGAAGTTTCTGGAGACGAGCATAGTGGTCAAAATTGCCCCCTTCACAATAAGAACACAAGACACCAGGTTGGAACAATTGATATTTACAATGGCCATTGAAGTATTTATGTAAAACCTTGAGTTTCCTTCTGGCGTTAAACTTCTTGAGACACTCAACAGTTTCCTGTCTGTGCATCATCGAGGCCACGGTCGAGCGTTGCTGAAAGTAGGAAAAGAAAGAGGAACTATGATAAAGGAACAGACAGTGGCTTGGCAGAAGTATTCATACCCTTTGAACTTTCCAAATTGTGTAATGTGCAACATAAAGATAGACTTGTCCACTTACACAGACCCATGGGTGCTTCAGAGCCTCCTGGGCAGTGATTCTCTTGGTTGGGTTGATAGTCAGCATCTGGTTGATCAGATTTTTAGCCTCAGGTGTCACTGTGTCCCATTCTGGAGAAGGAAACTGCACATACATTTATTATTATACATTCCTATAACCAACTTAAAGTAAAATCTTGTTTACTGTATGAATTATATGATTGAATTGGATTGAAAATACTATAACTGTAAACGCAGACTTACATCGTAGGCCCCGGCTTTGATTTGTTGGTAGAGTTTGTGTTGGTCTTCATCCCAAAATGGAGGGTATCCAACCAAAAGAATATAGAGAATCACACCTGCTCAACGTAGAATACATTTAGGGGATGAAACTGTAACAGTTTGAATTCCAGAGATAAAAAGTAATAATCCGTACCACAAGCCCAGATGTCTACAGGTTTTCCATAGGCCTCTTTCCTCAGCACCTCCGGAGACAAGTATCCAGGAGTCCCGGCAAAACCTACACACAAAGCGTGTCAAACAAAATGCATGGTACTGCGAAGGATGTGCAACAAATACAATGTTCTTAATTATGCAAAATACAGTTGAATTGTTCCACGCAAAGTTTGAAATCAGACGAATGAAGAACATACCAAACCAGGCCTGCTGCTCTCCTTGGACTTCAATTGCAAGCCCAAAGTCTGCAAGTTTCACAGCTGCATTCTTACACTTGCTGGCCAGCAGAAGGTTCTCAGGCTGTGAGAAAAGTGCATTTGTGTGAATGACAGACCACTGACAAATTCAAGTCACTTCAATGTTACAAGCGCAGGCTGGGAGCGTGTCTTCTGCCACGACTGACGTACAATATGCAATCCAAAAATGAAGTGACCAACCCTATTTATTTTCTCATCAAAAAGTATTATTTCTATGTAGTTTTATGGCATAGACAGAGACGAGGCCTCAGATTTTTTTTCCCTCTTGAAGCTCTTTCTTCCAAAGATTTGAAGGTTAATGGGCGGCAGTCACCCGTGTCACCGACTTAATGTGTGTCGTGTCTTGGTGCTTCACAAATCTGATCCTTTGGCTCAGCCTTTGGGTCATTTATTTTTGGTTCTTAACCCTCGTGACCATTTCAGTCAAAATGACTGTTTTACAGCGGTTGCAATTGCCCATGAGTGTAGCTCAAGCGTTGTGTTTTTTCCATTGAAAGATCAAGACATTGTGAATGTTTGACAGAAAATTCCATTTTCAGGTTAGTTTATAAAGGCTGATTTCCGCTGATTTCCCTTTTACACTCTATTTATTATTTTTGTCTCACTAAAATGTCATCTTTTAGCATTTCTAAACTTCACTCTAAATACTTTTCCAACTCAAATAGGCAAAATGTTAATTCTTGGAATAATTCAACTGGTCTCTCATGTTGTTCTCAGTTCACTTAGCGCCCTCTGCTGTCTGTTTAGTGTAGTGTTTCAGAGGTTTCAATAAAATCCTGGATCCCTACAGTGATTTTCAAAATTCCACCCAAAACGTTTTTAGTTATCTTGCAGACAAACCCTGGCAGATACATTACCCCCTGGTGGAAAGTAAAAAATATAAAGAGCCAAAAGTGGAACTTTTTTAAATAACATATTATGCGAATGTATATCTTGTGTCTTCAGTTCGTGTGTGTGGGATAACGACATCATTTAAGCGGTCATTTATTAGATACATGCACAGACATCGTCCTAGAGAAACCAGGTATGCAGATGTCGGGTTCAGGCTCCATGCATGTGTGGTTTTTACATGGTTAACTTACCAATTTTCAGGAGAAAGTGAAAAAGTCAAGACTCCACACACACCAACCACAGAGAACCTTCCAACCACCACACCAACCAGACAACCAATCACAGGCTAAGGTGGTTTGACCAGGTCAAATCTTCTATATATAATAAAATGTTCAATCAAAACAGTACAAAATACCATGAACTTTGTAGTTTAAAAACTCTGAAATTAAAAGTGTTCAGGATTTTTTCCCTTTAATACGTCATTTGAGCATTAAGCACACATTCCCCTATGCGGCTGTCTGCAAAATGTATGTGCATTCTTTTTTCATTGAATCTGCAGAATATGAAAGATCAGACAATTTCATTTGAAACAAGAAAACAAGAAAAGTAAAACCGTTCCATTCCTTTCCCTAATCAAGACGGTGATCTGAAACACCTTCATAATCATTTCATCATGAAAACATCTGGCCATACATATTTCATTGCAGATACAGTAACATCCATGACAGAGCAGGATGGGTCAAATACAGAGGACAATAAATTATAACTAAACCTTAATTCATGATGAGACATGGCCCAGAGGTTGTGTCTCTGACCACAGGATGTGGAATACACTGGACTCTGGTTCACTGGTCTCTACTGAAACATTGGGGAGCAAAGAGCAACTGAGAGTGAGGTTCTGGGATAGACTCTTTGAGCTCTTTTTCTAGAGTTTTATCTCTTATCACTAGAGTTTTGGGTGGAAGGGTAATTCAGTCATGTGACCCACCTGATGTAATCATTTGTAAACTTATTAGACTTTTTCAATTACATATTTATTTCAAGAATAATACTTGAGTGATGTACTTTGCTACAGACCACCTCAGCCCAGTCAGCACCAAACACAACCACAGTGATCAAGCTCACCTTCAGGTCTCTGTGTACTACCCCCATCTGATGGCAGTGGAGAACAGCCTCCAGGATCTGCTGGATGCAATGACTGCATGCAAACAGTAGGGGGAGCAGGTTAGTCTGAGCAACAGTCACATCCATGCAGAGGCAGCATATCTCAATCATATCCCACTTCTCACTGCAGTCACACTCATTCAGTCATCTCCACCTCTCCGCTGAAGAGAGTGAACCTGTCTGAGGGTGTCTATTTTTGAGCTTGTGCTAAATTCAGCATGAGAGAAAATGCCAACTGTTAGTCAGACAGCCAGTGTGGGAGTGGTGCCACTTCATGTAGGAGACACTGTGCTAACCTGTGTCCTGTGTGCTTATGTAGAGGACAGGTCTGCACAGGTCTCATGCAAACTAAACCCCGTGGAACAAGAAGATCTGCAGACATGCTGCAGGCACAAGCACAACCACAGGCACGAGACAAGAGCGGGACACGGGGGTGACGCGGGGCCCACAAGGTGCAGAGCAGTGCAAGAATGAGGAACACACACCTTCAGGTCCCTGTGCACTATCTCATGTTGGTGTGTGTAAGACACACTGTCTAGAATCTGATGGATACAGTGACTGCAGAGACACAACAGTGAGCACTGCATCAGGACCAAAGACACACAACAGGACACACTGACAGCAGCTCCAGGTTAGGATGAGTTTACTCACACAATCATTACAGCTTATTCACACTGAAGACTAACTATAATCTGCTGAAAATCACTGAATCAAATACACACTCAATCAATATTCACTCAGTGTCAATGAATATTGAGTGAGATTATTTGAACAATAATTGAAAAATTAACACAAAATAGTGTTTATTTACCACACAGGGATTTTTTCAGTTACTAATTATTGTAATGAACCGTTTTGGTCAAAATAGAGCAAAATGTGAGGAGAGAGAAAGATGAATCCTGGGTGCAGATGGAGGATGCACAGTCTGGACATATATCAAGCTGTGGCTTCACACACCCACTCAGTGACACAGATGATTTAATCACACAAGAACACAAAAGCTGGCAATGGGACGACAAACAAAAGTGATGAGGGATACGTTTAAACAACTCAACTAAATTAATGAAGTAAAAGAGTAGAAAAGAAGAGCTCATCTCAATACAATCATAAACATACAGTGAGTAGCAAAGAGCATTATCCTAGAGCTACATTAAGTAAAGAGCGGCCTCAAAGATCATTCACTTTTGATCAAATGAAAATAAACATAATTGATACAGTCATGTGTCCAGTTCCAAAAAATATATAATCCTGAAAAGTAACTAAGTTATGTTCATCTTTAAATGTTTCCTTTGAATAAACTTGTTCCCTCTCTCTTCTCATGTGTATCCCTCAGTCTTTCACCCGAGGTCTGTGCGGTGGGCGTCTGTGATCATCTATATTCGGTTTACATCTGTCTCTTGCACTCGAGCTGACTGGGATTGGAATTCATATCACGAGAGAAAATGCTGCATTGAGGTGTTTCCCTCAGTCTTGTGTATGACAACATTGTTGTTGTGTGTTTGTTGCTTTTCCTCTCAGTCGATGTGTTTACCTGGCGTCTGCTTCACTGTAGTACTCTCTGGCAACAATGTCTTCAAACAGCTCTCCTCCTGTCACCCTGCACACCACAAAGACACACACAACACACAAAGTCATGTCCAGAAGCATGTGGCGCAGCAGACACACACACACGTACAAACGCACTCTCACACACCTATGCGCATACACAGACACACACGTACAAATACACTCTCATGCGCACAAACGAACAAACACTCTCACACACACATGCGCACACACTTACAAACACACACACTCAAATGCGGATACACATACATACAAACAATGCATGTACACAAACGCACAAACACACACGCAAACACATGCACGCACAGGTATACACACAATCATACGCACAATGCACGTAAACACACGCACAAACACCCACACACACACATAAACACACACGCGTACACACACACGCGCACACACGTAAGTACACATTCGCACACACATATACACACAAACACACACACGTAAACACACACCCACAAACACACACGTATACACACACCCACAAGTACACAGGCGCACACAGGAGGGGGATGTCCTCATTAGGGGAAACCCCGGCTGCAGGATTCTCTCTGACTGGGTTGCCATGGAGACTGGCTCTGGAGCGGGGGAGTGGGCTTTTAAGAGCCGCAATGAAGGGGGCAAACGGGGCTGTTATGTAATGTAAGGGACAATTTATCAGTGAAAAGTAATGGAGGAAATACGCCAAAACATGCAGGAAAGAAGAGGAGCCATATTGGAGGCAGGGAGGAGAGGGAAATACCAGACTCGGACAAGAAGGCAAGAAACAGCATTTAGAATCGGCCAGGTCTGTTTGCTCCTCAAATAGTTTGTATGCAGCGGTTGAGATCAGGCGCCAAGCAAATAATTACAGATCTCCACTGCAAAAAGTTATTAAAAAAATAAGTCAAAAATTGCTCAAATTTGGCTAGATGCATCTTAATTTGAGCACATTTTGACTGCCATAAAACAAGATTTGCCGATGAGACACGCAAAATGTTTTAAAAAGATACAAGAAATGTCTCCCTTGGAATGAGGAAATAAAGCAACAGTTCTTGAAATAACTATGAGCATTGGTGGCAGCTCTGATTGCCTCCCCCCCAACACCCCCCAACCCAGAAATAGACCAATAATGGGGTAGAAAAGGAAGGAATGAATGAAGGAATTATTGAAATGAGACTGAACAGCTTGTCCCATTGACAGGTCTTGTTTTAAGGCTACACCAAGATAAAAACTGCCCTCATATTTCATCATTTTTGTGGTGCTTCTATTGTATTGTGTTTGCATTCCTTTCAAATATATCAAGTCAAAATTCAAAAGATTCGTTTTCCCATCGATTTGACATAAACACGCCTCTCTATCACACCCATGGGACGACATTTGGAATTGAGAAGAAGCCGTTACAATGGGTTTAACCTTGGCAGTTCAGGGAAATTCTCCATCATGATAAAGACAGACGAGAAAGAGTTGTTAAAGCCACTCACAGGTCAAAGAGGAGATAGTGGAAACCTTCTTCTGAGATACTGTCATGGAGGCGAACTGAGCAAAGGCAAGAAACACATGAGACAAACAGCAATGGGAGAAGTGTGTTAACGTGTGTGTGTGTGTGTGTGTGTAAATGTAACAACTGAAGCTCAGCCACTCACACCGCGCAGGACGAACATTTATGCAACTCCGGCAATAAATGATCTGTGAATGTATTTATAGAAAAAGTTGTGGCAGTTGGCTCGGATTTGACACCATCTATGAAAAGATGTTACGTTGTGTCGTTATGTGTCCTACATTTTTGGCATTTTCCGATCAAAATGTGTATGTGGCCACAGAGATTTGTGTTGTAATTGTAATGCCTTTCTTCAACCAGTAGGAGCGCTATACTGTCCCCTCTGATCTTTTTTCTTTTGTTGGCTGCATGGGATTTTAATCTGTAGCACTTTGAGGTCTCATGGAAATGTAAAATGTATTTGATTTTATTATTATTATTATTATTATAATTAAAGCAACACTGTGAACCTTTCTGATTGTAGTGGGAGAAATGCATGATTCCATTTCATGATTATTAGATAGATAGTTAAAACCACAATTCAAGCCAAACTTTCATCCAAAGAACCATAAAATATGCAATTTGAGAAGCCTGTTTTTATGCTTTTTCACTGCAATAAAACATCCAAAAATAATGTTATGTTTGGCCATAAAGTTCCACTGTGCAGCCCTAAGTATAGACTGAGCAACATGTTACAGATGCACACCACTGCTATCTCAAACAAGCGGTTTACTTCAATATAGCCCCGTTTCCACCAGCCCTACTCTACTCGGCTCTACTCGGGTTGCGTTTGCATTAGACTGTAGTATCTGGTACTGTATCCTGGCAACCTAGGCACAACAAACCAGAATCTGGGGAAATTCCTCCGTCAGTTAGACCACTTTAGTACCAGCTCGGCCAGGTTAGAACCAGGGTAGAGTAGAGGAGAGTAAAGTAGAGTAGAGTAGAGTAGAGCAGAGCCGAGCTGGGCTGGTGGGAACACGACTCCTAACTCGAAGTTTTCTTACCAATATTTGAATGCTTGAGTAATCTGCAGATCCTCGCCTCTCTCTCCAGTTTCTGATGGTCTGCAACAGTTAAAACAGCCTCTTAAACCATAACCGCAGTTTCAGATGTAAAGCAAATGTTGTTGGTGAGTTTCCTCCGTGTACGAACAAATGTATGTTATTTTGTTCAATAAAATAAAGTTGTATGCAAGTTCTGAGATAAACATCTTAGTAGTTAACACTTATGGACAGTGGTCACCCGGCTAACTATGGACCAATGGCTTCTATATATATATGTGTGTTATTCTTACATTCACTGCAAAAAGTGGCTCCAAAAGAACAAGACAAAATAGCTACTATTAGAGAAAAAGGACATGTTTCAAGCTAATTTATCTGCCAGTGGATCATGATTTCTTTCCACTAAAATGACAAGTAATATTATGTCAAGTATCTCCAGCCTGCATGAGTAAAAAAGTCCAAAAAACTGTGTGATTAGAAAAAAATACACTGAAATCAAGTGAACTACACAAATCTATATCTTCTAGTTTCTGTGATTCCTGCGCTTGATTCTCTGATCTGTTGTTGGTGAATCGACAACTCTGTAAAGTCCTCCGCGATAACTTCTGTTGAGATTTAGGGCTACACAAAAATAATTAGAATTGAGGTGAATTAAGTAGTCCCTTGAAACCATTTTTCACCAAGGCGCTGGTTCTCGGCTTGTCTCCAGGGGAAGACCTTTCTGATTCCACTCACTGTAATGTGTTTTATTTTTTGTACACATGACATCTTGCTGTAGTTAAACTGATGCAAGTCTATTTTGAGTTTCAGCGTTTGGTGCATTTGATACCTCCGAGCAGAGACCGAGCACAACAAGTGGGTGGGATATTGGATAACTGGTCCCAGTTTAGACACAGAGCATTTGTCCATTATTACAATTGGATTTAAATTGGCACAACGGTTAGAGCTTGTGTTTCACAGCAAGAAGGTCCTGGGTTTTGATTCCACCTCCTGGCCTTTCTGTGTGGAGTTTGCATGTTCTCCCTGTGTCTGCGTAGGTTTTCTCAGGGTACAATAGGTCTGAATGTAAGTGTTGGTGTGTGGGGGCTTTGATGCCAGTGTGCCCTGCGTCTCGCTTCTGTCATCAAAATATCTTAATTCTTAACATCGTAAAGTGCTTTGGGTGACCTCGGCTTGTAAAAACACGCAATATAAATAAATATTTCTTACTTACTTGATTGGTAACAAAAGCAATCTTTGGCTATTTCTGGGATTGTTACAAACAGGTAAATATTGCAACACTGTCAAAACATGTCGTGGATTTGAGCTGTGCCTTTGAAGCTTGCATCATTTCTACTTGTTTTGTAGAGTATATTTAGTAGAATACAAGTACAATGGAGGGAAATCGTCACCTGCTCTGAATAGAACAGACGGCAAGGCTACACACGCTCAAATCAAACACTTGCTAAAATATGCTAATGCGACTTCAAAACTGGGACGTACACATAGATAGCAAAATGAAAATAAATCCCCAGATGCCTTTGCTTTTGCTTTTCAAATACATGCAGTTGTTGTGCTTTGGGCGTATACCTCTGTGCTTATCTTTCTCACCTCTGTTGGAAAGCTTTTTGGTGTTGATGATTTTTGCAGCATACTCTTGTCCTGTGCAGAGTTTTACACAGCGACGCACCACTGAAAAGGCCCCCCTGGGAGAAAGACATCAGACAGGACCAAGAAGATGGGTCAAGTGCCAGATAAGCTTTGTCAGCATCAAAACATGGAATCTCAGCTATCAGAGCGACCTCAAAAATCGGCAGTCTTGACAGCCATTGAAGCTTAAAAGTCACACAAACGCAAATATAACCTTTACAATTGCATGGTTTTGGAATTCACCAATAAGATACAGAACAAACCCCAACTTCCACTCACCCAAGAATCTTAAAATTCACCAGTGACACCACATTAAGCACTTTATAAAACCGTAGAATAGCAGAATGACAACAGATACCCACCATTTTGGACAAATACATAGTATAGAGAGTGTCTATATAATACTTACATACATATACATACATATTACGTTTGATAATTGAGCTCTGGGGAACCCCCGCCCCCTGGAAAAAAATCTAGGAATTAGTTAAAAGGAAAAGGGATTGCACCGTGCGCTGTAATTAAGCCATAGCCACTTGAGGGGAGGACAGTGCATCTCCAAAAACAAAGGCATTGGTGCTAATAACAGTTTTGTAATCACACATCTGCATAGCCCTCATAGATCACAATACACTCAATGCACAAAGACTATTTGTGGAGACAGCTGCAATTAACGAGCTTAACTTATTGCATGTCTCCATCAACGTTTCGGGCAGACGATTATGAACTGTCTTGGCAAATGAGGATCTGTGAAGAGAAGTGCATTTGGAGACTGTTCCTGTGAGGCAGACATTGCAGAGAAATCCTCCTCACAGCCCACGCACAACCTGACATTAAGCATCACTAACATCTCTGAGGAATAAATCACTGCCTATTTATGGTGGACCTTGAAGACCAGAAGACACATCCTTTAGATTACTGACAGATGTAGACAAGGCTGTATTTCCACTTCAACTGTAAGAACTGGTGCATTCACATTGGCATATGATGAGGCAGCGAAATTCACAATCATCTAATAATAATTTGTCCCTAATGGGCGTTTGTGCGCATTTAAGTCCACTCTAACTATACCCCTAGCATTGCCAATATAGTACAACGCAACTTTGAGACTAAATTGCACGGAGAGACTTGATGCCAGCGTCTCTGTAGTCTTATAAAAAGTGCGGGAAAGTGTTAAGTTTGTAAGCCGGGACTCGAGCATCTTTCTTCGGGCATCACACCGCCCGCCTGTCCCTCTGCAGCAGCATGCAAAGACGTGACAAAAAGTGCGGACGGCTTACTTGCCCAGCTCCTCGTACAGCTGGAACTCATCCGTGAAGCGTGTACAGGTAGTCGTGGCCATGATGTTCGCCCGGAGAGTGCAGCTTTCCGAGACCAAAATGCACGATGCTGCAGAGACACGGGGGGGATCTCAAAACTCAGTCCCCGCCCACCCCTGAGCAGCCTCTTCTGAGCCCGGCACGTGCTGCTGATGCTGCTGCTGCTGCTGATGCTACTGATGCTACTGCTGCTGCTGATGATGCTGATGATGCTGATGCTGAGCAATGGTGGTCATGGAAATATTGTTAAGGCACAGATCTAAGGTTAGGTAAGGCAAAGCTGAAACACCCAATGACCCTCATATAGAGTATTGTGAACACAGCATTGGAATAAAAATTAAACAATAAATTATGTTAAGTATTAGAACTTATTTGAACTACTTTATACTTGTAAGAAAGAGCCATGACAGTCACTATTTGACCCTTTGGGCTGAGAGCTGGCTCGCAGTCATGGGTGTTTGGAGAAGCTGTTATAAAGCTGTATTCATGGCAATAATAGTTAGATAGATATATAGTTTATTGATCCCTGTAGGAGAAATTCAGGTGTCCAGAAGAAGTAGAAACTGGTATTGTTAGTATTTGCACGTTTCTAAGTTTGGTGTATTTCTGTATTTATTTTCTTCTTATTGGATGGAAAAAATAGCTCCAGTGCAGGGGACACATATCCAGATGTTGATGCTCCGCTTGCCCCGGGCTGTGAACCACCCAGGCTGGGCAGGGATATGGTTGAGGGGACTAACACTTTAATGTAAAATAAACATGACAGAATAACTGAGAAAAACTGATGGTCATTATTATTATTTTATTATTTTAGAACAAATTGGTTTATTTATTGGTAATATTCTTTATTTAACATGGCTGCATTTTAATAGCATTTGCCATTTTCATGATGATCCAGTGGAGTGAATAGCCTCCTATGGGTGTAACATTTTTTGGAGCAGTATTTTGGAAAGTGGGCCTTTTATTTTTATCTTTGGTTGGTAATCAGCACCAACAGTTTGTGTTCACTTTGATTGAAAATGTGTGGCCACCTCATTCATTGCCCAAGTTTTTAAGGAAGTTTTGGAACAATTTTATACTCAGCTTTTTAACAAGAAGGTCCTGGGTTGGAATCCCAGTCGGAACACAGCCTGTATTCCTTGTGTCCTACCACTAAAATACAGGTGCAATAGATAAAATCCTCCAGCTCTGGTACAAACCAAGTTGAGCAACAACATCTGGAGAAGGGCCCTGGGAACTGTATTAAAGCAACCACTGCTCCTAACAGAGGCACTAGCAGCAGGATGGGTCAAATACACAAGATCCATGTTCCTACGGGGAGAATAAAGTAAAACATAACTTAAGTGTAAACTGAGTATATTGTGTTTGAATTACATTATATTTTTCCTTTTTTTCATTCAATGTAAATATTACTTTTTATACAAATCCTGTGGTTTCATGGACAAAACCATGCATGGAATTAGGCCAACATTATTTTAAATGCCTTAGATTAATCATCAAGGCCACGGAGCATCCAACATTTGTTCATTTTATTAAGCCACTATTTAAAACATCTGCCATCATTGCATCAAATGTGTATTGTTAGGGGAAAGACTTTAAGTTTTCTCCAGATATTTCCACTCACTAACTGTCTGTAGCCAGTGGTGTTATGAGTAAAGGACAATAATTTGATAATGCATAAATTAATCAATTTCCGGTTACACAATTGGCATCCATAAAAATTGCAGGTACTGTAAATTAGAAAAATGTAATACAGTAGCTTGGACGTGGCTAATCTCCCATAACACCTCCATAAATGCTCAGTATACAGAAATTATAATTTAGTCAGTTTTAACAAAAAATCTTTCAACAAACCAAAACAAGTTTAACAGAGTCTGTTTCACACACACAGACGTATGGTTTTCAGTCCCTTTCTGGTCTGAACTCAGAACTGCACTGCGCTGGACGGGATGTCGAACATGGAGGGGTCGAACTGCTGGCCTCTGAACGGCGATCCGTCAGCCTCCCAACCTTTCTTTAACATCTCGTGAACTTTCTACGAAGACAAAGATTATTTTTAACAAACCATCTCTGCTGAAGTGAGGTCTAGAAGTCTATAAATATGGGGTTTGTTTGTCCTCACCAGTTCGTGACTCTGTGGTTTCCCTTGTAGTTTCTGGTGGTAGTCAAACGTGAGTCTGTCTAAAACGGCGTGCTCTTCCTCGTCAACCGTTGCCATCGATCTCTCGCGGTTAATCTTGTCGATGTCGATTTCCTGTTCTCCTTTCAGCACAGCGTTCCACCACCAAATGTCGGACGTTTTATTAAGTGACAGCTGCGCAAAAACAGAAGCTTGTAAACTTTAAGACAAATGCACGGACAGACACACTGTGCTACTTGTAATCACTCACAACTACACAATTTCCAGGCTCCAAGCTCCACAGCGAGTTTTCAGTGTTGATTTTGTGAGTGAATTCTCCTTCTATCAATGTTTTCTGCTCAGCTCCATCTTTGACACTCACACAGACGCTGCCGCTCTGCAGGTTTACTGACACCTTGGGTTCAAACAGATAATGAACAAAAACAACTCTAATGTTGTAATCTGCAGACACACAACAGTCTGTATTACCTGTCGACCCTTCACAACTGTTTTTGGCACAAACACACGCACTTCCACATCAGTAGCGTCCTGAGACCAGCTGTAGTTTTCTCTTACTGCCCCATTATAACTGTCCGGATCAGACTGGTAATTCTTAGTCCTGAAACATAAAAACAATATGTTATTCATTAGTACGAGGGTTTTCCCTCCACACATGGTGAGGACAGAAGCAGGAGCACAGGCGGCACCATCAGAGCCTCTGATGACCAGGATACGTTCTCTCACACATTCAGTCCTATTGTATCCTAAAACAGACCTATCTGTATTAGTGGTAAAGGAAACCGGAGCACCCGGAGGAAACCCTACGCAGACACAGTGAGAACATGCAAAGTACACTGCACATTGTACATTGCATCCATGTGATCTGCATTTTTTGTTTTTTGTTTGTTTGTTACACACAACATTAAATGCAGTTAGTTACAGTTGTAACTACAGTCTGTGGGGTTTTTTACCTGTGTGTAATCAAGTCTCCGTATAAATGCACCTGCTCTTTGATAGCCTCAAGGTTCTGTTTAAAGCGCAGAGAGAACCATGAAGACAAAGGAACACACCAGGCAGGTCCGAGATACTGTTGTGGAGAAGTTTAAAGCCAGATTTGGATACAAAAAGATTTCCCAAGCTTTAAACATCTCAAGGAGCACTGTGCAAGCAATTATATTGAAATGGAAGGAGTATCAGACCACTGCAAATCTACCAATACCCGGCTGTCCCTCCAAACTTTCATCTCAAACAAGGAGAAGACTGATCAGAGATGCAGCCAAGAGGCCCATGATCACTCTGGATGAACAGCAGATAACTACAGCTGAGGTGGGAGAGTCTGTTCATAGGACAACAATCAGCCATGCACTGCACAAATCTGGCCTTTATGGAAGAGTGGCAAGAAGAAAGCCATTTCTCAAAGATATCCATAAAAAGTCTCGTTTAAAGTTTGCCACAAGCCACCTGGGAGACACACCAAACATGTCAAAGAAGGTGCTCTGGTCAGATGAAACCAAAATCGAACTTTTTGGCCACAATACAAAACGATATGTTTGGCGTAAAAGCAACACAGCTCATCACCCTGAACACACCATCCCCACTGTCAAACATGGTGGTGGCAGCATCATGGTTTGGGCCTGCTTTTCTTCAGCAGGGACAGGGAAGATGGCTAAAATTGATGGGAAGATGGATGGAGCCAAATACAGGACCATTCTGGAAGAAAACCTGTTGGAGTCTGCAAAAGACCTGAGATTGGGATGGAGATTTATCTTCCAACAGGACAATGATCCAAAACATAAAGCCAATTCCACAATGGAATGGTTCACAAATAGACGTATCCAGGTGTTAGAATGGCCAAGTCAAAGTCCAGACCTGAATCCAATCGAGAATCTGTGGAAAGAGCTGAAGACTGCTGTTCACAAACGCTCTCCATCCAACCTCACTGAGCTCGAGCTGTTTTGCAAGGAAGAATGGGCAAGAATTCCAGTCTCTCGATGTGCAAAACTGATAGAGACATTCCCCAAGCAACTTGCAGCTGTAATTGCAGCAAAAGGTGGCGCTACAAAGTATTAGCGCAAGGGGGCCGAAAAATATTGCACGCCCCACTTTTCAGTTTTTTATTTGTTAAAAAAGCGAAATGTTGAAAGGTTCAAGGGGGCCGAATACTTTCGCAAGGTACTGTACATACATACATCCATATTCATACATACACGCATATACATACACCCTTGCATATATATACACATGTTTATATATCTTCGGAACCCACCTTCATACATATCAGCACCTGACCAATACTCATGTTATGTGGTTTAGAAAGGCAGATTTTTGTGTGTCCTTAACCAGCTGCTACAAAGTAAATAAAATGTGACCATATTTTAAGGAAGAGGTCTTGCTGTTGGTGCAGCCTAAGGATCACTTTTTTGTAGCTTGCAGCTTTTCTCATCCATTCCAGCCATTTGTCGATAGATGAAGGAATTGTGGATTTCCAGTCACCGGGTTATAATCCGACATCCTGTGATCACAGCAATCCTGCACCATCGCGATTGTTCAGAGGACAGTTAGTCTGCAGGAACCAATCCGAGCAGGCACAGTTCAGGATTATTGACCAGTTTGACTTTAAACAGATTGTTGATAAGGTTAATAATATGTTTCCATAAGCTTAAAACATTATCGCATTCATAAAGCATGTAAATCAGAGTTCCATTACATTTCTTGCATCGCCAGCATTTATTGTCATCAATTAAGTTTAGCCGAGCCATTCTGCTAGGAGTCCAATAGCATCTATTTAAGATATTGTACTTTATCAATTGCATTTGAGTTTCACGGGATGTAAGATACCAATTAGTGATAATAGTTTACCATTGCTCTTGCTCTATAGCAGCCCCTACTTGCACCTCCCATGTAATTTTCAAGCTACTTTTGATTTGGTGCGTTAGCATTTCTAAGAATACAATAGAAAGCTGATGGGTCACCTTTTTTGAGAGATGCAGTCTTTAACAACTTTTGAATAGATGATTATTAGGGCTTAGGTTCACAGCAGAATGTAGGCAGTGTCTAAGCTGCAGGTATTTCCAGAACTCTTGGTTGGAAATTTTATATTGCTTCTTCAATTGCTCAAACTCTACTATGTGGCCATTCCTGTATAGATCCCCCAAGTGGAGAATTCAGGTCACTGCCCATTCTTTCCAGTATATTGGTTTCTTATCAATAATAATTTTGGAGTTGAACCATATAGAGCTGTCCAATGTTAATGCGGGATTGATTTTTAGAATTCTATGTGCTTTTGTCCAGCTCTGTTTGGTGAACTCCGATATTGGGTTGTTTAGAGGTGTAGATCTGCCAGATTGCGAAGCAAAAGTGCCAATTTTAAAAGGTTTCAATATTTCATTTTCAATATTTACCCATGCTGGATATTTATTTATGGACTGGTTACTTTTAGAGAGTTGAGCAAGTGAGAATGAATGCTGATACCATTCTATATTGGGAAGTGAGAGACCACCCTGTTCCTTAGCAGAATATCATTTAGTTCTATTAACTAAGGGCTTCTTCCCCCTCCAAACAAAATTTTCAACAGCTCGGTTATAGTCTTTTAGGACTGAGTTTGGGAGAGGAAGAGGCAGCATATACAATAGGTAATTTATTTTAGGAATTATGATCATTTTAATGAGGTTCATTCTACCAAGTAATGAAATATACATGTTGTTCCAGTTATCTAAGAGTAGTCTAATATTGTAAATTACTGATTTAAGGTTTAGATGCATCATATCCTCAATACTATTTGTGAGCTTAATTCATAGGTATACCGTTTAAATGGCCATTGGGTATTGGCCATGTTAGACCAGTTCATCTTGTATCCTGAAATTCTTGAGAAGTCGTTAATTAATGATATGACAAGTGTGGGCCTCAGTGGGGTATTGTAAAACCAAGAGAAGGTCATCAGCGTAGAGGAATATTATATGTTCCTCTTGGTCAGCTTGTACCCCTATTATGTTACGATTGTTCCTCATAGCGATGGCCAGTGGTTCCAGGGCAATAGCAAAGATAAGGGGAGAGAGCGGGCAGTCCTGCTTTGTACCGCGAAATAACTGATGCTGTGACGTTTTTGTGTAGTATTTTAATCCAAGCAAAGAATGACGGCTCAAATCTAAACTTTTGTAATGTATAGAATAAGTGATCTGCATATTAATGATAAATGCCCTAATGCATTCATAAATAAACATTCATTGACTCGAAAGAGAAGTGTAAGAAAAGCATTTGAACGGTTTGGTACGTACGGGTCCGACGGATCAGGAGCTTGTGCTTCAGCTGACTGCTCTGTAGGACTAGAACAGGACGGAGTTTCCTGCACTGGAGCAGCTGCTGCTGCAGAAGAAGAATCCTCTGGTTTTGAAGTTGGGTCTATTTGAGCCTCATCTGTGTTTGAATGTGACAATTCTGCAGGTGAATTTGAGGAGACTTCCAGTTCCTGAACGGCAGGAGGAACGGACCTGCTCTCCTCTCTTCTCTGAAGCTCATTCAGCTGCCTTTCTCGGTCACATTCTGCCATTTTCCCAAAATACTTGAATGTCTGAGTGTAAAAAGAAACAAAACAATGTTTAAAACCATGATAATTAACCAACACTTTAAGATAATAGTAATAATAAAAATATAAAAGCATAATTCAACCATAGCGACTGGCTTCTATCACTGCGCTGCAAAACGGAATGTTATAAGAGATCTTTTGTTCCTTTGGCTGTGAGACTGTACAACAGACATTAAACATGTGCACTTTATTACTATTGCTAGTAACTTAGAATTATGTATTCATTTATGTACAGATGGATCATGTATTTCTGCCACGGGACTCATGCAATTCTTCAGTGGGTGATCAATAAAGTATCTATACATCTATTATTATTATTACACTTCTATTTCAGAATAGAAAAGTGTTGAAAATAATGTTTACAACTAGTATAATAGGCAGCTATATGAAATACTCAACATTAAGGGTACAATAATTTACAAAAACGTAGGTCATTGTTTAACCAACAGCCAAAGCTTTCTTGTTTCAAGCCAAGTAGCAGCTTCAGAAAGCAGAATGGATCTCTCATTTGGGTTGCCAGATTCTTTGGTGAAATCCAGCAGGTTAACTCTCAGTACCTGCTGCACAGGATCGAACAGTGCTTGACGTGTAAAGCATGGTTTGGTTGTAATTGTAACGTTAGTCCAGAAGTAACGACCTTAGAGCACATTCCACATACGCTCCATAACAGTGCCTAGTTTGCAGTAATCACAGACATGCACGTTACCTTCAGCACCATTTTCTCGGCAACACCAGGAGGAAATCCCATTTTATCGGTGGGATTGGACATGAGGCGATAAAAGTCTGTTTTACGATACAAAAAGCCAAAGTAGACTTGTAGAAAGTCCTGTATGTTCCCCACATGCTGCAGTATGCCCAACAAGGCGTTATCGTACATCTCTGCCTTTTCAAACGAAGACGCCATAACACCAGCCAGACTTTAATGAGCTTTGGTAAACTAATGAAGAGATGTAATATGCTAATAAATATAAACAAATAGCTGCTTTACAAACTGCACTGGGGGTTGTTGTCTAAACCGAGCTTTTTCCGGTACAAAAGTCTTCTTCTTCTCGTGTTGTTTTATGGCAGTTGGCAAACAACTTTTGGTGCATTACTGCCACCTTCCGGAGTGGAGTGTGGGCCAGGATGGCCCCCACAGACAACAACTAGCTCCTAGCCTTAAATCCTACCTTCCAACCCAGATTTCTTCAGAAACTTAAACAATTCTTTTCTAACAACCTCTTTATCACAAACTTTCAATATATCCTTTACACAAAAAACAATTTTATGCCTTCTCAGTACTCGTTTAAATGGCTCCCTATACTCTCTATATCTGGGGCACTTAATAATGGCGTGTTCCACATTTTCCCTTGTCCTGCACACATCACAATTGCCTGTCTCATGCTTCCCTATTATTCTCAATGTATCATTTAGTCCTGTATGCCCTAATCTCAACCTTGACAATATATCTTCCTCCCTTCTATTTAGCGAACCCCAATCCTTCATCTTGAGCTCTGCTTCCTTTTGTATTTCATACAAAAATCTTCCTTTTAACCCCTCTTGCCACCTTTCTTGCCACTGCTCTCTCACTTTTACTTTTATTATGCTTTTGATTTCTGCTTTACTATACCTAATTGGAAAGTCAACCTCCCCTTTTTTTGCCCCTCCTTTTGCAAACATATCTGCCAACTCATTTCCCTCCACCCCTATGTGAGCTGGGACCCATACTAATGTCACCACTTTACCCTTCCTATATATTCTCTCTAAAGTGTGTCCTATCTCTACTACTATATCTGGTCTGGATCTCGAATTCATGTTTTTAATACTTACTACTGCACTACTTGAATCTGATGCTACTACACTTCTCTCTGGTCCACTTTCTTCCACCCATTCCAATGCTAATAGAATTGCTATAAGCTCACCTGTATATACTGCTAAATTGTCACTTATTCTCTTCTTTCCTACTACACCTAGTCCTGGGATGACAAAAGAAACTCCTATCCTCCCATCCTCTAACTTTGACGCATCCGTAAAAACCATTACTTGCTCCCCATATTTCCCTAGATATTTCTCTACTCCCTTACTTCCACACTTTCCTCTACCTAAAAGACCCAGATCAATGCTTACCTCTTTCATATTCCAAGGAGGGATAACTGAAAGTGGCACTGTTGGACTCACGTCTAATTGAAATATCTGTGCTTCCCTCGCTTCACTCTCACAGACCCATCCAAAGCTATTCACTTGTAGTTTGACTTTCTCTTGACAGGGTCTTAACACCTCCAACCCTGGATGACCTCTGCTGTACCCTCTGAGGTTAGCCCAGTAATTGAGCATTAGTTGCCTTCTTCGTAGTTCCAATGGCATCTCTGCCATCTCAACCTGCAAGGCTGCCACTGGAGTTGACGTCATTGCACCACTGCATATCCTTAAGGCTTGGCTCTGAACCACATCTAACTTCTTTAGATTACTTTTTGACGCAGAAGTAAACACCACACATCCATAGTCAATCACTGACCTAACAAGCGCAACATAGACCTTCTTAAGGCAGGCCCGGCTTGCTCCCCAATCCCGACCTCTCAAACATCTCATTATATTTAAAACTTTTTTGCTTTTCTCTACAATCTTTTGAATATGCCCCTTCCATGTCACTCTACTGTCAAACCATAATCCTAAATATTTAAACTCATTCACTACCTCCAATCTCTCCCCATACAGATTAATATTAACAACAGCCTTTTTCTTTCTCGTAAAACTCATTACTTTTGTTTTTGCAACAGAGAACCTAAATCCCCACTTTACAGACCACGATTCAACTTTCTGTATCGCTTCTTGAATCTTCCCCACTATATATTTTACATTCCTTCCTCGCTTCCATACTACTCCATCATCCGCGAACAGTGACACTCCAACAGACCCTTCAACATTACAAAAAATCTCATTTATCATTATGGAGAAGAACACTGGACTCACAATACTCCCTTGTGGCGTCCCATTGTCTACCTCATACCTTGCGCTTATCTCAGATCCTACTCGTACCAAAATCTTTCTCCCTGTTAGAAACTGTCTGACCCATCCAAGCATTTCCCCTCTTATTCCCATCTGACGCAACCTTATTATAAGCCCTTCCCGCCACATCATATCGTAGGCTTTTTCCACATCAAAAAACACTGCCACCACACTCTCCTTGTTAGCCTGGGCCTTTCTTATGTCATGCTCCAATAAAACTGCTGGATCTATTGTGCTCCTGCCCTTTCTAAACCCATACTGATGGTCTTTAAGCAACCTATTTTTTTCCACAAAGTATACTAATCTCTCATTGACCATTTTTCTCCATTAATTTGCAAACATGTGAGGTCAAGGCTATAGGCCTATAACTCTCGACCGCACTGGGGTCCTTACCTGGCTTACAAATTGGCACCACTACCGCTTCTTTCCACTGCTCTGGCAACACACTCTCTGCCCAGACTTTATTATACAATTTTAACAGCTTTTCCTTACTACGATTACTAAGATTCTTTAACATACAGTAGCTAATATCGTCCCCCCCTGGGGACGTCTTCCCACATTTATTTAACGCACCATTTAGTTCAAACATTGAAAACTCCACATTGATCACATCATTATAACTCTGTGCATGCTCTAAGCCACCTGCGTGTTTTAATACTGTCCGCTCTCTTTCTCTCCTTTCCTCTATGCTTAAATTTTCTGAGCTATGGACCCTTGCAAAATATTTAGCCAATTCTTCAGCTTTACCCTTATCCTCCATCACGATACGCTCCCCACTTTTCATCACAGGGTAGCTAAACACCCTACCCCTACCTGCCATCTTTCTAATTGTTCCCCAAACCTGGCTCATAGAAGTCTGTCTGTCCAGCGTGTCACAGTAACCCCTCCAATAGTTCTTCTTAGCTGCCCTGATCACTCTCCTGCCAACTGCCAACTTCCTCTTATAGTCCAGATAATTCTCCCAGTTTACATTATTTGCCAAAGCCTTGAAGGCTTTATTTCTCTCACGTATGGCTACAGTGCACTCTTCTGACCACCAGGGGACGATCTTCCTTTTCCTCCTCCCCTCCTTCTTTCTAACTGTCTGTTTTGCTGCATGAACTATTGCATTACACAAGCTACTATTAAACTCATCCACAGTAATATGACCATTAACATTTATCTTCTCAGTTTCTTCTTCACAAATGGTTTTGAACTTACCCCAGTCCACCTTGTCAAAACACCATTTACCTACCCCTCCAACAGCAGCTTCTTCAAAACTAAACCCTATCTGAATGACTAGTGGAAAATGGTCACTTCCTACCGTAGTTTCCTTATCCACCTTCCATGTGCAGTTCCCAGCAATACTCTCAGACACCAGTGTTAAGTCTAACGAGGACTCCTTCCCAGTCCTCGAATCAAATCTAGTTCCACTCCCATCATTCAGACATACAAGGCTCTTTATATCCAATAATTCTTCAACCACCAGTCCATTCGCATCATTAACCCCACTCCACAATGTACTATGTGCGTTAAAATCACCACAACACACCACCTTCCCTTCCATGTGCATCATAATCTCCTGCAGACCCTCCAGTGATAACCTTTTGCATGGATTATAGAAATTTACAACTATAATCTTACCTCCTCTCCCCCATACTTCTATAACTATACACTCAAGTGTTTCTCCCTTACTTACAACCCTATACTGAATCCCGCTTCTAACAAATATTGCACACCCACCACCATTTCCTCCATCCCGATCCCTTCTTACACATTCATACCCCCTAATAACAAAATCCAGTGAATCCTTAAGCCATGTCTCTTGCACACAGATAATATCCGGTTTTACTTGACTATTTTGCACATACGCCTTAAACTCCTGACCATTTGCAATTAAACTCCGAGCGTTCCACTGTATTAGATTCATTGCTTCTCAGCAATGCCTCCTCCTCCTCCCTTACTACCCACTTCCAGTCTCTTGTACACCTGCTCCCATGGTATTCCCTTCACCCCCAAGAACTTTTCGGCACCCTTCACGACAATCTTTACTTTTTCTGCTCTATGTTTAGTTTGATCAACGCAGTTAACCACATAGGCCAAAAACACAAGCCAGTCTCCCATATCTGGGCCTACACTCACCTCTCTTCTCAGCCCTACCTCTGCGGAACCTCCATTCCCCCGTGTTTGAACTGGAACCTTCTTCGCTGCCTCAGCATACGTGGTGTTATCTGCAACTTTGACTTTCTCAATTTCCACAGCCCTTTTCCTGACTTCACATCCCCCATATGAAGTGGTGTGTTGTCCCCCACAGTTACAGCACTTTATTTTGTCTTTTTCTTTACATTCTTCAATCCTATGCTCCCCTCCACACCTAGAACAGCGTTGTTTCCCTCTACACACCGCTGCTATGTGCCCATAGTGTTGGCACTTATAGCACCGGAGCGGGGGGAGGAACAAACTCTCTTACCGGGAAACTCAAACACCCCACTCTGATCTTTTCAGGAAGCACCTCATCACAAAACTCCACTAAAACAGACAGACTTTGGACCCTTTGGCCCTCACTCCTTCGCATCAGCCTTGTAACTGCTTTCACCCCTGCTCCAAAGCTATTTTTTAGTTTCTCAAGATCCTCGTCCAGAGGGACACCGGTTATCACCCCCCGCGCCCCCCTCCTTTCCCCGACTATCTTGCGCTCCCTAACCACCGTCTTACCTATACTTCCTAACTGCATCACCTCATCCTTTTGCGCTTCAGACTTGCACACAATTAATAAACACCCATCTCTCAAAATCTTTGCTAACTCCACTTCTCCCAACTTCTTTTTTATCTCCCTGGACAGCGCCAAAATCCCGACCTTTAAAGCCTCACTTTCACTCCCGAACTTAAGTATGACCTTAGGTTTGTTTGGTTCTCGAACTACTCTCTTACGCATCACTGACCTTCCTTCATCTGGACTAGAATCATCTAAACCACGCTTACTTCTCTGACTGCTCCTACCCCCCCTGTCCCCATCCCTACGTAATGATGGAAAGTCATCAAAGTTCATCAAATCATCCTCCTCCTCTGCCTGGGAGTCCATCCCGGCCCAGTCACAAACCAGATTATGCCAAACTGCCAGTATCGATGTTCTCTTTTATTATTTATCTTAGATTCAAACTTGCGTCCGCTCTCTCGTCCTCTTCCGACCCACAGGCTGAGTCTACGACCGTCCTCCTGCAAATCTCGCGAGAAAGCCGTCCCCCGGTACAAAAGTACTTCCGGTTTTAATATTTCAATATAAAACATCACGTTCTTCATTCGCGAAATTTCTTCACCATTGTAGGTAATAAACCGTTTGTATTGTATTTATTTTGTCATAAATGTTACTGTTTTTATTCATGTATTCAAGTGTACATTCATGTCTATATTTCTTAACCAAACAGGTTTACTCAAAACTACGAGGACGTTTTATTTTGAAAGTTGTCCAATCCCACCGCCAGACCAGACCTTCATGTGAAGATTTTCCCTTGATGCAGTTCCACTGACTGACTGTGGAAGGCAGCAATACGCCTAGCGGCGTCTAGCCTGCCGAAAACGCACACGAAGAAGAAGAAGAAGAAGCCAGACCAGACATGCACCATACACACACGCTCCTACATAACAGTGTATGGTTCCTGTTCGAGATTCTTCTGCATTAGCTCCCTGTTCACCTCGTATAACTATACAAGTAAAAGTGAAGAGCGTTATTATTTGAGTGTTTACCTGTATAATGAGCTTAGAAGCCAATAACTTGAAAGTCGTTATCTAAGGTTTTACAATCAGATTTGGTCAGTATGGCGATGCCCTTGAGTAGTGCGAGGTTGCTGGTAAGAAAATTGTCTGTCATTATACTGACATAAATTGGTTGTGAGTTCTAAAATGCAAACCATTCATTGTTCTGTTTTGGCACTACGCATAGCTACTTAACAAACAGGATATGTCTTGTTTCCAGACTGTTCTGTCTAAATTCTACCACGGAAACAGAAGCCTCCATGTCAGTGCTGTGTGCTTCAAGGTATCATTCCAATCACAAGCATTTGGTCCTAGACCTGCCACAGTTGATACCCCTGTAGTTATCTCTCTAACCTATTGTTTTTTATCCCACTTCAGAACAAAGCGGCTCGGATTCGTGTTGGGAAAGGAGACAGACCCTTAACTTATGAACAAGCTCTTCCTCCTCATCAAATTGGCCATAGGAAAGGCTGGCTGTCACACCACACTGGTAAGTTGACACAGATGTAGTGCAGTAAAAAAAAAAAAAAAGTTAATGCATTGAAATAAATTATTGTAAATGACTTTGCAGGTAACCTAAAAGGAGAGGCTGGAGCTGCAGAGCGTACAATTGAGGACGTTTTCATAAGGCGCTTCATGTTTGGCACTTTCCATGGCTGCCTTGCCAATGAGATCGTGATCAAAAGGCGTGGAAATGTGCTCATAGTGTGTGCTTTAATGTTGCAGAAACTACCCCCTCAGAAGTTTTATTTCTTGATTGGTTATTCAGAGTCACTACTGTCCCACTTTTATAAATGCCCTGTTAAATTAGAAATTCAAACTTTGCAGGACAGAGCAGTGTATAAATACATATAACTTAAGCTTTGCTCACAGTGTTGGGGAGAATACTGTTTTGAAAATGTATTAAGTTACAGATCACTGAATGGCTGATAAAGTACTGTATTTTGAAAACTTTGACGTTCAACTATTAGAATTAGAACAGTTTGTGTGTCTTTTAGATGAAAAAAAAGTTAATACAATCTTTCCAGACCAGGACTTGTTGAGGTGAATAGCATGAAACTGACTTACAACCCACACTGGAGAATTAAATTGAAAGTACAAACATGCCAAATTCATTCAGTGCACTTAGATATTTCACTTTTAAATAATTTACATTTATTCTTGAAATCATTCTGCACCCCACCACTCCAGCAATTACAGACAATAGAAAGTCAGCCTGCTGAATCAGGATAACCACAAGTCACTTCATAATTTGTATTAATTATAGTGCATTGCGGTTCCATTTACCCCACAAAAAGATTACTAAAATAGCAATTTGAATTTGTATAAAGGTTAAAGTGATGCAGTTTCTCTCCAACACCGTTTTTATACTTTGTTTTTATATATATGCACTAAAATATTGATGGATTTAATTTGTGAATAAATTCATACAATACCAATTATCTTCAATTTGATTTAATCACAGTGTAAATACATTCACATTTGGGGCACATAGACAGCCATCAGTACAAACAAGGCACTTAATGATTCCCTTTACCAGAGTTTTCCTAAAAAAACAAGTTTGGCATTCAACAAGAGGTAAAACATTTATCCTAGTGCATTCAATTAAAATTCTGAATCACGGGTCGGATGTAGTGAGATCCATAGCAACGGTTGAATTCTGGTTTGAGTGACTACATGTTGCTCAGGTTGGATATGAATGGACAAACATACAGGTACTAAATACTTTATAGTGGAGTGTGTTTCGATACTAAGCTCAAATGGACAGAATTCAACCTTTTGCTTAAAATCTACACAACCATTACAATAAAAGCCTTATTTTCTCCAATAAAAGTGCAATCATTTCAGCTAGTTTCAAAACAACATATTCTCAGACAGAAATATTTAGCAAATCTTTGGTTGCGTGTTTTAAATAACTTTAGGATTCATTTAGCCAATATTTAACAAAATAACAGACTTAAGGACTAAAGTAGTGGAACAGAGACATCAGATCCTCAGTGATTCCTAAAACGGGAGCGAAGTGGTTGGTCCCACCTCATGTTTTCATAGTCTCTGCAGCCTTTGTTCGCACACGACTGCAGCTTGATCAGTCGTTGGTTCATGGTTTGCAGAATGGTTGGGTCGATTTTTTTAGAAATATTCTCGAGTTGGTGGGGGTCCGCCGTTAGGTTGTACACTTCTACGAAAGACTGCAAATACAAAACACTTATAATAATTGTTCATGAAGTGATAAATGTGACTAGGGCTGGACGATTAATCGCAATCGAAACAAAAGTACATGTTTTTGGTCACAAATATATGATAACTAAGACTGCAATTATTTCAGTTCTTTGCAAACAAAAAAGGGATACAAAAAGTTTCATGTTTAGTTGTTGAGCAGGAGTATTCACACTCAAAGCTGCAGTTGCACCGGGCCAGATGAACGAAAGTGAGGCAACCAGTATGTGTCACCAATCATAACACATTCTGTGGGGAAAGTGCCTTGCCTAAGGACACACCAACAATTTGGCACTTCACAGCAGCACCACTGTGGCAACTGGTGTTCCTAGAGGCCCCCCAATCACAGTACTAACCAGGCCTTGTTCTGCTTAGCTTCTGAGCTCTAACGGGTCTAAATACGTTTTCAAATGGTGTATTAGGGTTAGGGGTAGGTAATTGCTTTTATAAATGTATTTCTCTATATATATTATTTTTTATATTGCGATTAGATATTCGTGCAGCCCTGAATGCGACAGTACTTGCCTCGCTGTCTGCAAACTCGCAGTACTGCAGGTCCTGGCCCGAGGTGAGGGACCGGACGCAGGCGTACGTGTTGTTGTAGGAATCCTCACACACACAATCAGGATAACATATCTGGAACACACCACATGCATCTCATCCACTCTACGCTCTTTGTGACTGACCCTTTGATCGGTCAATAACAGTGAAGAATTTATTTTGGAATACAACAGCAGTATTTTAGTTACAAGGTTGATTCATTATTCATTATGTCATCATTTGGTTTTACTGAGATTATACTGCTTTATGGTTATTGTGTTGGTGGTATGACAGTAGAATCATGTTGTTAATAAAAGTAAACCCTTTTTTAAAACCCTTAAATATATGAATGTATGTACCAGCCCCTGTATATGTGTGTTTCATTGCTCGCTCCCGGCTCCGATCCATACAGATTTTTGAGTACATTTTATATTCCTAGTGCTGACCTGTGCGTTTGCAACAATAACATTTCCCCGCTGCTCAAAACCTGAAACACAAAATTCTTCCAAATGACTTACAGACAATCCGGGTCCGAGTTTGGGACAAGCCGGATCTGTATTTGGATTTCCCTCTCCTGTATATTCCACAAGGAAATATGGTCGAGAAGTCCCATTACGCAATGATGGAGCCTGGAGCAGACACATTTATGAAAATTATTAGTATTATTAGTACTTTTTTAATTCCAAAACATTCAGAACTAAAAAGAACAACCATTTGGGAGAGAAACGATTGACCGTCCACATTCACCGTGGACAGATTCACTCCGGAAATGTCCATTATTGTCGGGGCAAGATCTATGTTTAGAACTGGAGCCTGCACCAGAAAATACAGTTCAAGTTGTTAGAAGTGAATCGTAAATGTAGAAATTGCCGTTTTAAGTCTTTCGCTACCTTCACTGTTATATTTGGTTTGATGCCTGGACCACGAACTAAGAGTGGAATCCTGATGTCAAACTCGTACAGCTGTCGTTTGTCGATCGGTAGAGAGAATTGACCTGGACCGGAAGCCTCATAGTTATCACACGGCAGAAAAAAAAACCCCAGACATTTGGTAAGTGCAGTGGACCAGACCTGTGTGATAGCCGTTGTCCGACGTGTAGAAGATGTATGTGTTGTTCAGCTCTTGTATGTCTTTGAGTTTTTTCACCAGTGACGCCACCATTTCATCCACAGATAACAACGTCTGCCACCTGCGAGAAATATCCTTAGTTTGCAATCAGAAGTGAAAGCCACATCCATGACATACCTCCGCCTATATGCATCATCCAAGTAGCTGAGTGAGGTGTTGGACATTGGGTTGCTGGCCTGACGCAGCAGCCAGTGCTTGTCCTAAAACATTTATAATATTAATTCACAGAAACAAGGACAGAATGTAATTAGTGCAGAGTCAGAGATGGATTGGTTACATGTACCCAAAGAACAAATGTGAGTTTATCAGAGTTGTTTTCGCACACCGTACACTCTCACTTGAGTAAAATTGAATTGAGCATCTCCAGATGCTGATACCTCCGCTTTGTCAGGTAAGTAAGCAAGTCCGTCCATCCATCCATCCATTTTCTACCCCTTAATCCATTTTTGGGTCGGGGGGGGGGGGGGGGGGGGTGACCAGAGCTGCACCCAGTACACATAGCACCAGCCCCTCACTGATCCTCCTGCAGGTGGTGAGTCCACAGGAGCCTTGATCTTTCAGTGGGGGCTCCAGGCAAAGTGGGGTTAAGTGTCTTGCCGAAGGACAACACGACAGCAGTCATCAGTGTGAGTTGGTGGAGGAGGTCTTATGGTGGGCTCAAACCCAAAACCTTCAGGCTCAAAGGCCAATGCTCTGTTCCGACAAGTTCTTGAACCAGAAACTTCTTGCTGAAAAGCGAGAGAGCTAACCATTATTTTACTCAGAGTATAGACTTGATTGTAACCTCTGTTTGTCTCTGGTCTCGCAATAAAGTACATCAGTGACATGTTAGTGCCATATGAACCAACTCAAACTCTGAGGAGCACAGGGACTGGCCTCCTGATGGTGCCCTGAGTAAGGACTAAACATTGGGAGGCAGCGTTTTCATATTTGCTGCTATAATATGAAATAGTATTATTGAAAATGTGAGACAGTCTTCTACTCTGACTATAATCAAATCCAAGATAAAAAACAGTTGTGCTTGGCTATGCGTAGAACTGGAGGGTGTTTATATAAACTACCACTAGTTTATTAAATATGTGAATCTATGCCTTTCCAATTGCCTTTTTAAAAACAAATTACAATCAAATCAAGTAAGTAATCTTTATTTATATACCGCCTTTTCACTGCAGATCTGAGTCTCAAAGCGGTTTACAATTGTTCATTTTTGGGCATTTGTCTCTCACTCCACACAGAGATGGGAGCGGGGTCGCCAGTACAGGAGGCGCATGCTAGAACTATTGGACATATTTTTAGTGGTAGGGGAAACCGGAGTACCCGGAGGAAACCTACGCAGACACGGGGAGAACATGCAAACTCCACTCAGAAAGGCCCTGGTCCAACTGGGATTCGAACCCAGGACCTTCTTGCTGAGAGGCGAGAGTGCTATCCACTCAGCCACCGTGCCGCCCATCATCAAATAATGAATCAGACAATACCTTCAGTCAGATTGTTTAATGTGAGTAATGGATGAGACTCTTTTGTACTTTTACAACTAAAACCACTGTGACAAAACCTAACGTGTTATTTCACTTACTTTTCCCAATTTGTCAAAACTGCCATCTCGAGGAGCTTTGACATCTACAAACTTCTTCTGGTACTGAGGAGCTGCTGTCCAGGGGGAATGAGGAGCAGGAGGAGAAAGCATCAGGAAGAACGGGTGCTGAGGACTCCTATTGTCCAGAAAGGCCAGAGATCGGTTTTTCTACAGAGAGATTAGGAACGGAAGCAGCCTTTAAACTACAACTTACATATTTAGGTCAAGTGCATTCAAATACTGTAATGTCGTGTGATGTGAATTATCCAATCAAGTGAGCCACCAATGTCCTTAGCCTAAACGTGGGGGAAGATCAAGTATATACAGTACAGACCAAAAGTTTGGACACACCTTCTCATTCAAAGAGTTTTTTTATTTTCACCCATCCATCCATCCATTTTCTTCCGCTTCATCCGTTGCCAGGTCGCGGGGGCAACAGTCTAAGCAAAGACGCCCAGACTTCCCTATCCACACACAATTCCTTCAGCTCGTACGGGGGGACCCCAAGGCGTTCCCAGGCCAGCTGAGAGACATAGTCCCTCCAGCGTGTCCTGTGTCTTCCCCGGGGCCTCGGGTAACTCCCGAACCCGGTGGTGGACACCGGCAGTAAGGGATGCCGTCAGGCTGAAGAAGGAGTCCTATCGAGCCATGATGGTTCGTGGGACTCCTGAGGCAGCTGTCCAGTACCGGCAGGCCAAGCGGGCCGCGGCCCCGGCCGGTGGAGAGTCCATAGAACATGACTATTGGTCGGCCTCGAAGAGATTCTGGCAAACCTCAGAAGGGGGAAGCAGTTCTTTGCCAACACCGTGTACGGTGCAGGTGGAGAGCTGCGTCAGACCTGTTCCCGGTGCATGTTGGCCTCTGCCAGGGCTGCCCTTTGTCACCGGTTCTGTTCACTGTCTTCATGGACAGAATTTCTAGGCACAGTCAGAGGGGGGCAAGAGGGGGTCCGGTTCAGGGACAACAAGATTCCATCTCTGCTGTTTGCGGACGATGTTGTCCTGTTGGCTCCAACGAACCAGGACCTGCAACATGCACTGGGACGGTTTGCAGCCGAGTGTGAAGCGGCTGGGATGAGAATCAGCACCTCCAAATCTGAGGCCATGGTGCTCGACCGAAAAATGGTGCCTTGCCCTCCCCCCAGGTGGAGAGGTCCTTCCTCAAGTGGAGGAGTTCCAAGTATCTCGGGTGACCTGAAATGGTCTTCCAACAGTCTTGAAGGAGTTCCCAGAGATGCTTAGCACTTGTTGGCCCTTTGACCTTCACTCTGTGGTCCAGCTCACCCCAAAACCATCTGGATTGGGTTCAGGTCCGGTGACTGTGGAGGCCAGGTCATCTGGCCCAGCACCCCATCACTCTCCTTAATGGTCAAACAGCCCTTACACAGTCTGGGTGTGAATCTACAGTCAATAGTCATGAAAAGAAAGGAAACTCATTGAATGAGAAAGTGTGTCCAAACTTTTGCCCTGTACTGTATGTATGATACATTTTCCTCTTCTCTGATCTTCTCCCACTTTCACAATTAAAGCGTATACATTTTTGCTTGTCTCAATATCTTAAAATTTACGGTCTATGGTCTCAACAGAACAAGTCTTGAGAACATTTTGTGAACAAATCAGACCACAACATGCCCTCTTTATCTTATTAAAAAACATGTTATCTTTGACATGCTAAGAGCTGATTGGCCGAGTAAGGGCTGGTACTCTTTTTCTTTTTTTTCCACTGCCAAAGCTGATCTGATCTGAAGATGTGACACAAACCAAAAATGCATCTTTATGCAACAAGTGATAGAGAGTTTTGAGAGCAATGAACTAGTTAGATGGATGTTATATTTTATAGTTTTGTAGTTAAAAGGTTAGGCACTATAGCTTCAAAGAAAGTAGATAGCTTTGAAATAGGAGAAAAATGAGACAATTTAATTTAAATCTTGAAGCAGTCATTTCAAGCCCTATATAGGGATTATAAAAAAAGCAGAGCCCCAAACTGAATTTGTGGAGGGCAAACTTTTTAGACATAGACTAATCAGAAGAAACCCAATGCAGGCACAGAATGGAAAGAATTCTAACTGTGTATTGTTCAGATAGAAATGTACAATGTTCATTCTAAATGAGCGTTGTACATTCATCGGGCTCAGCTGCTGATTCAGAACTTTCCCTGAACTTAACAAGTTTTATTTTTGCAATAAAATCTTACATAATTCCCTTTTAAAACGTCAGAGTACAGACAAACTCACAATAAGGTCGGTGAGGTAGTCCTTTTCATAGTTGTCGCCGTGAATTTCTTCTTTGCCGTTGACGGACAGAGTGTAGTTGTAGTATTGGGAATTTCCGACCTAAAGTGATGTAACATTCATAAAAATCTATTATCTGCGTGAAGTGACAGGATGCAGAGATGAAAATATGAAAATGTCTCACCAATGCGTGCCACTGGTCCCAACCCGGAGGGACATGGCCAACGTCTTTCCCATACTGTGAAACAAGCACACACAACCTTTCAGTGGAATGAGAATAACCATAAGGTACTTCACCGTGTTTGAGGCATCTGTACTTTTACTTCACTACTTTTTTAACTGGGAAAAAAATCTTATTAGCTCAGTTAACAAAAATGATTCCTTTTTTAGATCCTTTTATGTTAATGAAGCTGCAAAGTGCACAAAGCTCTCCATTCAAAATCTTCAGTGATTTAGAAAAAATATTGAACTTGTACGGTGCTGATCAGCCAAAAAATGTATACTTTTTTGATGGAGATTTTTTTGTCTGAATCCATTATGCTGTGGATAATAGTTAGTCTTTAAAAATTCCTTTGGGAATTTGTGAGAATATTGACTTCTGGAGCTCAAAGCAGCTCCATTTGGAACTTCCAGCACAAACATACAACTCTGCACCTCCAATCTAAATGCTCTAATCTCAAACCAGTTGTGATGTCATAGACCCCTATTACATCACACTCTCTGCCTTTTAAAACAGAATTATTGCCCCTAATTTAGTTTAGTCCATTAATCGGGTGGCTTTTTGCTCTTTACGTGGCTGTGTGACACATGTTACATTAGTTTCAACTTATTCTACAATATAATATCAGATTCTAAAACGTGAAATTACAAATAATATCATTATCATATTTATGGAAAAAAATTATGCACAATAGTTATTCTTTAATATTAATACAAACATGAGCTGCTGTGTTCCAGTCATTTCCCAGTGATAGTAATAATATAACATTTCACTCACATTGATAACACGTACTTTGTTGTGAACTACAAACCTCGTTCAAATATTTTCCAGCGAAGAATGTCTGGTAGTTCCGTTTGCTGAGGTAGAAGGGGAAGGCCACAGACTCGGGCCCTTTTTGCCACTGTTCACTGGAGCAGTTTCCGGACAGTGAATTATTCCTCACCGCATGGTTGTGTGGGTACTGTCCAGACAAAATACTGCTACGGCTCGGACAGCAAAGAGGCGTCACAGTGAACTGAAAAGCAAAGAATACAGAATCATAATTATTTGTATTGACATTGTAAGTAACACTAGGAATTGGCTTTGGTGAATGCCGCAAACAGGTTATAAGAAAAATAGATACAAAGGTATGCATAAAACATACGCACAACCAATTCAAATGTTACAAGAAGAAGCCAAGCAGGAACACTCACGGAATTGACAAATGTTGCTCCAGCTTCTCCTATTAGAGCTTTTGTTTGGGTCATCGGGTTCTGTGGGAAAACATGGTCATATCATGTTATATCAAAAGCATTTTTTGTGTGTTATTTTATCTTGATTGTTATTCTTAAAAATGTGATTCACATGAATCAACTGAAACTGTTGATATCTAACTTTTTAAGTGGCTTCTCAAATGCATGATGATCCCATACAATTACTTCTGCTGCAAAAAAAATAACCAAATTGCGAAATCAAATTTTTGTTTTATTTTGTGTTGTTGCTATATAAGATCAAATCTCATACATAAAAGAATGTGAGTGGCATTACCAACAGCTCAAACTAATATTTATCTAATGCAATAAAAACATGTCTCCAAATTCCTCTTAACCTTATCTCTCAACCAACTCTTGTGGGAAACACAGTGGTAAAGCACGAAATAGACTTACAACATCACTGCAGCATTACTACAGAGCATTAAGGTTGATGTAGCACATATGCAGCCACTTTAGTTGAAGCAAGATCTGGTCTCAGTGTGAAGTTTGAGTACCTGAGCTGAGCCTGATATAAATTACATTTTGGGTAACATCAATGCAATATTATTATTACATTGTTTTAGATCTGCTCACCATTCCTCCCAGCGTGACATCCTGATCATCGGTCAAAATGAGCACGATGTTACTGGGTTTATCGCACCTGACGCAGCAGGTGAGCAGAGACGTGACCAGAGACGTGACCAGAGCCAACCTCACAACACCGCGCTGCTTTCCCCTCGGAGGAGCCTCTGTCGCAGCCATCGGACTCCAACCACCCACTGTAATAAATGTCCACACTGTCTCCGGACAGGTCTGCGCAGCTGCTTAAGTTTCGTTTCATGTGCAGGATAGAACAGAGAGTACAAAGTTTTGAGGAAGTGCGTGCAACCAGTCATATGACCAAAGATCCATATGACTCTTCGAGCGAATAACGCGGAAGAGGAAGTAGTCAGCTGATCCCGACCATAGATACAAATCGATACAAATATATACGATTGAATCTAATATATAATCCAACATATTATACTTCCATGATCCTGAGCCATAGATGCTACTAAATGGGCACCAATTACATTATTACACACTTATATCAGTAAAAGCTATGCCCTAATGTGCGTAGTTTAGTTGGTTTGTTAGACAAAATATGGTTGTTGGTTCTGAATGCTGGTCTCTTGTTTTTGCATTCAGACTGTATAGATCTGCTTAAGATTTAGATTTAGGGTTTAATAATACGGGCATGGCATGTTCCAGTCAAATGCCTCCCTCTAGTGGGCAAAGTTTTGCTCTTCACAAATATATAGTTTTTGCGTAAACAGGGTAGATATTGACGATGAAGACATCCATTAAATGTAATAAATAGATACGAAATAGTTATCATATTGAAAACATTATTATTGGGCAAAAAGTAGTCTGAGCTGAATATATATTATGTTTCCAGTCGGAAGTATTTTGGTGAGACACTGGCTCCTTCAAGTAGCATCATGAGTAGCATACAAAGCACAGTTCTATTATTATGTGTACGATCCATGGATGTATTATATTAACGGTACGATCTTTATTTTATTCTCAAAGTTTTAATTATTCGTTTTAGATGTTTTTTTTTAGCTCATGGCTGTAAATGATGGTTCCTGTGAAGCGAAGAAAACTGTCTCTTCCTGTACCTGAACCAGAGACTATAGTAAAGTTTCCACATATAGTTATATTTTTAATAGAGCGGAAAATGGGAGCAAGTCGACGAACTTTTCTTTCCCAACTTGGCCGGAAAAATGGCTTTCAAATAGAAGATAATTTCAGGTAAAAACACAAAAAAAAAAACAATTGAATCAGTTATTTTGAGTAAGATTAAGAGATTTTGATTCGTCCCACAGTTGGTAAATGTCAGTCTTGCGTCATAAGATGTCTGACGGCAGTAGGAATGAATCCATCATTGCTCCCTCGTTGGATTGTGTTTTAAGACGCATTTTCACTCTCTGCCTTTTGTGTGGTCCTCTGTTTTATTTACTATATGTATTTCATTGTTTTTAGTTTCACTTTTATTTTTAAATTGGATAATTGGTATTTTGATGTTTTTATTACTTTTTTTTTTTTTACTGCGTAAATGCATCTTTTACTTATTCTATTTGGTTTATTTTTTATCATTTTCAAACATATGAAGCTGGCAAACCTGTATATTTAAATGTGTTTCTTTTATCTCTGTGCAGCACTTTAGAAACTTGTTTTATAGAATGTGCTATATGAATAAAGTAGATTGGATTGGTTTGTTTTTGTCTGACACCAGCCTTGTGTTTGTCCACAGTGCTGGTGTCACTCATGTCATCTCTGAAAACAACTCTGGGGATGAGGTGAGGATGTGGCTGGACTTGCAGCCAAAAGGACAAACTAAAGCGACTGTAAAACTTCTGGACATAAGCTGGTTCACTGAGAGCATGCGTGCCGGCCGCCCTGTGGAGATACTGGACAAGCATGAATTGCAGGTGTTGGATGTGCTTATTGTTATTATTGGTTATTTTAGAATATTTCTTCAAATTAATGTATGGATATTACTGTTTTATGTTTCAGGTAGTGCTACCAGATAAAGAACAGTTTTTGATGCCAAGTTATGCCTGTCAGAGACTAACCCCATTGGAAAGCCATAACAACAAGTTCACTGTCTGTTTGCTTCAGTCAATAATTAGTTCTAAATTATTAATATTGAGTTATTATGTTGATTTATTGTTTTAGGAAGCTCTGTCCCTTTTGGCAGAAAACGCAGAGCTTAATAACGAGGAGGGCCGAGCTGTTGCCTTTCGACGAGCTGCAGCAGTTTTGAAAGCACTCCCTGTGATGGTCACGTCTGCAACTCAGCTCCGAGGGCTGCCCTGTCTGGGAGAGCACTCACAGAGGGTCATCAAGGTAATCACAAGTCTTTAGCAACAAGGACCTGATAACAGAAGCTTATCTGAATCTGTACACACAGGACATTATTGAGAATGGAGTATCAAATGAAGTAGAATCAACTATGCACTCTGAGCGTTTCAAAGCACTGAAGGTAAGACTGCACCATAGAGGGTATGTAACGAGTGGACTGACTGAGCTCTGACATTACCATAGTATTTGCTGAAAGCAGAAGAAGCCGATTTGAACATAAGCTAGCTGGAGCCAGTTTCTTTAAATGGGCATTTGTTCTAACAACATTAGCTTTGCTAAGGCAAGCTGGAGTTCACCCTGCGATTTAAGGCATCTGATTAAATGGCTCATATCTGGAAGACGATATCAAACAAACTGTTACTGAGCTAGAGGAGTTAACTTTTCAGTGTAAGTCATTAGGAGCCAGAGCGAATAGGAGCACAGCTTATTCCATGAGCACTTCCCTATTGGGCTTTTTTAACTGGGTTTGCAGCATCCATCTCTATGAACAGCTCTTGCTAACTTTACTCATGTATACATTCTTTTTTTTAATGCCCTGTCCTATTTAAGACAACAGTTGTCTCTGAGAACTTTGCAAAATTGGCAATTTGCAGACAAGAGATTAGAGAATCAAACCACTAGAACACAGGAAATGCTTTGCCATTGGTCCATAACCAGTGTCTGTACATCTTCTCAATAACATGTCTTTTATTTCAGCTTTTAACTGGCATTTTTGGAGTTGGGGCAAAAACTGCTGACCGATGGTTTAAGGAGGGGATTCAAAGCCTCACTCAATTGGTTCATTCAGGACATGAGCTAAATCCTGCCCAACAAGCAGGTACGTTTTCATTATAAAGCCATACACTCACATATTTTCATTATCTATCCTGTTATCACTCATCTATTGTCCTATTTTCTCTTACATCTCTCTTTATTTCTGTTATTGATCTTTGCAGTCAAGTTTCAGGACACAATTTTGTATGTTTAGCATCAAATTTCTGAAAATGCTCTGGTACCTAAAGAATGAATACTAATGGTAATAACAGTGATTTTGTATAGGTCTGGAGCACTATCACGACCTCAACCAGCCAGTTACAAAAGCTGAAGCGGAGGCCATTGGTGACATTGTGAGAAGGGTAGTACTTGACGTGTTGCCGGGGTCGGAAATGACCCTCACTGGAGGATTTAGGAGGTTAAATAACGCATCAAGTTGAATTCTTGTTGCATAAAGAAACAACACTTATTCTACAGTAATGAAATAATCTTGTCTATAGAGGGAAAATGACAGGACATGACGTTGACTTTTTGATCACTCACCCAGATGAGGGCAAAGAAACAGGACTTATTTCTAAAGTGGTCTCTTTGTTAACTGCACAGGTAAATTCTATTATTATTATTATTATATTTATTCATATTATTTCAGTGAATATATATGTATTTTTCCACCTGTTGTGTTTTCAGGGTTTGTTGTTGTACCAGAAAACCACAAGAAACTCATATATGGAGAACAAAGGCAGACTGGCGCAACCATCTTCAACTATGGACCGATTTGAAAGGTGTTTCTGCATTTTTAAGCTGGAGATAAAGGAGGTGTGATTTTACATCCAGAAAGGCCACAGAGTAAGCATCGAACAATGATTTTAACAATTTTACTAATTTTCTAATTCACAGATGAGACCAGATAAAGACTGGAGGGCTGTCAGAGTGGATTTAGTGGTGGCCCCCATAAGCCAATATGCCTTTGCTGTTTTGGGCTGGACTGGGTCTAAGGTGCAAATAATGTTCAACTGTTTGTATTTGTGAAATTAATCAAGTAATAAATACATTTGTTTTAGTTGTTTGAGAGAGAGTTGCGCCGTTGGGCAAGTCAGGTCAAGTCCATGTCTCTCAGTAGCCACGCTCTTTTTGACATCAAACAGGTACAGTGCTTAGACTTCAACTTTTCAGGTAGTTGTCCAATTAGTTGTTAATTTCTATTTCCTCTAAAACAGTGTAAGTATCTGAGGACGACGTCAGAGGAAGAAATATTTTCTCACCTTGGTCTAGAGTTCATTCCACCAACTGAAAGAAATGCTTAGATGTAGCACAGTTTCTGGCATCAATAAATAGGTTGTACATGTATAACACTTGAATTTAAATGATCAATAAACATTTTGGAAAATAGCAAATGTATCTATTTCAATGACATGTCATCAGTATCTTGTAATGAAGATGTTAAAGCACAAAAGCTCCTGTGCTCACTGAGTCGTCAGCATAATGTCTTCATGGAAGTTTCAAGTGTCCTGGTGGAAAGAGCTCCTTCTTTGTCTTGAGATACTTCTGTGGCCCATGAGAGTGTCGGCTCTAACAGCTTATAGCTCTAGTGTGACATCAAAGGTAGCAGCGACCCTCTGTCTCCTTAAACTCTTTAAGTAAATGAACATTACGTGTTTTTTTTTTTTAAGCCAAAACTGAGAAACCTCAAGAGAATGCATCTAGATCAGCACTTGGACAATCTGCACAGCCCCTGATTCCACTCAGGCTGTGAGCTGCTGAGACATGGACAACACCATCGTCCTCTTTTGCATGGAACAATTGGATTACACAATTTGGACATAATTTGGAACAATCTGGATTTCTGAATTTGGACATAATTTGGACTGAATTGAATTGCTGAATCTGGACACTGAAGCTGAAACGAGTGATTGAAAGACACGTCACAGAAGAATTCATGGCTCGACACAAATGCAGCCTGAAGAAACCAACAGGAGAAGTGGGAGAGACTGTTTTCAAAGCAATATCTGGAACCACCATCGACTGATGAAGTTTGGTATTTTACTGAAGATTGTTGACGAGTTTTATGAAAGATCTGAACATGTTTTATGAGTTTTTGAAGTATTCCGAGTTCTGAGTTTTTTGAAGTACCGAGTGAAGTACCGAGTTTATGAATTTTTGAAGTATTGAGTCATGATGTTATGTTGCTGTTTATCGATCCTGATGGTCACACGTGAATGTATGACCAGAGGGGGGAATGTGAGATTTCATAACACTTTGAAGCAACTTTTGTTAAAGTTAAACTCATCATTCTATCAATGTGCAGAAGCCTGTACTTTTCCACTTTATGTTTTGTCTATCTGAAGGCCAAGCTACATGGCACCGTGGAAGCTGCTGATTGGAGGTCTCCATGCCTCCGCTCTGTATAATACACTTGCATTCTCTTGTATCTGTGATCGTGTGCTTTGATCGTGCTGTCTCTACCATCGACAATAAAACATGTCTTCTGTCTGAATTAAAGACGCGATCCCAGACTATGTCATCTTCTTCAATGTGACTGTCTCTTTGTGACACGTATGTCTTTCGATGTGTGACGTGACAATGACTATATAAACTGTGTACTGCCTTTATTCTGTCTGAGGGAAAGAAACAGAGTAAACCAGTGGAACTTGAGAGAAACTTAAATAAACTTCCAGAGTTTGGCACACCACGATCCGTCTCTGTCTGCTTAAATCCTGACACTGTGTTTCCTAAAAAAACCCTATTTAAACCCCACTGTAATATATATGTGTAATGGATTAGTAGTTGATCCTGTAATTCCTCATGTGTGAATGACAATAGGTTTTGAGAGGCTGATGATACTCGCTGTAGACCGAGGGGTGTGAGGCCTCATGAATGCAAACATAAAAATTCCCAGTGCAAGTGTCTCGGAGGCAGTTTCCCTCTTGCCCATGTGTGGAGGAGCGTCTGCTACTACGGGACCAGTCCCACTGGCCCCATCAAAGCCCAGGGGTGCCTTTGATGAGGTTGATAGGGATCAATAGCAGAGGGGAAGAGGCCTTAACAGACTGTGTTTACAGACAGGGCGGGCAGCCCCTGGAGACTGCTGCTATTCAGATCAATGATTATTGACTGTCATCTGCATTACAGCACCCATTTAGACATGTTAGCATGTTTGCTCCTTAAAACTACTTTTCATTATGTTACAGTACATGTTGTATATCAACTCATAATGTGACTGGACAATAGTTTGATGAGGAGAACACACTAATCATGGGACAGGAGGGGAAGTAATCCTGAGATTGTCCAGTGTCTGGACACGTCCATCTGTCTCCGTGTGGCCAGGTTCTTCTGCCCGGTGCAGCTCGAGGGGCAGAGATGTGTTTGTTTCCATAACAGAGCAGCAAACAGGCCCATTAGACATGAAAGGCTCAGAGTGCCAGCACTCAAACGTGGTCTCAGCAGGTGACGCTCGCCCTCAGACAGCAACAGTCTATTGGAGGAAGAGCGTAGCAGCTTGTTGTGATGTTGAATAATGTTTGTATTTGGTCAGATACTTTCATCTGATTGAAATGTGTCAACAAACACTGGCTCAAACACTTGTAATTAAAGTGATATAAATATAAACATCTAAAAAGGTGGTTGGCAAGTTTACACTAATTTTCTCAGTCTGAAATTGAAACTGTTATACTGCACCTGTTTGTGAACGTTTTGTATTACAACAAATGGCAGGACTCATAGACAGATAAATCTTCATTGATCCCTGCAGGACAGATTCAGGATGTGAAGCTGGGGCTGTAGTTTTTAATCATTAACTATCATTATAAGTGGTAACAGTCTGTGTATAGAGGAAAATCTTTGTTAAAAACAAACCTTACTAAAGAAGAGTAAAACTGGTTTCTGACATAAAGTAGAATACCCAACAGTTAGACGAGACTATTATTTTGTAAATATGCACTGAAAATAACATTCTGGGACTTTTAACTCCTTTTCTTTTAAACCCAAATATGTAATAGCTTTATGACAGGTTTCTTTGCAGTGTGTGCAGTAGTTACAGCATAAAAAGGTGTGAAGAAAATGATGGAAGATGATTTAATGAGTCTATTCTCACAGATGTAATTAGACAAACAAAACATGTTGAGCATGTTGTTCATGTTTTGTTTGTCGTCACATTCTCTGCCAGTATGAGATATGTCTATAACTGTATAGTATTATTATTTACTTATTATAAAAGTGTTTCAACAACAATGTTTAAAATACATCTTAATAAATATATTCACCATCAACTAATTATTCAACAAAAATGCATTTAACCTTTTTACTTAAGTAAGAAAATTATTTACTTTTACTTTGACCATGAGGGTTGTCGGTAACTGCTCTGAGCAGCAGCTCCTTTCTCAGGACAGAAGAGTTTTATCAGGTCAAAAGAAATGTAGGCGATACAATGAAGAGGTACAAAGCCCATAACCACCTGCTCCCTCAGCGCATACAGGAGGGGTTCAAACCTAGAGAGAGTCCTTATGACTTACGAGGTTTGTCTGTCTTTCAGAAACCAAATGTGAGAACCAGTTTAAAAAGTAGATGCATCTCTGTCAGGGGGGTTCATCTTTGGAATGGTCTGGATGAGCCACTCAAATGTTCCACCTTAATTCACACATTTAAAAAACGTTTTAAGGCCATTGTTGAAGAAAAGTATAAATCACTAGAATAATAATAATGAAAATAATGATGATGGTGGTAGTAATGGTGGTGATAATGATAATAATAATGGTAATGATAATAAATATAATAATACATGTACTGTACGTGTAAAATATTCTCAATATCAAAAAATAAATAAATAAATAAAATACTGTATAATATAAACATATCTGTGTATATTGTGTATATTTATAGACACGTTATGTGCACTGCATATGTGTGCATAAGTGAATGTGTATATGCAGGTCCCGGTGTATGTATGTTTGTATGTGTGTGTATGTATATATATGGGTATATATATATGAATGTATGCGTATATGTATGTGTATGTAAATGCATGTATAGATGTATATCATATACAAAAAACGAAGAAAGAAAAAAAATATATATATATATATCGGCACGGAAGGTCCTGGGTTCAAATCCCAGTCGGACCAGGGCCTTTCTGAGTGGAGTTTGCATGCATGTTCTCCCTGTGTCTGCGTAGGTTTCCTCCGGGTACTCCGGTTTCCTCCGGGTACTCCGGTTTCCCCTACCACTAAAAATATGTACAATAGGTCTGGCATGCGCCTCCTGTACTGGTCCGCTCCCATCTCTGTGTGGAGTGAGAGACAAATGCCCAAAATTAACAATTGTAAACCGCTTTGAGACTCAGATCTGCAGTGAAAAGACGGTTTATAAATAAAGATTACTACTTACTACTATATATATATAGTCATATTCTGTGTTTATGTATATAATGTGTAATAATTTATAATTTGTGAATGTCAAATGTTTATTTTCTGCTGATGGCCGAAGAATAAAGTAGGAATTTACATTATCATCATCATTTGGAAGGGGATGGTGGTATCTCCAGATGTTTGGGGAGGACACTGCTGCTGGTTGTTAGAGGGATCTGGTTATTTATAAGTGATGATATTAGATATATGATTTATTTATTTGTTTGTTTCAATTGTGGACAAAAACAATACTACACATATTACAGTTACATTTCAAATAATTGTCGTCTTGTCTCACAAATGAAAAGGAGCAGAAAGAAGAAAAAAAATCTTATGTTGCCTGCCCCTTTCTTCATACATGTACAAATTAAATTTAAAAAAAATTTAAAAAAAGAAAAAAATAAGATGGCCTTTAGCACTTCTTCAAACTGTTTTTATTTGATGTGTTTTTGTTTTCATAATTCTTTGTTTTTTATTGTTTTTTTTTCTAATCATTCATTTCGTACGATTTCACTGTTGTTGCTTTGATTTTTTTCTTAAACATGTGGATGTTTGCGGATTTTTTTTATTCATAGTCAAGTTGATTCCATAGTTTTACTCCGACCACTGATATTCCCATGTGTTTCTGGGTGGTTCTGGCAAAAGGGACGGAGAAGTGTAACTTCCTTCTACTGTCCTGGTTGATATTGAGAGAGAAGAGCTGTTGTACAGCTGCTGGCAGCAGAGAGTCTCTGGCTTTGTACATCACAATGAGTGACTGTAGTTTGATCAGATCCTCTAGTTTTAACAGTTTTGATTGTATGAATAGGTTGTTTGTGTGTTCTCTTGAGTCCACTTTATGAATGATTCTCACTGCTTTTTTTTGTAAGAGGATTAGAGGATGTATGGTGTGTTTGTATGTGTTTCCCCAGACTTTGCCCCATATTATTATTATATGGGGCAAAGTCTTATTATTATTATATTGCCCCATTTCACCATAGGTGAAATGGGGCAATATCAAGGTACTGTACAGGAGCCTTAGGGCTTTATGATCAAGTGAATGTTTCACTTTGTGCAGTACCGAGATATGTTTTGATATTTTTCTTTTTACCTGGTTTACATGGGATTTCCAATTTAATTTCTCATTCATTGTCACTCCCAAAAATGTTATTTCTTGTACTCTTTCAATTTTTGTGCTATTTATTGACACCTGGACGTCTGTGTTACTGTTATTGTTTGAAAACACCATGAATTTCGTTTTGCTTATATTTAATGATAATTTATTCTCATCGAACCATGTTTATATGATGTATCGGATTATGGAATGGAATGGTACGGTAAAGTGGCCGTGCATTTCGTCGGCAGCGGTAAAGAGGTCCGCACTTTGAAAGCGGTTGGCTCCTTTATGCTGTTACTTACGGTAAACGTGGAAAGGGAAGCCGCGACGAGAAGCAAGCAAAATGCAATTTTATTAATAAAATCATTAAAAAAGAACAAAAAGAGTTTTGCGAATACTTTCCTTTTACTGTAGAAATTCAGAGAAAATTGGGGTCAAAGTGTGCCATTTTGGTCCCAAAAGCCCTTTTTAAAATTCTTTTTTTTTTTTTTTTAAATCTAAAAAAGTTCCCTGACTACTTTCACTGCACACTTGTTCACTGTGAGGCCCTCTACCACTGTGTAAAATATCATTCACTTTTACTGTAGAAATTCAGAGAAAATTGGGGTCAAAGTGTGCCATTTTGGTCCCAAAAGCACTTTTTAAAAATCATTTTTTTTAAATCTAAAAAAGTTCTCTGACTACTTTCACTGCACACCTGTTCACTAAGATGCCCTCTACCACTGTGTAAAATATCATTCACTTTTACTGTAGAAATTCAGAGAACATTGGAGTCAAAATGTGCACAATTGGTCCTAAAAGCACTTTTTAAAAATCTTTTTTTTTAAATCTAAAAAAGTTCCTTGACTAATTTCACTGCACACTTGTTCACTGTGATGCCCTCTACTACTGTGTAAAATATCATTCACTTTTACTGTAGAAATTCAGAGATAATTGGGGTCAAAGTGTGCCATTTTGGTCCCAAAAGCACTTTTAAAAAAATTTTTTTTTTTTTAATCTAAAAAAGTTCCCTGACTACTTTCACTGCACACTTGTTCACTAAGATGCCCTCTACCACTGTGTAAAATATCATTCACTTTTACTATAGAAATTCAGAGATAATAGGGGTCAAAGTGTGCACAAATGGTCCCAAAAGCACTTTTTAAAATTTATTTAAAAAAAATCTAAAAAAGTTCCCTGACAAATTTTACTGCACACTTGTTCACTGTGATGCCCTCTACCACTGTATAAAAAGTCATTCACTTTTACTGTAGAAATTCAGAAATAATTGGGGTCAAAGTGTGCCATTTTGGACATCACAGTGAACAAGTGTGCAGCAAAATTAGTAATGGAACTTTTTTAGATTTTTTAAAATTGATTTTGAAAAAGTGCTTTTGGGACCCAAATGGCACACTTTGACCCCAATTTTCTCTGAATTTCTACAGTAAAAGTGAACTATATTTTACACAGTGGTAGAGGGCATCACAGTGAACAAGTGTGCAGTGAAAGTCTTCGCGAAACTCTTTTTGTTCTTTTTTATTTTTAAATTGCATTTTGCTTGCTTCTCGTCGCGGCTTCCCGTTCCACGTTTACCGTAAGTAACAGCATAAAGGAGCCAACCCCTTTCAAAGTGCGGACCTCTTTACCGCTGCCGACGAAATGCACGGCCACTTTACCGCGGTCACATAAGCGTCTCTGTGGCGTATGCGATGGCGCAAGTTTGTGTGCAAATGTTGCATGCTTAGAGAATCCGAGGTGAAACAGTGGCATTGATAAGATAATGAGGGCAGTGATGTGGCTGCAGACGCTCGTCTGTCTGTGGCCGGGTGCTAATAGCTCATTAGGGACAGTGGGCACTTCAAAGCCTCTCTGCTCTTTGATACTTCAACACGAGACACAGACCTGTTTACGTCGCCACACGTCTGAAGACGCCAGGGTGAACACAAGCCATATACACAGAACAAACTGTACACTACTGTATATCTGCATTCAAGGTAAAGTACGGTGCTCAGTTACATGAACTTGTTATGTGTGGCTTATTGTCCCTTAGACGATAAGACAACCGTTCATCCAAGAGGTGAAATGTTGAGAACAAAATCTTATAACTAATGTCGGCCATGTGCCATTAATTATTTCCCATCCCTGGTTCTCAATGCACTGTGGGACGTCACTTGTACAGTAAGAACCCCCAACTCACCAACAGCCACATCATGTATTTTTCCAGGATGGCCTAGTACCATATCTTAAATGAATATACAGTGGTTTAGTGGTGAGAACTCTCTCTTCTCTGCAAGAAGATTAAGTTCGAATCCTGGTTGTAACTCCCTTAGTGGAGTTTGCATGTTCACCCTGAGTTTGCATGTTCACCCTGAGTCTGGAAAGGTTTTCCTTTGGTTATTATTCAAACTGGAAATCTGTATATGTCTATCTACCTAACTATCTATCTATACAAACCTCAAAACTAGGATTTAATTATTTCTGTGAAAGGCTTTGTCGAGTGTCACCATAATTATTCATGCAATTTGTGCTCTGGGACATGTCACCTGAATGATCATAATAAACTATTGCATCTGATGAAGGACTTCTATTAAACAAACTATTTTCCAAGTGGCTGTGAAGAGACAGACAGAGGGATCAAGGTGTGTCTCTAGATGGCAGGAAAAGAGAACAGGACTGAAGGGGGGTCTCCCAGACTTACTGGAGCCAGAGTGTAACAGCTTCATAGAGACTGAATGAGACGATCTTAATTACTCTAGTTGTGAAAACGGAGGGCGGGAGCTTTGGGAGGATGCAAGCTTTGATCTCAGGCGGAGGGGTTCTGAGATGAGGTGGCTCTGCTCTATAAATACTGACCAGCTTTGAGGACACTCATAACTTACAACAAGCATTTAGACTCGGACACCATCTCTCAACTGGAATTACAATGATGAAGGGTATTTTTTCCATTGAATGGATGGCTCAAAGCAGCCATTTAGCCAGGACAGCGTCTGCATCAGGCCCAAGACAAGCTATTGAACCCACTTCTTGTGGGACAAACTCAGAGAGCCTGCCTGGATTCTACTGCCGAGAGAGACCGAAGGGAGAACAGGAGAGATGTGTGGATCTAGATTACAGTTCCATGAGCTCCCACAGTCCTCAGCATCAAACTTCCCACAGTGATGCACGTACGTTTCTAAACCAAGAATGTGTGTTCTGTCATTTATTTTTGTGTGTAATCAGTACTTGTGTTTCTTTAGACAATGAAGCTGACTTGAACAGTGGGACAGAAGAAGAGACCTCTGGGTATGAGAGTGAAGAAGGACATTCCCATTCTCCAACAGTTCTGGTTAATGCAGCCTCCACAGTCCCAGCCTCTCCTCCACCAGGAAGAAGACCTCGTACAGCCTTCACTGCAGAGCAGATCAACAGCCTGGAGCAGGCCTTCAAAAGGAATGCCTATCTGGGAACACAAGACAAGGCTGAACTTTGCAAAAAGCTCAATCTCTCTGATAAGCAGGTAACCAGCCTTTAAACACCAAGAATTATGCACTTTTAATTTTAAAATAGAATGGCTATTTCTGTCTATTTCTGGCAATAATAATTAATGCAAAAACACATTTCTATCTGCAGATTCGCAACTGGTTCCAGAACAGGAGAATGAAGATGAAGAGGACCGTGCAGGATGCCTTGGCTCACGCTTGTCAGGCAAATGTAGCGTCTCATTTCATACATTATCCTGAGCTGCAGTCCTACAGACCATCTCCTTATCCCAGGTTCCACTCGTCTGCACAGGACAGCTCCCTCACTCCCTTTGTGCAGCCACAGAGCCTGCAATACTCTTCTGCTCTCAGTGGAATGTCCCGGGACCCTCTGTACCAGTACAGCAGCCATGTCATGCTGCCCTCCACCTCTTCGCCACTGATGGGATCGTACCCCTCATATCCCCCATACTACTGACCCGGCCGGGGTTCTGCCTCATAGGCCCCCTTTATGGACCATGGACCATGTGTACTCCACACATCACAGTGAGAGCGAGTGTTAACAAAACTGATGAATGACAGCCACAGAATGTATTAAATGTATACTTTTGATCTATTTAATTGTTTTAATGAAATGCTTTATTTCATGTTTTTTTGTATTCATGTATTTGTTTTAATACAATTGTGATTAAATATGAGTGTATCTATTCTCATTGAAAACGATGATGTTGATAATGTCTTAAATCTCTGGGAGTTAAATTGTTTTAAAGTTAAAAATATATTTTTAAAACTATTCATGTGAAGACCAGATAAATTACCACACGTAAAAACGCTGGGAAAAGTTAATTGTAATGTGTCTTTCACTGGGTTGCCAGACATAAATTCATAAATCCAGCTAGATGTAAAACAAAAAAAAAGAAATAAAGTGGACATGGGTTTAGACAAAGTACTTTGTCTAAACCCATATGTCCATGTCGCTGGTGCAGTTACTTCTCTACTCTCTGGTTAACACTTGCATAATACATCCATGGATAAGATCACTTTAAAACCTACCTATTCATGAATCAGGGCATGTTGCATCGAGGCTGTTGAGTACTAACGCCCCCTGCCGACAGGCCTGGTTAAAGCACTAATGGGGAATGCCCTGCCTAATGAATTTACTTGCCTACAAAAGGTTCAAATTGACGTAAATGTGTAGATATGGGGCTGTATTGTGCTGTACATGAGGGTGACAGAAACACCGCAGAGTGGTTTATACATGGGCTTTATATCGTTGTTATTATAGATCCATGGTTTAAACTTGTTTGAAACAGGGTTGCATGAGTCCCTCTGTGGGCGGAGGGGCATGATTGACATGGACACGGACCTATTGCATGTCTCAGTGTGCAGTAAACCAGTGTGCAGAGAAGCGCTCACGCAGAATGCAGCTGCGCAGGAGCGGGAGCAGAGGGAGGAGCAGGGCACAGCCATAGCAGAGGGAGGAGCAGGGCACAGCCGAGGGAGGAACATGGCGGATGGGGACAGCGGGAGCGAGCGCGGCGGTGGTGGAGGATTCCAACACTTCCAAAGGGACCAGGAGACCCAGGAGCTGGCGTCCAAGCGCCTAGACATCCAAAACAAACGCTTTTACCTGGATGTAAAGCAAAACAGCAAAGGCAGGTTTATAAAGATCGCCGAGGTTGGGGCTGGGGGCTCCAAAAGTCGCCTGACTCTGTCGCTGTCAGTGGCAGCCGAGTTTCGGGACTATCTCGGGGACTTCATCGAGCATTACGCACAGCTTGGACCGAGCAGTGCGGAGCAGATCGCCCAGTCCAGCGCCGGGGAAGACGGCGGCCCGAGGCGAGCTCTCAAAAGTGAGTTTCTTGTCCGCGAAAACCGCAAGTACTACCTGGACCTGAAGGAAAACCAGCGAGGGAGGTTCCTACGCATCCGGCAGACCGTGAACCGGCCAGGCTTCGGGGTCGGGGGCCCTGTGGGGGGCATGCTGTCCGGGCAGACCATCGCCCTCCCGGCCCAGGGCCTCATAGAGTTCAGGGACGCGCTGGCCAAGCTCATCGATGACTACGGCGGGGACGACGATGAACTGACCTCCGGGACCGCTGCTGGGGCCTACGGAGAGCTGCCCGAGGGCACATCCATCATGGTGGACTCCAAGCGCTTCTTTTTCGATGTCGGCGCCAACAAGTACGGGGTCTTCCTGCGAGTGAGCGAGGTGAAGCCGAGCTACAGGAACTCCATCACCATCCCCTTCAAAGCTTGGAGCAAGTTTGGAGGCGCGTTCAGCCGCTACGCGGAGGAGATGAAGGAGATCCATGAGCGACAGAAAGATCAACCATACGAGAGGAGAGAAGAGTCTGAGGTGGAGGATGTGGAGGACGACTGAGCGGGGAAAGTGGACTGATGTGGTAACGGATGTGCATGGCAAATCGTGCTGTATTGGCCTACTCGAGTATCGTGGCAGACACAATGTTGTACATGGGTTTTGATGTATTTTCCTGAAGTGTGTAGGTTGGGCTAGGTTGGCTTGGATTTTGGTTGTGTGACTTTTGGAAGTGAAAACGTGGACTTCATGTTTTATTTTTTGCTGAAAACGGAGTGACTTATGCTTTATATTAAGAGGAGAGAGAACCTACTAAAACCAGCAAGTTAAATGACAAATATCTTATTTTCATCCTAGTTTTACACAATTGTCTTATTGCTTTATTATGGAAAGAAAATTGGCATAAGCTATATTTGTTTGGTTCAGCACTCTTCAGTGGATAATGATATGTGGGGACAAGTAGTTAAATTGTGTCTATTAGAAGGAATGTAAGAAAAGCCTTTGTTTTTGGCTGGGTGTTTGCATTTGGCATGTCAGCAGATGGGCAGCTGTCAGAACCATAGGTTTTGCAGCAGATTACTCAAAATGTCAAGAGAAGTTGCAGAGCAGATTATCTGTAACTCCAAATAAAAGTGGTTGGAGGCTAAATTTAAAGCTTTGACTGAAGTCAAGGCTGTTAAGAATTTTATTATTTTTAACATAGAAATGATCTATTGATAAAATCTTATGGTGCTGCTAAATCTGTTGGAGCAGTGAGTTATTAGAGTAGCCGTGTTTCACAGATGAAGTCCCGTGTGATGGGACCCACTTGGCTCTATGTCAGTGCTGTCACATGACACTACTAGGGTCCAATACTGAACTCCATTCCCATTCAGCCCCCTTTAGTGGTAGATGCAGCCACTCTTATCTGCACGTGGTGCAGACCCTGGCAGAAAACAAAGAAATTTATGTTTAATTTTTTTGTTTTGAAGTCTTTTGTTTTTTCAAGAGAACTATATTGAAATAAAAATGTACTTATATCAAATATATTACAGAAAAAGATATTTTTGAAACACAAATGTATTGTGTAAAAGAATTTCAAGACTAAAACAATAAATGATATTAATTTCTTAAAGTTGTTAATGCTTGAGTTTGTAACTACACATGTTCTATATATCAGCTGATTGAAATGAATGAATTTAGACAAGCAACACAAACTCTTGAATGGCCATTGTTGCTGGTTTCTTGATAACTGATCAATCGCTCCCAAAACATGGTGTGTGATCTAAGAGACCCTTTACCCCTGCACTTTGAGAGTGGGGCAGCTGCTTGTCCACCATATGTTTGCAGTGAGTGTGTGCTGACAGAGCATGTTGGCTATTTTAATGTAGGAGGCCTCTGCAGATGCACATTCCAGGTTAAGGAGTCAGCTGTGCCATTAGGAGCCGGTACAACTTTTTGTGTACCGGCACTGATTGTGCGGAGTTATGTTCACACATGACGCTTGGCCTGCACCACGCGAAAGGATAACTGTAAAGAAGTCTCATGACGGAGCTAAATGGTCATCTCAGAATGTCATTTACAAGTGCCTTTGTGATCCCAGTATTGAAGGAAACTCCTTTCTGTTGAGAAGAGCCAGCTGAGATGACTATGGCTACATCCGAATAAGAATACACCTTCCTTCCTTTTCTATCTTCTTCCTTTTAGGTGACGGAATGGCTCCTGGTTTGATCAAGTTCAAGTTTGTAACATTTTTTTAATGCCACTGTTGTATTTTATTGGATGCACCTCTCCGCTGGCCGGGAACCCCTGAAGCTTCAGGGTAAGAATGTCTGCTCAGACTGCTGCCTCCACCCCTTGGCCCCGGATACAGCGGTGGCGTTCCGATTGACCAACCGTCAACAGGTACAACTTTGACCTAATGATTGAATATGATCTACATTCCATTGGTGCTTTCTACACAATCTGCCACAGAAACGTTATGTTTTGATCTTCAATCACATTTATAGCACACAATTGGACTGTGTATTACTCTACAACACCAAACCTGCCCCAGCATTGTACATGAGCATTGTACTACACAATGTACTACACAATTATGAACATGTTTTTTTTATCTTTTTTGAAACATTTGCAAAGGGCTTTTATCAAATAATCCAAGTGTTCTGTCTTGATCGCCCAGTGATATGTGCCATGTTAATCAGTTTCTGAAGTGTTGCACAGAAAAAAATAAAATCCTAGTAATTAATCTGATAATTGCTAACATTGTCGTTTTAAATAAATTAATAAAAAGAATGCAGTTAGAACATAAAAGAAACAAAAATGATCAAGAAAATATTGATAAAGAAGAATGAAAGCGGGTCTTAAAAGCATTTGCTAACTTTGTACTTCATGTTTGTTGCATTTCTCTCTTTGCAGATCACTGGTCTGTAAACAGAACTAACGGGAGGATTGTGCGTCGCTGGTGCCTGAGCTGCTACAATGATACACACGTAGAGGGGACGCCACATGTTCATAGTGGAAGTAGAACAGAGGGATGCTGGTTGATTGGAAGCATGATCCGTGGTGAAGCAGGCTGAGGGCTATATTTAGCCTCTGTTGCCATGTGCCCAGAATGTTCACAGAAGAGGGAATGCACATCTCCTACATGCAGCGTTGGGGAGTAACATGTCTCCAGAATATAGGCCCACGTTCAGCATAAGGCCACCATATTATTACTAAGAAATGTCAACTTTTAGGGGTATAACATTTTTATGAATAGTATAACTGTTTTATATTCTGTACTTTTAATATTGTGTGTTTTTTATATTGTAAGGCGTCATGTAATAAAATTAATTATTATTATTATTCAAGATTCTTTGTCGCAGTGCGTACTCCTGTATATAAACCACACCAGCTAGATATCAAAAAGGTAATTCTTTTCCACATATAGGACGTACTTGAATATAAGCCACAGGTTTTCATGATGTAATGGACAGGTGTCAAACACGAGGCCCATGGGCCAAATGCGGCCCGCTAGACCATTTTTAGTGGCCCCTGAAATAAGTTTGAATATTAGTATGCAACATTGATGGTAAGATTACCACCTCATTTGAAAGCTCATTTACTCAAACATTCTAAACCTTGATTGTTTACATTTACAATATTCATGTAAAAATATAAATCATTTGCCAAATCGTTTAACTGACAATTTGGGGTTGGTCAAAACGTACAGTAACTGAACTGAACAGCCAGAAAATAATTACCAAACTTGGGTTGACTTAAGTCATCTTTTGCAGGTATCGGTATTTTATCTCTTAGGTTTTTCACCCCTGCAAGGACTGTACAATTAATTGCAATTGAATTGATATCGCAAATATTGCTCGGGTCTGATTTTGTTTATTGTGACTGCTCGATCTATTTAACTTTTTTTATTTTGACTAAAAACATTGTTGCAAAATAAGTTATGTATCATAATTTTCTGAAATGTGTGTTAAATGTCTATGTCTTGGTATAGGCCTTTTCAAGTATAACTCTTTGCTCTGAACCAAATGAGGTTTTAAAAATGTTGGGGCGGCAGTCTGACCTCAGAGACAGTAACCGGCTCCACAGGCTGATCAGGAAATGTGTCTCTGCGATGGGGAGAAGTGTGTACTCTGTGGGAGCTGTGCTGGAGAGAAGGATGAGGGCTCTAATGCAGGGCATCCTGGGTAACTCCAGACACCCTCTGCATAATCATATCCACAGGCTCCTATCACTATAATGCCGAACGGAACATTTCAAGAGATCCTTTGTTCCTTCGGCTGTCAGACTGTACAACAAACCGTTATGACTTTTCTGCTGCTGGACACCTGCATTTTTGCTACGGGGATCAATAAAGTATCTATCTATCTATATAAACACACAGAATATAAAAAAAATGCATCAGAATTACATTGATGGTCATAAATATCATTAATCAATAATTATTTTGCAAAATGTGTGCTGTCCTACTCCCCAACTCTGCTCTGATCATGACCACAGGTTTGTCTGCATGGACCTCTGCCCTTTGTCACCCCTGTGTTTTAAATTCAAAAAGTCCAAACGCAGCAGCTCTTTACAGAAGATAGTTTGAAAAGTGAGGATTTACTGAGTGTGCAGCTAAAGAAATGTCAAAGAACAGACAAATCCACATTCATTGTGTACAAATGTCACACAACATTCTTGAGTTACAGTAAGAATGCAAACATAGATATGGATTTTACAATATTTATATGAACAATAGCCTGAATAAATTGTTCTATAAGCTATAAATATAGTTCATATAATGTTTATGAAAAACACAACTAGGAGACAAAGCCTTTAAGTACAATGTCTCTTGATATAAGCCTTTGTAACACTCTTGAGTTAAACTACAGAATAATCCAGGTTCATTGTGCCAATGTAATCACCTCTATCAGATTCCTACGCATCACATTAGTCAAATGTCCACAGTTTTTTTTATGAATATTATAGAATTGGATGTTGTATGTGACAACTTCTGCCCCTTTGACCTGAAAAACTACCTATACTTTGCAGCTAATGCTTGAACAACAGCACCATCCAGTGGTAAGTGCCCTTCCTGGAGGCGGAGCTGGTTACGTTTGTAGATAAAAAGTTTATCTAAAGTTTGGAGCTGATCCCAGAACTGGTCCGCAGACCTCCCTCAAAGAATGTTGAAGCGGATCTCTCATATGTACTATTGAGTATTGTGATGGAAGTGAACAGGTTTTAAATAACTATACATTTATTGCACTAGAATATACAGTATATTTATACTGTATGCCAAAGAGATTTTATACTTGGTTCTTTATTATGCTAAAGTTAGAGATGTTATATTATTTTTTTCGGGCTGAGAGAAAGATCTTCATCAGATATATGTTGCCATTTTTTAATCTAGCTAGATCAGGCTATTGGGACGTGTGGCTTTATTTGAAACCTTCTAGGTCCGTGTACTTTTGCGTTCAATACATTTTCTGTTTTTGAAGGGAAATTGAAAATCGAAAAAAGGCTATTTTGCATTTTCAGGCACACAGCTATTTACAAAAATGACCATTTGGGTTTTTTTCATTGCCTATAAGACGTAT